ATAATTCAGTCAGTTTCAGTGTAAACCAGTCAAGTTCTCTGTCGTGCAATAACAGCTGAATGGAAAGAAAGCTTACAAAGCCGTTGCATCAATGGTTTACACTTGCTCTGCTTATGTAATGAAATTTCTATTCCCATAGAATCGATGAGCAGCATTCCCCTGTTGGACTCTGTAATTACAAAACCCTCATTAGATTATGAAACTATACGGCATATGGTGCGAGGAGGAGATTCCTTTGATGTGCTCTTGTAATGACTGCAGCGGAGAGAGGGAAAAATAGAGAAATGCCTCGACTTTATTTGAATCCCCTGAAAAGAATCAAAGCGAGGTTTTTTTTCTGTGTTTAGCGGCTCCGTCACCCCCGGACTCGACTCCTCTGAAGTGACTCACGTACCAACCAGGAGTCTGGCGCTGACCCTGGAAATGTCAAACTGTTTCGACACGCCGAGGCCACGGCCTTTTGATTCGCAGAGAATGTTTGTCGTTTTGCCAAAGGACGCCCTCGGTGAGGAAGAATGAGGTTTGATGTTTGAAGGCTCGCTGCTCGTGAAACATGAGGAAGACGCTCTAGGCAGCGCTCGTCTTCTGTTCTGGGTAAAATATATTTCATAGAGCGGCTGTTTAGAAAGGATAGTGAGCTGAAAACACAGCCGTTCAATATAAGAGCGTTTGACAGGAACAGAGAGGCTTCGGCATCAACAGGGTTTCTTCATAAAGGGTCCGTTTAAAAAAACCTAAAGACTCAGGGAAATATCCCTTTCAAATCCCTCCATTTAGTGTCTGTCAAATATTTGCAGCTTTTGGTTCATAAAAGAGAGGAATTTAAGAACTGAGACGTGTCAGCGTTGTAGAAAAAAATCATTGAAATTATTTGGTTGTTACTTGAATCAGAAATCCAAAGTGATGGTGGTGCTTTCATGACATGAAAGGCTTTTTCACAGAGCGAAGCCGTCGTACTCTTACCTGCATGACTGAATTATGAGTAATATTGATAATGGTAGCGTATACACTTCTTTTGTGTAGTAATAGGACCTCAAATTAGCACCAGAGGCTGTAAGTTTCAGCTTTTGTGAGAATTTTTTGGTCTTTTTTCTTGCAAAAGCTGCTTTTTGGGCTTAAAGGCACTGTAAGGAGTTTTTAACTAATGGAGACACAAACTGAAACTGGTGTTGACGCCTCTTTATGAACTTCAAAAGCAAAGAAAACCGTCGGCAATAAGGAATAAAAATTCACAGTTGTGATTTTTGATGCCCTAAACTCATGTGAGGGGGTCAGTGTAGGACAGGAATGAAACTCGGTGTGTGATACATTTCACTGTTAAAAGAACGTGGGGTGAGGGTTTTGTCGGGAAAAACTACTTTTGTTAGTACAGGACAGAGAGGTATCACTTGTCAACAAGAGGCGCAAAAGTTTCTGCCAATTAACATTTCCTAAAGCTCCAGTGAGGAACTTCAGTTTGCGTCAACTTTGGCGCCCCCTGTGGACAAATCCGGCTTTGTTTTTTTGAAGTGTGATCCATTTTATAAGAACATGTTGTATTGGTTGGTATTTGATTCATATGATTCCTGAAGGAGTTTAGATTTTGATGCTAATTTTAGCTGCTGATAGATCACTGAGCGCTCATGTTCTGAAGAAAAGCCTCGGTGGGTTCCTTCGCACTCTCCATGCTCGGTCCTTGGAGAATCTTCTGATGGAAAAATGCAGAGAGACAATCCACCAAGCTGACTTCCTCTTGGTTCATTTCAACTCAGCTCCTTTGATTATTATAAGGGCTAAACTCTCGAGGCCGCAGAGATGTTGCTTAGACAGCTTATGGTTAGAGCTGGTTCAGACCTGGTCCAGCTCTTAGTTCTGCTGCTACAGGTTTAGACTGCCGGGTACTGAAAGATTGAGCATCCTTCCCTCCTTCTCCATCCTCTTTCTGTCTGTGTCATTAACTCTGAATCATCACGTCTCATTAGAGTCACTTAGAGTCTTTTCTGGGAGTCCCTCAGCTCCATCATGCTGTAGCTTTCTCTGGATTGCTGCTGTCATGGACCTGCCTGCTTTCCAAATACAGACGACTGTCTTACATCAGTCTGGTTCTGCTCAAGATTGAAGAAAGTTCTTCCTCTCCACTATAACTTACTAGATGCTGCAAAGTGTTTCACTCATGTGGTTGTGGAGAAGGTCCAATCTGACAAGATGGGGCTCAATCTGATCCTATCTTCACATCGGGTCTTTGTAAATAGAGTATAGAGCTGTTTTTAAGCATCTTGGGATAGTTCTTGTCGTGAAAAGTAAGCAGCTTGAATAGACTGCTAAATATGGGAAATACATTTTTTAGGGGGATTTGGAGAATAAAAAATACAGTTTAAAAACACAATAGTATTTTTGTGTTTTGGCCAGCTGAACAAGTGTTACCAAAACTCATTGACTGTTTATTTTCTGTGGTAAACCTTCAGCTCTTATTTTGAAACACATCCAAGATCACCCCAGTTTGTCTCGCAGGAAAAACAAAAATATGACCAAGAGGATAGGTTTTGGCTTTCAGTAATCTCCCCCCAAAAAATAAAAAATAAAAAAATTGGGCTCACAACATCTTAAAATGGAGACCACAGATGGTAGAGGCAGGGTGAGAGAAGAGGATCGCTTTTTGAAACAAGATAACAGAGAACTATAAATCTGGGCTGTGTTTTCAAAATAAAACGACTATTTTCTGCCTGATTTACATGAAACTGCTTCATCTCTCTGCGCTGTTAGACTTCACTCACTGTGAGAACAGGAGTCATAGCTGTCTTTTTCTGATGCTGTAAAACCAGCTCTGGATGAGTGACTCCAGCACTCGCTCTGTAACAAGTCAGTAAAGGACCCTTCATGTCACCGTATGAAGTTTGAAGAGTCAGGCGTGCAGCAGGTTGAACTCGCCTGAACTCACTCAATCTTCAGAGGAGTTACAACTTCTTTCTGCAGGTTTTTTACAACTGATTTATACAGATGACTTTGAGACTATCATACAGTACTCTTAAAACATTTGACCAATCAGAATCAAGTAATTTACACATCCAGGAAAACAAATCAACTAAAAATATGTGCAAAATAATTACCAAAGCTTTGAAAACTCTCTTTTTAAGGTAGTTTATATATATATATATTTTTTTTCTGTTGTACTGCATTAGACCTCTAAAAGCATATCAATCTCAGGACTTACATGAGGACGCCTCATTTTACAGATTTATTAGCACATTATTTTATCAGATGACTGCCAATGGGTCCATGGAATAGATTTAACAGCTTGCATTTCATCCCCTTTGCTCTACAACCCAATTTCCTCCACACGACCACAGCCTGCCAAAACACTAATGGAAGATACTACCCAGGCTATAAGCAAAACCACGACACTTCCGACTCTTAAAATTGTGTTTTAATATACAGTGGATTAAATATGTGCTGCATAAATCATCAATAAGTTGTTTATTTTAAAAAGTTCACACTGGTTTCATTTTTGTGGTGTGCCGCAAAATTGTCATTTTGGAGAGGCAGGAATTTCGACAGCCAATCTGATCTCTCAGTCCTCTAATGTAAAGGTTTTTGAATTATTTCATATCTGAGCATATTTTAAAATATTCAATGTAGGGATTAGCAAAGCTGTTGGTATGTTAATCTGACTCAAATCTTAGTTTTTTAGACTTAAAATGACAACAAGCACTGGTGAGCAGGATACCTAAAGAGACCCCACCGGCCAAATTTGTGGATTATGTGACTGTTCGCAAGCTAATGGGAATATTAGCAACAAAACCGACTCAACCACCTGGTGCAAAATTATGTTTCCCAGTTAAAGGGGGAATGCGTGCGTTTATGCATAATTTACCTTCACCGTTTTGCACATGTCCAAACACACCAACAGGACCGAGGTGTTTACTGCATAACCAAATACTCTAGCACAGTCAGTCAAGGCTTATGAGAAAGCGGTCGCCCTTAAATATGAAACAACAATATTAAAAATGGACTTAACTCGCATTTCCCCGAGTGAGGTTACACAGACTTGAACATTTTAGGTCTCAACTTATGCCAGTTTTCCACCAGAGGACTTTGAGAAGATTTTGAAAAGGCTCCTAGAAAACTTTTAGCTCATACCTGCTCACATCAAGTTCAGATTTGAGTGTTTAGAGTTTTTAGTCACAGCCTAGTCTCAGACTGAGAATTTACAAAGACTGTGAATCTCGCAGGGTCACTCTTTAGAAGACTACAACTAGATTCTGTTAGCATTTTTTGACATTCCAGTGTTTCCCATTGGTGGGGAATGGGGGGGCGGGTCATTAATCAGCTGTGTATTCGCATTTGACAATTCAGAACTCGCTAATGCTAATACTTGGCACGCAAGCCCTGCGGTGAAGACCGTGTGCACCGCATATACGGACACATACTGAGTCCGAGGTAGCGCGTAAAAAAAACTTGATTGTTGAGGTGTGGTGGCTTTTATTTAGCTGTGGCGGTGCGCCGGTTATTCTTCATACATTCTTGTTCTTGTTTTGACTGTCCGGTTTCCTTTTCCGCTTTTGTTAGAGCTCATCTATTGGTTGTTGGTTGTGTTACGTCACTGCGACTTGCGATAGTATGGAACACATTTGGTATTTTCGAACACATTTGATATTATTGCAAACCCAAGACTAGGAAAAGACTGATATAGAACAGCGCAGATTACCATCTTAAACTTAACAATTGAGTTGACGGGAGCACGCTGTGACTCCGCTTTGACTCCAGTAAGTTTATGTGTCCATGCCAGTGTCTGTGAAAATGAATTTCCCCCCGGGGACAATGAAGGTCGATCTAGCTATCAACTCCAAGATTTACTTAAAACGTTCAGTTTTTAGTCGGGGACTGTGAAAATCGTTTTGTGGATGCCCAGCATAAGTCTCATGGTTCGGTTTAACACCATCTGACCAAATGCTGTTTACTTTCACAGCCAGTCTACTAATAAGGTTCCAAAGTTAGCATCAAGATGCTTTAAAGACACAAGGCTTTAGTTACACAACCAAAGTTTATTACTGTCATCACTTACACAGACAAAGGATGTGCCAGCAATACCTACCGAAAGGTGATCAGCGAATCTTAACTTGAGTATCTTGTCAGACGTTGTCCTCATCCAGCAGGCAGCCAGATGTCGTGTCTTTAATTTACACCGCCGCTGCTGTCGAGAATGTGAACTCTGGAGCTGTTGTACTGAAACAAATCTGTCAGGGTGATTTTCACAGGAAAAATCAAGCAACAGCATCTTCCAGTAGCTGTCAGCAAACTTTCCTATATTTGGTGTAGCTCGGTAGACCTTGACTAGATTTGACCAGGAGTCCTTGACAGTCTGATAACTGGTTTATGCAGGGGTTAAATTGCATCGACGGCTCACAGTATGAATGAAAAAGTGATGAATGTGTTTGCGTATTTCTTTGAAAATCACCCTGAATGTCGTCTGCTCAGACACATACTTCTATCTTTATCTGCACCTTTGAAAACTACGCTTCAGTATTGGAGAAAGTCACGACAGGCTAATAAAACAAAACCATTTTGTTTTGTGTATAACATCAAATTGACCTGCTTTCTTCCTGGCCAGCTTGATTCCCCTCTAGGGGATTAAATACTCCTAGAATTTACATATAGGTGAAGTTCATTGGCTTCCACTTAATGCAGCACAATTTCTCGAATAGTCTTGCCGTCCCGTAAGGCTCATCATATCTAGTCCTTTGAAAAGAAGTGCTGAACGTTCAGTACTTTGAGGAGAATGAAATCTTCTTTTTTTGATTGTCCAAAAGTCAGTCCAAAAAGAAGAATCCAGCGTTGTCCAAAGATTAATCACAGCCCAGAAAGAAGGAAGTCTCTATGTACAGAAAAATCCTTTGTGTAAGTCTCTCGTTTTCTCTGATGATCCGATGAAACGCAGAACTGCTGGTTCACCTGTAACAGAAGAAAAAGAGTTTGAGTTAAATCAGCGATAACGCTATCAAAACAATCCTGTTGTGGTTTCAAATCTCATAATTCTATTTGTCTGATAGAAACCTCTCTGAGTTGTGTAACAAAAAGAAAAGTCAGTGGATATGAGTGTTTGACATGAGCTCAGATAAATCTGTGAGAGCACATAAAAGGAAAGCCTGACCTCCAGTAATTTCACCCAACATAACAGCCGACGCTCGCCCACACGGATTGACATGACGGAGATGTTGGCAGAGAAACTACATGATCGGATGCATTATTCAGCAGGCGGTTTACTTTTATGTTTTCTACTTTGAGAAAACTCATTATCTTCTGAGGAAAAAAAGGGTCTAAAGGCTTAAAAAGTTGCAAGTGGCCCTTAGAGGCTAAATCCTGAAAAAAAAAATAGCTGAATGATTTAAGAGCATGTCTACAGAACTGCTTTATAAAAAAAAGTTTACTTTTGAAGGATTGCTGTGTATATATTCAGGTCTGCTTTTGCGGCGCCTAATGGGTCTAAATGTAGTATTGGAGGTAGAGCCTTCAGGTATCGGACTTCTCTCCTAGTCGGGGTTCAAGAGGCGGACTTTTTAAGAGTAGTTTCAAACTTTACATTTTCATACAGATTACAGGGTTGGACCAATTCTCTGCGTGTTACCAACATTAATGACCTCACACCCAGCGTTTCAGTTACCAAGTCGGAAAAAAGCCAAATTAGAGGCAGAAAAGAGATGGCTACATCTATGAAAGTTATTTTAGCACTTACCTTGTCCGAGTATAAGGCAAGTGCTAAAATAACTTTCGTAGATGTAGCCATCTTGTTTCCGTCTCTGATTTTGTTTTTTTCTGACTTGGTAACTGAAACGCTGGTAACTCAGGTGTGACGTCATTTTCAGCTCCAACATCTGACATCCGAGGTAACTCGAACGCAGCATAAGGCCCTGTTTATTTTTAAAAACAGACATTAACCATCGTTCACACCCTTCATTTAGACGCAAACGGAGAATTCTCCCCTGAAAACGATGCTTTTTAAAAACTGCAGCCAGAGTGAAGATTTTGGAAAACTCTGTTTGCACGTTTGCATGTAAACGGAAAAAAACCCCAGAGGAAAACAGGGATTGAGAGACGGCAGATTGTGCACAGAAAAAAGGAAGGGACGTTGTTGTTGTTGTTGCTGCAATGCGAGATTCTGATTGGCTAATGTGGGTTTGAGCTTCTCGCTACACTGCCACCAACATGTTTGATATGCTCTTGATGGCATATATACATGGGTTAGTTTAAACGAAAACTTTTCTGAAAACGCAGTGGTGTGCACGCATTTTTTTTTTGTAAACGGAGAGGGTGAAATGTCTGTTTATGAAAATAGCTGGGCACGTGTAAATGTAGTTTGAATCTTTGTGTATCAGCTCCAGGAAGTTTTTATCTTTATCGATCCTTGTGTTTTATGTCTAGTTTGTGTTTGCATGTTTCCTGTAAGATGGTGCGGTGAGAAAAGGCAGGCTAATCGCTAAAAATATAGTGTATTTACATAGCTGCAGTATAACCTTCTCGATCCATATGGTTACCCGTTGAAGCTGTGGCGTATGACTCTACTGACCAACTGGCCCACGCCAATGCTGCTCTGAAAGCAAGATAGCTGTGCTCGGACTCAAAGGGTGGCACATTTCCCTACACATCAGGGAAGGTGTGTACGATAATAATGACCTGCTGTGTTCTGCACAGCCTCGCCATTAATCCGGACCTTCCACTGCCTCAGGTCCCTCATGCACCTGAGCATCTCCAGCCTCTCCAGCGAGCTAACGAAGCCGACCACGCAGCTGCCATTCGGAAGACGCCAGCAATTAACAGAGCGATCTAAAGGTCAGAGTTATTTGCGGACAGCAAAGCCTATTTTTTAGATTAATTGCTCTATCCACCCTTCTTAAATAAAACCACAACTTTTCAAAATCAAGATTTATTCTTGTTGGTGCACCTCAGTCTGCATTATGGCAAATCATTTATAAGAAAAAGCTAATCTGACTTTTATTTGACCAAACATCTTGAGGGAAACAAGTCAAACCTCATCTCCTGTGAGCTTGAAATGCTGACAGGCGTTTTCATAAAAGCTTGACTCCTAATCGACCCTATGAACACGTTGAATGATCGCTTCACAGGCCTGGAGGGAGGATAACAGTTTCTTAACCGTCTGAAATCTGACAGAAAACCAAACTTCTCATTAACATTAAAATCTCAGGTCTTTTGTTCTTACGAGAGGAACACCGTCGGCTGTATGCGTTGTGGCGGTTTCTTTGCGAAGGAAGTTCAAGTTTTTGAATTCTGCCAGATTCGACATCACTTCAGCAGACGAGGCTTTTATCGGCACATCCATCCATCAGCCGGAGTGTAATCCAGTATTCAGGATAAAGAGTTGGCTTTTCTCTCTTCTTGTTCGATGCTGTCAGATACTCTAAAGACCTCCTTTCTCCTTGAGATTAAATTGCCTGTCATGAAGCTCCGTGTCTGACTGGCAGCTCCTCCGCTCCTCCAAAAGTACACTCCGGTTAAGACTCTCCAAGAACGTAACATAACAACCTTCATAACGACGTCCACTATCGATTCCGAGCGTCTGTCGGCCGCCGTGAAGGTTTGAAGGATCGAGGGAAGCCGTCGGCAGATTTGTAAGGCCCCATTATCGATGCTGAACTTGTGATAGGAAACAGACAGTTCTGACAGCCTGGTTAGATTAATTCACGAACCGGTCGTTTGACACCACGGAGGCATACTGCAAACTGTCTTATAAATCATCTTCAATTATGCAGAGAGGCAAAACAATCCAAAAACCATCAGGCCATCACTTGGCAAGAAACCTCGCATAATGATATCAAACACAGGGTAAGGAGTTTCCATAAATTCAGTTTCTCCAAGCACTTTTTTTCCGGTCTCTCTTCAAGCTGCAATAAATTCTTCTCCCTTTTCAGAGTCATTTACATTCCAGGCTGTCACTGTGATTAATGCGGTACTAATTTCAGAATAATTCCACGCTGGAAAGACAAAGAGCGAAGCTGCGTCTCGTCAGCGGAGGAAATGTCTCCAGAGATTGATCTACACTGTGTCTTACAACTGAAGGGGGCTGGATCATTAAAAGTACGCAGGAAGTCCCTGAAACAACACGACACGGAAGTAAGCGGATAGCTAAGTCTACAATCGGTGCTGTAATCCTCTAATTGGTGACTGAAGAGTGCTAATCTAATTAGCCAAGTAATTCCTCCCATTTCACACCTGAAATAAGACTGACAGGAGGATTTAACACAGCAGGTGTGTGAGCTTATGTTTCTGTAATACAGTCGTATAATTAGCGCGCAACAGTGTTTGTCTCAGCAGTATGGCTTTAGAGGCTGGAGTTTTTAACGTGAAAACTCGCCAGTAAAATCAGCATAAAACAGAAAGCGGTGGCTCTGCAGATTCATCTTTGTCCAAATCAAGTTTTACTGCCGAGGCCAATGAGTAATTAGCATCACAAATCAATACTTGGAGGCAGTTGTTAAAGCTGTTGTTGGCAAGACGCGGCTCTGCATTTGTTTGAATCGCAGCACAGAAACTTAGAAAAGAATAAAGGAGATTACAGGACGGTAAGGGAGGAAATCGATGTGTTTCGGGTCTGAAATATTATTTTGTTATATAAATACTTCCTCAGTCTAGAAGCAAGGAGAGAGATAACCTCATTTTGAAGAGTTGAAAAGTTGATGAATTTACAGAAATCCCAATCAAACCAAATTTGGTTTTAGATTACATTTACATTTTTTACTTTTGTATGGTGCCAAATCATAAAAAAGATATCTCACATTAGATTATGATTGACTTTAACACAGACCCCCAAACTGAATCCACCAATAAGCAAGCACTTGATAACAGTAGAGAGAAAAGGCTTATTTAACAGGCAGAAACCTCGAGCAGGACCAGACTCAATGATGGACAGCTGTCTGTCAAACTTGTTCAGATTTGTCATCGAGGGTTGTCAGGATATCAGGTTTTAACCTCACAGTTAAAATGACCAGAAGATATATCAATATTGATATTATTGCGATAATTCGGAAAATTTCAAAATAAGACGACACAATCAGTCAAACAGAGGAAAGGCAAGATATTCATAAATGTGTCCGCTTACAACAGATAACAAGATTTACAGTTCTCCTCATGTTCAGTTCTGTGGCTGAATCTTGTTCGGAGAAGATCTCACCACATTAATGATTGTTTGTCATGCTTTTATTTTGATATCTTTCTATCTGTCTAGTACTTGGGTTGCTTTCTTTCCCACATGGTAAAATTTAGATATTAATTTGAAGTTTAAACCACTTCCTGCCCAATGAAAACTATGACAAGAACAGTGTAAATATTAATCATCCACGGACACAAACTCTACTGTTTGAATTAATGATAAATATCTTAATGTTAGTTTTTTAAAGGGCCAGGTCGTCTCTCCGCGGGCTTGGCTGTTTCTTGTTACCTCTGTGTTACTGTGTGATTATTTTGTTTCATATTTAAGTCATTAAAATCAATCAAAACTCTGATTCATGTTCAAGGTCAACGGCAGGCAAACAAAACAAACAAAGGCGAGATAATTTTTGAATATAAAGAAAATAACCAATGATTAAAATGATTAAAAACAAAGGATTCAAATATAAAAGAAATGCCTGAGTTCGTAATGAGGAAACACTGGAGGAAAAATGAAAATATAAACATTCAAAAAAGCAGATTGAGAGTAAAAGAAAGGAATATAATGAATGAGATAATAAAACACTAAAAGATAAAACATTAAGAATAGTGAAACCACACATTGAACAGTAAAACAGACTCAAACTTAAGTAGATAGTAAAACTCAGTTCGATGGCAGACTAATGAGGTGGGTCTTGAGTTTGCTCTTGAAGAGGTAGAGACTGTGTGCCGCCCCCAGGTCTTCATGTAGACCGTTTCCACAGACGTGAACTGAATAACAAAGAGCTACCTCGCTGTGAGTTTTTGTTTGTATTTCAGGCGCCATTAAAAGACCACTACCTGGAGACATGAGGGCTCTCACAGGCTCGTGTGCGAGACCGTTACGAGCTTCAAAAACGATAAAAGAATCTTAAAATCAACTCTGAAAACCACATTTCTACAAAGAGTGTCTGTAATGATCTATTTTTATGCAGAAAATAACAAAGAAACTCAGTGTCCCTGAAATAAAGACACTGCAGACTCCCTTGTCTCTTCCCTCGGTTAAATTGAAAGATCTTGCTTGCATCGAATGGACAGGGATTGGCAATAGAGAGTGATAGCTCTGCGTACCAAATCCCACAGTAGACAAATTAAACTGTTACCTGTGGCTGCTATTTTGGGATTTCTAATATACAAATACGACTCGGATTGTGAAACTAAGATCAGAAGCTGTTCATCTCTCAGAGATTTGCTCGTGTGAAATAAGCTGTTTGGTGTCTCTGAATTCATGTCGGCGTTTCCAGCCTGTAAAAACACATTTGCGATACAGATTGATAAGCATCACTCAGAGCTCCAGGTTTATGTTGTGCTGTTTTTTTTTTTCTCTTCGAGCAGATAAGGTGAGGAAGAAAGCCTGACCCCCCCACTGCTTCAAGCAGCATGAAGAAACATCTAAAACTTAAAAACTTGTTTCTCTCACTGCAGTTCAAAGGTGTACAAGAAAAATCTGCTGGGTAATACCGACACTTTGAACAGGCTGTTGTTGTCTGGTGGATCACACGTCTTCGCACTCCTCTCTCTCTATCTCTGGAGTGGTAACACCGCAGCGAAATGAATGCGGTTACTAACATCATTAGCCATGTCTGCCTTTTTTGTTTTTAATTAAAGGTGACACTAAACTGTAAATGGATTATATATACTGTTGTCATGAAGTGAAACAAATCAATGACTCCTTTTGGGAATTATGTCTCGCCTTAAATTAGAAACAGATTTTTAAAAGAAGGAAATTTAAAGTTAAAGGTGGGGTAGGCAGGAATCCATTAAAGAAGCTTTTTTTTGTGGTGTATACACAAAAAAACTTTTAATATCAGTCAATAGCTATTAATTATTGATGACATTTGGTAATATAAAGATACCGCTGTGTTTGTTTATGTCTGTGTAGTGAACATTTTAAAATTTCAGAGCACTCCGCTCTTTCTGACTGTAAACAAAGCCATTCCCTACCTCCCTCAACCTGATTGGTTGTGAGGCAGACGCTGCTCCCCCGTGTCGTTCACGAGCCCAAACAAAGTTAGCGTGCTACAATATCGGACAGTAGAAACCAACCAGAAAGTACGGAAAATTGTCTGAATCCTCCTTTAGCCACGACTGCCAACACAAGCAAGAAAACGAAGTAAATACCGGAGACTCTGGCGGAATAACAGGCGCTTCAAAAGGAGGTAGACCGGACAAGAGCTAAAAAGCCGGGTCATGCTGAGTTCTTGTTACCTCGTTAGTTGGATATCAGAGCTGAAAATGACGTCACACCCAAGTTCCCAGCGTTTTAGTTACCAAGTCGGAAAAAAGAAAAATCGGAGGCCTGAAACAAGAAGGCTACATCTACGAAACTTATTTTAGTTCCTGCCTTGACTGAATATAAGGCAAGCGCTAAAATAACTTTCTTAGATGTAGCCATCTTGTTTCAGGCCAACGATTTTGCTGCTAACTTGGGTGTGATGTCATTTTCAGCTCCGATATTTAACTCCCAAGATGACTTCTCGACCGAACCAATAATCAATGAAGCTAACATTGATGGTGACCCTGTAACCTTTCTGCTGGACAGGTAAACCACTTTAACAAAGTAAGTCAAGTGTCTGTAACAGAAGTGTTTCTTGTCCAATGGGACCTGCTGTAGCGTGTTGTAGCGCCATCGCTAAACTGTTGACCTCGGGTCCTGGACTATGTCACTTTACCCTAGTTGTAGAAGTCCAGCAAACATTGTGTTTGCTAGTAGTCTGTTGGCATCTACAATAGCACCAATGCTTTTTACTTTCATGTTGACTGGGCTCCATTTGTAATTTTCTGAAGTATTTCTCTGCATTATATCTGAATAATTTGAACGATACGAGCGAGCAGGAGCGTCTGTTTGTGGGCGGGGCTTGCTGGAGCAGAGAGGGCGGGGAGAGGAGGAGCTGAGGGGAAAACTGGTTTAGAGGGGTAGAGTTTACATTCAAGATTTCTCCTAAAAACAGGCACTTCCACAGATCCTGCCTACCCACCTTTAAGGGCGAACACACAAACAGGTTAGTTACCTGTCGTCCAGGATGAAGCATCTGACGTTACCACAGCTGGTCTCTGTCCGCAGAAATCTTTCCAGTCACACATGTTAGAGAAGACAAAAAAAAGGAAAGAGAAGTTTAACTTTTAGGTTTTAATAAGATCTTAAAATTACTACAATAATTCCCTGACATCACTTGATACTTGTCCCCAAACCCCTTAACCATTAAAAGAAGAAGAAATCATCATATGGAGCTCATTTTGAGGTCCCGACAAGTCCCTGAATCAATAGCCCCAGGCTCCAGGCTCCTGGCTCCAGGCAGGTGTTGCGGGTGGTTTAAATAATTAAGTACATGGAGAGAGACAGAACTGAAGTCAACGGGTCGTCATATAACAGTGAAGGATACAGGCATCGTGTTACAATGTTAAAAGCAGGTAATTGGAGTGAGTAATTGGCCAGTTTGGGTGCTCAAAGTGGCCTGGAAGTGCTAAGGAGACATGGCAGCCCATTGATTACAGGGCCCCCGGGATCCGGGCAAAGACTGCAAACATTAGCTGTTTTTAGATAAAGGCAGAGTTAGCAGAATGAAACAGAAGCTGCTGCCTGTTAACCTTGAGAGTCCAAACACGGCAGGTCAGATTTAACAGGAAAGAATATGGATAATCTTGAAAGTGGTGATTGTTCTGTGTCTTAAACTTACCTTTGTAGTTTTGATCTTGTTCCCTGTTGCGCAGCTCCAGCCCTTCAGGTCAGGGAGAACTTTGCATTCTTCCCCGTCAAGGCACGGGTGCATCTGACACCACCACTTCTGCTCCACTATTGAGGCTGTGAAAAGACGTAGATGTAAAAACACTCTACCTTTGCTCACAAACACTGCTTACTGACCTCTGACCCTGTATTGAATACATCGATACAAGTGTTTGCTAACACTGTATTCACCAACTAGCTTAACTATCCTGTCTTTATATTGATTAAGCTGCTTGACCCACAAATTTCAGCGACTTATTTAGTATCAGTGGACATGAATCTAAACAACCTCTGTCCATCTGTGTCATTAACTCTGAATCATCATGTCCCATTAGAGTCACCAAACACTGTCTTTCCCTGAGCTCCATCATGGCGTAGGTTCCTCTGGATCGCTGCTTTTGCCGACATTTTTCTGCCTGTTTTCCAACTTTCTGCATCAGTCTCACCTCTGTCCACCTCTCCCAAAACCCAAAGCAGTCTAGGCAGATGACTGTCTAACATGAGTCTGGTTCTACTTGAGGTTTCTGCCTATTAAAGGAAGTTATTCCTCTCCGCTGTAACTCACTAAATGTTGCAGAGTGTTTTACTCGTGGTTGAATATGGGATGGGAGTGGATTTGATTTTACAAGGTAGGGCTCAGTCTGATCCCATCTTTACATCCGGTCTTTGTAAACAGATTATGGTCTAGCCAGACCTGGGAAATTTACGGCCCAAGGGCCACATCGGGCCCTTTGGACGTCCCTGCTCGGCCCTTCGTTAGGTCTGTCAATCAAATCATTAACATGCTATAAAAGTCTGTTGCTTTTATTTTGAAAACCTTACCGTTGTTTAATTTCCATTTGGACACATGTGCGTACATCCTAGATCTGCAATATTCGTAGACGCCTTAGAGTTGCCAAGTCTGCTTATTATAAAAGACTTTAGGCTTGTTTCTCTCAGAAGTCGCTTGTAAAACTCATGAGTTGCGGCTGCACTTTTTTGGGCTTGTTTTTAACTCTTAGTTGCTTATTTGCTTTTCTGTATGTGTGAAACCCCTGATTTGAAGTTGAAGTTATTGTTGGTTCAGCCCTCCAATACAGCTCAGGTTTCTCATATGACCCCCATGTAAAAATTAATTGCCCACCCCTGATCTAGACCAGCTTTTTTATTAAGCAGTTTGGGATTACTTGTTGTTGGCTGAAAGAAAGTGAAGGTACGACTGTTGTTTGGATTTGATGCGCAATGCTGATCTGTTCCACTAGATTTGGTAAAATGTAGTCGCACTTTGGACCTCTTCACACGTTCATCCATCGCTGTAACTGACTGACCTCAGAGTTCATGTTCTTGTAGTTTAAATATCAGCTTAAATGCAGAAAAATGCAGAACTTTTAATGAAATCAGGTCCTGATACCCAGTATCTCAAAAAGTTTGTTCAGGAAAGTTTGATGTAAGTTTTCTGCACAGTTGAGAGCAGGATGAATGTGGGTTTGAAAGCATCCCTGTCAAGTTTTCACATAAATCTAATCTAATTTTAATGTTGCATTAGCCTTACTTCTTCTTTATGTATTTATGCTGTTCAGCTTGTTTTTGAACAACGAAAATAATTGAACAAAACTCAAATTTAAAGTAATGAACACCGGATTCTTCACTTGTTTTTTAGCGCATTTCCATCACCTGACGAATCCAAACTAAGGCGTCTCCTCGCGTTATAATCAAATCATTATATCGTGTCTCTGTCTCATCAAGTTGTGTCACATTTTGACAGCTGTCTCAGGTATGTGATGTAAGATTTACTGTCTGGATGGCAACACCCATGACATCTATTTTGAGTATTCAAACACACGAGATGACGAGAGTTTTTCATGAGCACCCACGTCTTCAAAGAAGGAAATATGTGAGTCTAGTTATGAGCGGGTGGAAAATGTCAGCTGGTGTATGAGCGACACCTAAATTGCCTCTAAGCTCCAGCTATTCTTTTTTTATACGACATCATTTAAATTTAACACATTACAGAGGTCATTATCTACATTTCACCAGCATTAGCAGTCCTCCTAATGAAGAGGACAGTTATTATAATCCACACATTACACCAGATCGTCACCGGGGTAAATTGTACAGAGTGGAAACTTTATGACATAAGGGAATTAGCTTGTATCACAAAGCCGTGGTTATAGCAGCAGCGCGGCGTAAAATAAGCATCAGGTCAACTGCGAGCAGATGGCGGTTGTGTAATAGCAGCTATTAAAAAGCCACAAAGGTTTCTCATGGAACGAAACAGAGATATGGATAAAGTGCATGGGATCAATTTCACTTAAAAGTAAATGATGCTTTAAAACACAAGAGCTTAAAAAATCCAAGTACGTCTGCAGACAGAAAAAAAAAGACTTTCTTTTGACCTTGAGCTTCATCTGAAGACACACTGATACAAAAACTGAAACTCAAGGCGTTACTTGAACAACCTAGTGTGAAAAAACAGCTTATTCTAAAGATTACACACTGAGGATTAAACTGTAAGTGTTGTCGCTGAGTGTCTTTGGAGTGTGGCCAAACGTTTCTGGCAGGTATTGTATATTATTGTGTGTAGCTTGAACGCTACAGCTGCTTGTGGGTTTTTGCTTTAGTTGCAGATTTTAGATCCAAATCTGGTGGTCCAGAGTTTCCTGTACTAAAGGGTAGCTACATTTTACAGTTTATAATGTAGTTCTGACCGATTTCAAAGCTTACATCAAAAACAAATACTGTTCAAAACTAATGAAGGAGATATTTAAATACTTTTCCTTTAAAAAATACTTGTACAAACTAAAAAGTAAATCTACACACTGAAAACACCAGGGTTGAAAAGGACCGACTACTTACTGGGTTATTTTGACCCAGAATGTTGGGTTATTCAAATTAACCCAGATTTTGGGTTGACTCAGTAACCCTTCTTAAGGGTCAAGTTAATCCAATCTTCGATTTGACAATCTTCGACAATCTTCAATTTGACTCATGCTCTTGGATTAAATTACCAATGCATATAGGGAGGGTATCTTGGGAGCTTTTCTTTTATAAGCTGTACCCTATTTTCCCATGTACTTTTATCTAACTGATTGTAGGCCATAGCGGTCAGGGTCTTGCGTAAGGGCCCACACTGGTGGATGTAGTTCAGTTTTTACAGATGTGTCCCATGTGGGATTTGAACCCCAACCCCCAGTTGGGCATTGGATGCTCTACCTGCTGAGCTACCCCAGCCACCAATATATATTGGGGTAGCTACCCCGAGTTACCCCAATATATATATATATATGTAATTGGGTTACAATAGAATCCATATGACCCAAGAAATGGGTATGGATCTAAAAAATAACCCAGAAATTTAACTCAAGTATAACCCAGGAATTGGGTTGAAGAAAAAACCCAAGAGTCTTTAGATTGCAGCTTCTAGCAGGACTGTCAGGATGTATCAGATTATCTTGGCCATAACAGATTGTGATAACGATGTTATTTCGATATTTATGGAAACTTGAAAGTAGAACAAAGCAATCAGTAAATCTGAGGAATGGTGGGACGAGGGTGGAGCAACACATGACTTCACAAACTTGACTCATAAACACAGCTGACTCATATGTCATGATGTATTTGTTATACTATTCAACTTTATGATCCATCATCAAAATTTCTGAGAAGAAGACAAGGTCTTGTTAACTGATTGTCATGCTTTTATTTTGATAGCCAGCACTGCCAAACTATGCTTTTATTTTGAAGTCAGGGTTCCTCCACATACTTTTCCATACCCTACTTTTTAGAACTATTTTTGAACATTGATCAAATTACTTTTATACTTTTCCATACTTGCGTAGGAACCCTGTGAAATGTACAACTTTGGGTAGACTGTAAGGAACTTTAATATTATAAAAGACAGTTAGCCTAAAATGAAATGACATTTTTCTTACAGTTCAGTATTGATATGTAATCGTAGTAATAAATACCAAATAAGTATTCGTCAGTGTGGATACGCGAATCAAGCCTCAGAAGCTTCATATTTACCAAACAGATGGATGAATAGTTGGTTATCAGTCCTCTTTTCTGACTTATGTTGCATTAAACCAGTGACCTTTAGTTCACAGAGCTGCTTGGAATATTACCAATCCAGTATGTTGAGCTGTAATGACGATAACATGTCATTATTATTATCACAATATTTAGGCTCGTCTGCATTGATGACGGTGCTATCAAAGCCAAATGGTATTGTTATAGTTCAAGTGTGCTGGTATTGTTCCTCCTAGAATTGCACATTAAAATTCAGTTTTTTTTTCCTCCCAGATGTCTTCAAGTTCATTTATCTTCATATAAGAAGGCTCTGGTCTCACACCATGTGGAGCTAAAGGTAATCCCTTGGTCGTAGAAGAAAGAATAATTAAAAGGTTAAGTGCTGATCATTTTTTACTGAGATCACCCGCGGAGCTTTAAACTGAGGCCGGTGGCTCACAGCTTTAATTTGCAGAAAATGTCAATAGTAAAATGTCAAGGAATAGGTCAAACACAATTGGGTCCAGAGCTTAGCAAGAAATGGCTGCTGTTCAGACTAAAGTGAGGCAGACACTTCAGCCGAGTTAGGGGTCAGACACATTAGCATGCTAAAGACCCTGTAGGTCAGTGACTTTACAGTGTGCAGAGGACAGCTTCACATTCATTTAAAGGTGATTAAAAAGCCTTCAGGAGACGCTGTAAGCTCAGAACGCTTGATTCCCAAAAGTGAAAAAGTCAAATATAAAAAGGATTATTTAGCAGAATTAGGCAGAGTAGATCTACCTTAATTACAGCAAGAGCTGCTACAAAGAAAATTAGACATTTGAGAAACTATTTGGAGAATTTTTGAACCAGCTACTGCTGTGATGGGAGCTATTACCTCTGTAAATGTGGAGAGCGTCGAAGCCATCAGTCCGAAATAGTAACTGAAAATTACACCAGTTGACATTTTGGCGCCCCCTGTGGACATGGTGATTCACTTTTTTTTTCTTTGGAGTAGTTTAGACATTAAAAAAATACAATTTGAAACTATTTTGTCGTGTTGCTGATGGACTTTTTTTTGCCTCAGTTTTACTTTCAGTTTTAGTTTCGCCATTTTTCAAAATCCGATGTTAGGCTAGGTCATCTATTAAATATATATCCGACCTCTACTAGTCACAAAACATACGCGTTTCATTTCCACTTTAATACCCAGAAAATTCAACTTAACTTTATTGTAACTCAGAGTTGTCATTTAGAGAAAGTATGTCGTCCTCGTCCATTTTTCATACAAAATTTTCCGTCCTCTCTTGACGTCTTTCTTGCCCTCCGTTCACCAACCCACCCTGAGACGTAATCAACAATGTCACTTCAAGATGGCGGCTCGCTGAGTGGAGAGCCAGCTAGAAACTACAAAATAAACTCATTTCTATGGTTTTTCGCCATTTTTCAAAATCCGATGTTTGGCAAGTTCGTTTATTAAAATATATCTGACCACTACTAGTAAGAAAAGATGCGCGTTTTATTTCCACTTTTAATACCCAGACAATTAAACTTAATTTTCTTGTAACTCTAAATTATTATTTAGAGGATGTATGAGCAGAATTTAGAAGAGGAATTAAAAAGTTATTTAATCTGTTGATGTAAAAGTTGTGTATTTAGAGTCATTTGTGTTAAACTGATAATTTAAGTTGATACCTGATGTAACTGCCAGATAAACTCAGACTACCTTTCTCCTGCCCTAAATTGCTTCCTAACAGCATCTTCCAGACTAAATTATACTCATGTGACTTAGTGTCTGCCGGAGCATTTATCGATGAGCTCAGCAAAACCACTCCTCCAGATTTGTGGAAAGGAGTATCAGCAAAAAAGGGAGAAGATGACCCATGAAATATTCAGCCGGAGCGTACCATCTACACAGGACGGAGCGGCTCTGGTGGTGCCGGCCACTTGCCCGGGGAAACAGGAGCACTTCACAGTTTGTGACCGCTCTTCGATTTTGTTCTTGTTGCAGCAGCGATGCAGCGCCACCACCTCGCAGGTTCCTGTCCGGACGTGGTGCGCTGCTGGAGAAATGAGAGGCGAGACAGAATAATCAATCAAGAGTAGATCAACAGTTATTTATTCTAATACACTTAAAAATACCTCTGTTTATTCTCTAATCAACACTCTCTCAAAACTTTCCTCTATTAAAAGCTAGAAATTCTGATTTTAATGTTCCCAAATATAATACATAACTCATATAGAAATTTAAAGAAATTAAAGGGGCATTACAACAGTTTAGCTTCATGCCAATAGACAGTAGTTTGAGTTAAAAGTCTTATTTAAAGACACAGATTGAGAAAATGGTTGAATAATTTGAGGAAAACTTGTAGTAATTGGTCCGGATCAAAAACATGCTGCAGCCTACACTTCCCATAATGCAAACAGTCCATTCATTCAATTCAAATCTCCAAACTGGTAGGGTAACCCCCAATTTCCACCGCATCCAGAATCTCTACAAAATGGCCGTATCCGCTGACCGTAGCTGATCGTAACCATTCAAGTTCATGTGACAATTTCCACCGGCTTCTTTCCGTTCTGCTGCAGATTGCCGTAGCATGTATGAAAACTACTGTATGAAAACATCTGGCTACTTTTCAAAATAAAACACTTTCAGGCAGATCTTATTTCACATCATGCAAACGGGCAGGAATGAACAAGTGAAAGGTTTATAGACAGCGTTTCACCCAGATGACACCATGGATGAGGAGATGCTGGTTTTATTAATCTAGAAGTAGATTCTCTCCTCTGGAAGGACACAATCTGCGGCTTAAATGGTTAGCCTATGTGGCTAAAGACAACTTGTTATCGCGTGATTGCACGTGAATTTCGAATCGGAGCCGTTCCGGATGCGGTAGAAACCTCGGGTAAATCTGACTTTGCAGAATCATTCCTGCACTATCTAAAAAGTAAATATTGATAAAGAGTATGCACTGCATGTTGAACGAAAATGTGGGAGGAGTGCGCATTTGGGACTCAATCTTCAGGGTTTTTTTCCAACATAAAACAGAATCATATAAGAGAGCTGTTTGTCTGCAGCTGCACACCACAGCAGCTGAAACCTGCATTAAAAACTCAGGCATGGTGAGATGAAACGAAGAAAAGTTAACGCATCATTTGATACCAAGTAACCATCCATCATGAAACAACAACTCAACGACCCCTGTATATGATGGAGTCAGCTTAAAACTGTCCGCAGTGTATACACAAACCTTCTCTTTTTACTGTCTTTTTACTTCACGCAGGGATTTAATGAGTTTTAACCAAACTTTTATATGTTATTAAAGGAAAACCCTTCGGCCTATTATGAATCTTACACCCCTGTAACAACTCGCCTTCAATATGATTGTCACAGAGGTGTGACGGTGGAGCTAAGTCGTCTCGCTTTGTTGGCATCCAAGGTAGTAACAGAGGCAAGACGGGATCACAGTGAGCCAGCCGTGAAGGCGAAGCAGAGTAGCTCTGTGTGTGTGTGTTTATGTCTGAGTGTGTGTCAGCTCCAGCTGTTAAGCAGTGTTAAATCACACACTGAGACACCAGTAATTTGCCGTGTGAAGTTAATATGAAAGTACAAAGCTGTAATGTAAAAGCAGAACTGGCTTTCAGCTTGTAACAGCACTGGTGACAAAAAAAGAGACATGGTCAAACGTCGAATCACACTCCCTGTGACATCGCCTCTGTGTGTGTGTGTCCCTTTAAGACCTTTTGGAACTAGCTGCAGCTCTAAGCCCTGTAGTGGAGGCAGCCAATCAGGACCTGGCATCGTAAACATGAACATTATCTTTATCCTGCAGGGAAAAATTCAGCCTTTGAATAAATAATAACTCAGGTATGACATGAAATGATTGGGACTGATGCTGCTCCACATTCTCCACAACAAGAAAAAGCAGATATATGATGGGGGAAAAAAAAAAAAAACACACAGCTCTGCAGAATTTGGAGCCAATTTCCAGATCATGCTCCATTGTCTGAATTATTTAGAGCCTGAGCGGCTCCTTTCTCTTCTAATTGCTTGTGACATTTTCTTAAGGTGTCCTTCTGCTGAGACTCTCTCTGCTGCTGCTGCTGCTGCTGCGGTAAACAGTAAATCTGAAATGACTGTGAATGTGAGATCCACCCTCACTGTCTGCACAGAGGCAGCTCAACCAAACCCAGATAATTATACTTTCACTTCAACCTGTTATATTAGTGAACAGCAATGCTTTCCACCTGCTCTAACAACTGTCAGCTGAGACGAACAGTGATGAAATCGGCTGGTAAAATGGTTAGTTATGACATCTAGCAAAGGTTGTATTTCACTGTAACTCCTCCTTTTTAATACACCTGAAGGATCTTATTGGTACAGTACAAATGGGTCGCCTTGCAGACAAATAGTAGGCCTTCATAAAGTTAGCAAATGAGACATTCGACAAGGAGTAAGGTTTTAAAATTTTTTAACTGCTCATGGTTATTCATGGATCTGCTCACTGTATCATTCTGGCTACTTCCAAAGTGGACTTTCTCTGAAATGTTTACATACCAGGACAACTTTTTGTTCACCCACAGACTTTTAATTTTCAGAATGACACTCATGTAAAGCAGCTGCTGCTCTTCTTACATCGTCACGTTTACATTTTGACATAGAAGTTGAAGAAAAATACAATTTAGGTGACCTCGATTCTGATTTTGTTAAAGAAAATCTCTCGATCTGGATGGATCAACCTATTATCGGTTCAAACTGAGGATGAGGCAGGTGAGGGAGTACCGATGGGCGATCCACATTGACTTTTGAGCTACCAAGACTGTTTGCACTAACAAGCAGGGGCGTGTCCAGAACTTTTTGACTGGGGTGGCCCAACCTCAGCACTGACACTGTCGGGGTGGCATGACGTATGTGAGCCAACTTACAAATAAATAACATTTACTACTGCATCTGTGTTGTTGGGGTGGCCATTAAGTTTATTTTAAAGTGTCTCATCCCTGACGAGGCGAATAGATAAAAAAGACGATCACTTGAAAATGGGAGCTTTACTTAAAGTTGACGTTTTATTTCCTAAAAATAACTTAAAGGGATATTTTGGCGAAAAACAAAGAGGGATGATGCAGCTCAAGGAAGAACATTTATGATTATTTATTGATCATCTCCTTGAAGTAAAATTCACCATGATAATCATTTTGCACTGCAGACGCGGTAGTTCTTCTGCCTAAGCGTCTCTGTCTGATTGCATTTCCATGAAGAAATGTTCTTCCTTGACCCGTGTCACCCCGCAGCAGTCGGTAATGGACTTGTCTGAGTTCTGCCAACTAAAAAGCGGCTGCTGGAAGAGAGTAGGTGAGTTGTTTTTAGCCTCTTTGCTAAAGAAAATAAGCAAAGTTAAAAAGATGTTTGGTGGCTAGTACTATGGCTGGGACCCTGTATGTACTGTTGATGAAGTTAGGTGCTGTTCTGAGCATTATTTGTGGCTTTAGAGTGGCGTTTTGGTTGAGTTGTGTGCTTGGCTCCTCATGTGGTCGTTACTAAAGTTGGTATAACTAGAGAAGGAAGCGGTTGACGACATTCATCTCTCGAGGGGGTGTCTAACTCTGTGTTACGTTGTGTTTTAATTTCATGCCGGAATATCCCTTTAACATGAGATGTACGTGTTGATCAAATACTTATGTTACTTCAGCTAAAATCATATATTTCTGCTAAAGGTAGTGATTTAAAGTGGGCTGTTATCTCACATTTGAGTATTTTGGACCTTGAAATAGCTTCAAACACTAACTTATGGCTGCTGGTATAAGATATGAGCTAACAGCAGGTATAATATGACTAGTCAAACATAAGACAGACGGATGGAGAAGAAAGAAAATTTCACTCTGACTCTGGACTCAGCCCGTGACGGCTTGTCTCCTTCGCTACCCACCCATTTCTCGCTTCTTTATACATCAGTAATAATGCAGGCGGAAGCTTGAAATTTGCGTGATGCTCACTCCCGCTCCACCCCGACAAAAGAAGATGTGAGAGACAAACACAGAGCGTGGCGAGCTGCTTTAGATGTAAGAGAGGTGCTGCCAGTACCTCTCTGAAGGACACGCTTCACACTGAGAGGCTGTGGTTTTTCTGACTGGATTTAGAGTTGCACTTGGAAGCCTGTTCTGCTCCTCCTGCCAGAATGTACAGAGAAAAGCATTTCACATGGGAATCCTACAGCCCAGCTTTGAATCTGCTGCACCGCTGCTGCTGCTGCTGCTTCTGCTGTGACAGAGCCGATCCCCTCAGCGCCGGACATGCTGTCACATCAGCTGCTGTGGTTGTTTAGTGGATTTTGTTTTAAAGTTTTATAAGACAAGCATGATGCCAGGGTATTTAAAGAGCTGAATTCAGTTTTTTTTCTGCTGGCACGGCTGTTAAGAAAATCTCCATATGGATGCTGAGTCCCCAGTTAACCTGTTTTCACTTTACTCTGGAGGCTTCTCACCTGAGGCTTTCCAAAACGGCAGAACGCCATAAATGAATAAATACATGTGCCACCGCATAAAAAATACAGGGAATATTTTTACACATATTTTACACCTGAAACTGGAGTAGTTCTGTCGTAGTTTGCTTCACTTTGATGGCCCAGTTCTAAAATGCATCTTTAACGCAGCCTGAATATGAATTATTGAATTAAACTGACTGAATTTTACAAAACTTGAAGCTTCCTGACTAAACGCTTAAATGAAGAATTGAGATTTGAGGGTTTTTTTTTAACAAAAATTCAGATCCAAGGACAGCGGTTAAAAAGAAAAGGATCAGGAATGTCTATTTAAAGTCACTTTAAAGCACCAGAGTGTCTTTTTCTCCGGGGAAATAATGTATCTTGAAAGTATAATGCTGTTTTTTTCAGACTTCCTTCCTCTGTCATGATTCATTTCATCACTGTTCACCAAATGGAGCAAGCCAAAGACAGCGTCTATTTCCCAGGATAGTCTTCTGGTAGCACCTTTAAAATGCAAATATACTGTTTGTGCAGGAGATGTGGTATTGACCTGATAGTAATGCAGGTTTCCTTTTCATGAAATACATCTAAAGAAAGTGGGATCAAGTGATTAAAGCTCCTCTCCAATTGTTTTTTTTATTATTATTATTCTGTAAAGTGTTCTCAGTAGTCGTTAAATTGTGATTATGAAGTTTTTTAGCCAAAGTTGTGTTACCTGTATCATTTCAAGAACTTTTCTCCTGCAAAACTCCAGTAGCTCATTGGCAATTCACCTCTGAGTCGTGGGTGGAGACAGCGCTGCTCTGCACACTCCTCCTTACGTTAGCTTGTAGCCTAACATTTCCAGTGTAATAGAAGTGGCAGGTAACATGGAGCTATTCAGCTCTCTGACACTAATGTCTTTGGGTAGGGTGACCATACGTCCTCTTTTACCCAGACATGTCCTCTTTTTGGGGCGCTGTCCAGGCTTGTCCAGGCTTGTCTGGCTTTGTCCGGGGAAGTTTTAAAAATTATTCAAATGTCCGCAATTTTGTACGAGAGTTCCCATTTTGTGTCATGTGGACTTACTAAGTTACACGCACATAAAAGACACTTGATCCAACCAGGAAAACCTCATGCAACTCTGTGACTCCGCCCCCGCATAGTCATGTCCTCTGTTTGGGAAGTCAAAATGTGGTCACCCTTTCTTTGGGGACACGATAAAAGCTAATATCATAATTATCTTTCTTGTAATCCGCAACCGCACACGCTTGTTTCACAATCATCTCTCAACTCCTGTGAGTCTGGCCTGCAGAGCAGGGCAAAGGGGGCGGAGCTTGGAGTTGTGACATAGAAATCCTACTGTGTCTGAACCTGCCATTTGTGTCTGTGGGAAGTTCACAGAGATTTGAATGCACAAATACTCAGAAATGTAAATTTGCTCTTAGTTTTTGCATGATGTATCCTGTAGCATCAGAAAAATGCCATGATTGTCATCGGAGTGAGTCTTCAGATTTAGTAAAACAGTAGTTTTTTGTAGGTATAGGTGGAGGCTATCATCTTTGTTTGAGTCTATCTGTGATCAGCTGACTTTAAAAGTTCTAGTTCGAGATCACAGCCTGCTGTTGGTACAGAAATATGAAAGACAGAACTGTTTGAATGGACTCCCCCTCAGATTTTGACTTTGTTTTATGTAAAAGAGCTGCATGGACCCTTTACTTTAAACGTTTATTCAACTCTACAGCACAGAGTTTAAAGCTGGATTCGTATCTGCGGATGTGTCTGTCCCAAACGAAAAGCCCCGAGGCGTGTTGCCTGAAGGTAGATGAGAGGAAATCACCAACAGTTGAGATGTACTTTTAAAAATAACAAAAGAAAACACTGTTTTATGTCTTTTCTAATTATACTTCCTGTTCAAAGCCTGCATGCGTGTTGTTGCTTCGAGGCTTGTTTGCTCACATTAGAAGTGCTGTTGGAGAAACAGTGAGAGAGACAAGTCCTTAAATCTTTTGCCAATACGAGCGCTAAAAATAAGATGTCACAGAATGTAAAAACAGTTTAATGATCCGCATCCATGCTCAGGATTTAAGAAACCCAATAACTCGCACACTCACACAACAAAGCAGCTGACCTTCAGCTCAAATCTGTAATAAACAGACTGAGCTGTCAGGTGGACACTTTCCCCCCATGTAGACCCTCTCAACCACCAGCCCCTCCAATCCTTTCCTAATAGATCCCCCTGAGCTGTGAGCTCTGGTGTGTCTGTTGTTGATGACACTCATCAGCAGATTGTGTTTGAAAAATGAAGACACTGTTTGCATCAGATGTGGGAGCTTTCAAAAGCAACACCCAGTGAGCCAAAGCATCCGTCATCTCGCCAGGAAAAGAAAACCTGTTTGGAAATAAAACACCAGCTTTTCATGGCTAATCATAGCCGAGTGGAATGCTGCAACACAACAAGAGGAATGAATCATGCCTGGGTGGAAACGCAGGAAACGGTGACTTGAGTTTTTTAGAAGACATGACAGTAATGGAGAGTTTTAACGCTGAGGGGAAAATGAGACACTGAGATATTCGAAAAATGCTCTGAGAAAAGTATTTCTTCATGGTGTTAGATTAATCAAACTTTACCTTTGCGTTGATTTTAAAGGACCTAGCATTGAGCTAACACTGAATAACCAATTAGTTAAATAAAAGGATGAAGAGAGCGTTGGTTAATTCACCTTGGGTCCTTCTTAAGCTGTCTAAAGTGGAGCAAAAGGAACAAGGGCACGTTTAGCCGCATTTTGCTTGTTTTGCACGGCCTACAATAGAGGTATTGAATGAGAGCCAGGGTGCAAAGAGGTTTATCTAATCCCATGGTTATTCACAAGTGTGTTTTGGGTGTAATAAATGTAACCGATCAGCATGGGTCCTCTCTTATCATCCTGTATGAGTCATGTAGGGATGTTGCTATTCACATGGCAGATTTTAGTCTCTCCAAACAAACAGACCAAGAAGAAGCCAGTGCACCAAGCTTCCCTCCTTCCTCTGAGCCTCAAAAAGCACAAAAACACTTCCAGGTCTCACTATGAGTTATGAGTCAGTGCATGTATTGATATTTAATGAAACAATCCCTCTGACCAGCAGAAACAAAAGAAACTTTTTCAAACTGTATTTTTGACTGAGTGCATAATGGATACTGTTGAGTCTCAATCAGTTGAATTTGTGTGGACATGATGGTCGGTGTTTCCAAGCCCCCTGTTCCAATAAATACTCACTTTACTGTATCCAGAAAAACCTGATCTTACTCTTATGGAGCGCTCATACCAAGCGCAAGTAAAATCATCTACTCGCTCAATTCATGTGAATCTAGACGCATGAATGAATAGTATTTACTCCCGTCATTTTCAGTTACAATGGTAATCCCTGCCAATTCAACTTGGGGGATCAAGTGATAGGCAAAGTTTTTTGACAATTTTTGACAACCAGGTCATCCGACCTCCTCACTCACTTGCCCCCAGGTGAGCTCCTTTTAATTCCGGTTTCGGTAATTGAAAGAAAAGGTATCCTAAGGCACCCACACACCGACGCTATCAGTTTGTCCTCCATTTTAGATACCAGTGAGCAACCGTCCGTTTTCAAATGTAGCCCGGCGACCTTCGTGCTTATTAGTTATCGGGACGTGAATATCCGCTCAAGTTGTGACATTTTCAGCTCCCGTCCAATTTGCATCATTCACGCTGCCAGAGAAGTAGGAGCGTCTAGTCACGTCTTTGCATTGACTTAACATGTAATTCATTCGCGCGAATGATTTTACTTGCGCTTTGTGTGTGGAGATGGTTAGAGAGAGGGCGCAGTTGTGCATCTCTTAATACGGGCACAAAGAAAATGAATCTGTGATGTGGACCCTTATGGCCATCTTACTATCTTGCTATTGCACCCTCTAGACAGAAGAAAAGCATCGCCTTCAGACCTGTTTTCTCTTAACCTAGGCAGACACACTTCCTTTGATAGCAACATGACACCATGGGTTCTGACCATTTTAAGACTTGTTTGGAGACTAGCCTCTACATAGGTGCTAGTTTCATTTGCTATTTCCACAATGTGGGTGCTGGACTGTTGGTTCGCTGCAATAACGGAAGCTTAAGATTTCACCATATTTCACATTAAAGCTCCTGTGAGGAGTTTTTGACACCTGTGGCAGACTGAAACTTATTTTGATCCATTTTCAAAAGACACTTCAGCGTGTAGAAGACAGATTAGGCGAGGGCTGCTTTGTCCATAAAAACGCCAAATTAACACAAACCAAAAGTTACTTACAGGAGCTTTAAGTTAAGCTATAATATAATAATAGCATGTGGCATAATTGCTGTGCTAGAACAGGCAAGAACAGATATTACAAAAGTCCTTTGTTTTTATAACCAGACATGTGCATCCTTCTTTTTTTCAATTGTCAGGAAATAGAAACCGATTATTCTGCCAACATCATACTGGTCATGAAACAGAGATAATAAAGCACATTATCAAAAGCAGCTCCTCTAAAGCAAAGGCTGCTCACATATCAGTACAGAAGAAAGAGGGATGATAATGAGTCAGATTTCATCCCCTTCAAATCCTGTAAGTCTCAGTGACGAATGAAATCAAAGTGGATTTGTTGACATTTTACCAACCTCTTCCTATTTACACCTTCATTCGTTTTTGTTTTTTCTCTTTTTTTTCCTCTGTGCTGCTCCTGCCCCACTTTCACCCATAACCACAGAACAAAACAAAAATAGATTTTTTTCTTCCTTAACTGGGTTCTGCAGAACGTCCTCTGGGGGAAATGTAAACAAAGACAATTCCAGCCTGTTCTGGTCTCCTTTGGTGAATCTTTAAATTTGTTTCATGTGATCCGACAGAGAGCTGGGCATGAGCCAATGAGAAAATACACATAAAAATAGACTGATTTCCTGCTGACTTGTTCGAATTACACCAGTTTAACTATGTCATTCACTTTACTTACAGTTCAGACTCTTTGTAAGCTCATTTAACCATCCATCATTCATCCATTATCAGTCAGCTTCCTTGTCAAAGTTATGTTTGGACGCTTTTTGTGATATATTTAAACAACACCAAGATTCAGGGATTTCTTGACTAGTTGAAAGGCTGAAAATAAGGTTAATTCAGGTTCATATCAGGGAAAATAAACATGCCAATACACAAGCGAATATGCTGAATTCTGAAGGATACACTTTTTGGAAAAACTTTCTTAAGGTTCAGAGAAACTTTTGGAGAAAATTTGGAAGCCTTACAATGTCCCGATAGACCTTGAGAAATGAACAAGGTCTTAAAATCAATCGTGGACAACCTAAATTCAGATAAACCACATTAATGGATTGATTCCACATTAATTTTGATTAGTTTTTAAGACCGGTTTTAGTTTAGTTTTGATTTTATTTTCTGAAAATCCTTGATTCAAGTTGAGTTTTCAAAGTTTTAGTGTTAGGTTTTGTTATTTTTTGTAATCTGGAGCAAAACCCCTGAAAGTTTTACATCATATAGGAAAATTTTTTGCCTCTTCAGAGACAATAATGATGTTAAAACGAACTACATGTCCAGCGTTACAACTCAGATGCAAAGAGAAATCTTATGTATTGGTGCGTGGGCTCACATACTTCATACCACCACAGCGGTGTCAGTGCGCGGTTTGGGCCACCCCTGCCAAAAAACAGTCTGGACACACTCCTGCTAGTCAGCACGTGCCAAGTCGAGTGCATTGATTTAGCAACAGATGGATCCATGTGAAAAAGACTCTCTGTTGATGGATCAGAGGAGACTACAGTTAAAGACAGGGACTCCACTCACATGTAAAAGTCTGTTAATGTAGAGCGTCAATGAAGGCAATAGGGGAGAGGGATCGCCCATCGGCAATCCCTCCTAAGATCAACAATAAGAGGATTTTCGATACGCCTATAAATGAAATACTAGTGCTCAATAACAGGGAAATACACCATATTATTATTATTATTATTATTATTATAAGAAGAAAAAGGCTTTACATGCTGTGGTAACAAGCAGGACAACTTTCAATAGCTTTTGAGCACAGATGGCCATAATGTGCTCAGAGACCATCCTACTGCTCGTGTTCATGCTTTGTAAAATGCAGCTACTGTACAGAAACTCATTACTGTTAGAGTCTGCTTGTGCGTGAGAGGTAAATGAGAAGACTGACAGCATTAGAAATTTATAACAACATGTCACCGCTGTCTTTACAGCTTGTTACGCTGCTTCTAAGTGGTCGACAGAGTCGGCTGCTGTATAAGTAATGTGAGAATAAATCAGAGGTTCAATTAAGTCAGCTCTCAAAGAACTGTTTGATCATTTTTTTATATTTAAAGTGCAAATCGGAGCGTTTTTCTCAAAATGTCACAAAATATTTTCACTTTCTTTAAAGCTACTGTAAGGAACTTTTGCTATTTGTTGATTTTGGTGCCCCCTGTGGACAAAGCACTTATCGCTTTTGTCTTCGATCTTCTCAGGTTGTAGCTGCGCACAAAAAACTCATCTTGCTCACTTTTGGAAGTTGTACGCTTCATCTGTTGTATACATAGTGTCAACCCCCCACCCTCAGCCCCGCATAAAAATTTTTTTTCAGGCACAGGATTTTTATCTGCTGCAAGCCCTGTTTGTAAGTATTTTGTACCAAAATTGTAAAAAAACAATAATTTGTCTAGTTCCTCAGCTGACATACATCCTCCTGCCCTGGTTTCAGGTATTAAGAATTAAAGTATAAAAATTACTTTTTTTTTATTCGCTTTTAGATATCATAGACAGGCATCAGTATGACTTTCAATATACTTCCTAGTTGTTTATTTCGAAAGAGTCCTCACAGGAGCTTTAAGATTGGGATCTCTGTTTGATAAATCTACAACCACCTGTTCGTAAACTTGGTTTTAAGGCTTCAAACAGGCTCAAATTGGAGGTTTAATTCTGTCTGATGGTAAAAAATAAACCTATTAAGACCTTTAAAGGTCTCTAATTAACACATTATTCACCTGTAGAAGAAAAAGTTAATAAAATAAAGTGAAATAAAAACACCACATCGCTGTGAGGTTGCCAGGCAACAAGCGGAGACCAGACCGAGGGAAAATCTGGCGAGCTACCACCGGTACTTGAAGACTTTATCAAGTAGTTTAACTCACGGTGAGGTTTCATCATGTCTTGATGATTTATTCTATATGAACTGTCAGCGTTCGGTGTAGTCTATCAGGTAATATTGTGTTTTTGCAGGGAATCTGTTTACTCTGTTGAGACTTTTCATCTGCAAGTGCTTTCAGCGTGAAGCGAGGGGCCACTTTCCTTTCATTCCGCGCCTCTAGAGACCAATGAGAAACTGCGAATGCTGCATGTTTCGAAGCGTGCATGAAACCACTGGGAATAATAATGTAATTATTGCTTTCCTTTAAACATCGACTATGCAGAGCAGAAACAAACACCTTTCCAATAGAGACATTGTGCCTTCAGTACAAACCTGCATCCTGAGGTGCGGAGCTAGGTGTTAATTGGGATTACAAATCAGATTCAAGAGAAGTCGATGCAGCTGTAAAATACTTACAGTGTGTTCCTTATCCTGTTTAACACCAGGATCCTGTTGTGTGAGTGTTACTGCTCTCTCAAGGGTGCAAACACTGCTCACCCTTCTTGGCAAGATCTTTCTTATGCACGGTGTAAATCACTTTTATTACAAAGTGCAGAAATTCGAAGGTGCAGAGCAAGCAACAATGTTAGATGTTCGACGCACAAACCAGACGTGGTGGTTATTTGTCAAAAAATGTCAAGAGAAAGGAAAGTTTCTCTTCAGATACTGCAAACTGTTTGTACATCTTCTAAAGGTTGTTCACCGAGTTTGTTTCATCACCGCTCAGGTTCATCCTCCTCCTTAGCAACAGCTGTGCTTTGAGCCTCTCTCTAAGTGGTTTCTTTTTTGTGGACTGGAAGATTCAAGGCTGCCTGAAAGGGTCGTATTAGCAGGATCTGAAGGTCAACATTTTAACTCCCAACACTCTCCTGGGCGACCACAATGTCTGCAGTGATGTGCTGAAATTTAAAAGATGGAGAGGGATGAAGACTTGTTTTTTTGTTTGTTTGTTTGTTTTCTACAATAATGTCGATACGTCTCGATCACTGAGTTGGGGTAGGCAGCTACAGAACAACTATTTGCTTGAGTAAGCCCACACGCCGATAATTAACTTTTATATATTTACAACAATATGTATTACTTAATATCAAAAAAAGTTCCAACCTTCCCAACACTTTTGGAGTAGTAGTCATTTTTATTAATTGATTAATCATTGCATTGAACATTGTTTCTTATGTTTTGTCTCTGCACCTATTACTCTGGTTCTGCTCAGGGAATCTGCCAATTAACAGGTCATCTTTTTGCAGAGTGGAGAAAAATGAAAACAAGTTCTTTACTGGTTACATATTAAACACAGCATCTTGTGTGACGTCATTTAAGGAGCCAGACAACTTATTTCTGAGTTTTCAAAACAGTCGCCACCGCAAAAAATGTTGATAAAACTAAATTTGATGGTCTATAAATTGTACAAATCATTGGGAAATTGGTGAGAAAACTCAAAAAAGTTGCATGCTAATAGAAAAACCCATGTAATTTATTGCAAGAATTAGCAACAGGTTATAGAGTAAAAACAGAGCACAGAAATATTCCTGAGTGTAAAAGGTCAAAGAATTGAAGGGTTTCTCGGACTATGGTACATTGTTTATCGTAAGATTCAGAGAATCTGGAGAAATCTTTAACAAAAGAGTCAAAGCTGAAACCTGATGCTGGTCGGTCATGGTTTCCTGACATTCCAGCGACAAAGAAGGACACAGAATTGTGGTGGAAATCACTGTATTAGCTCAAAAAACATTGTCTTGCAAATGTATTCACATATGCAAGTTAATGCTGTACAACGCAAAGAGAAAACAATAAATCTGACATTCATTTTGAAAAGCATGGAGGCACCCATGGCATAGAAAGATTTCCCCAGTAATGCTGAACAGTAGGTTCAGGTTTTGGAGAAACTTGTGCTGCTGTATTCAAGGTGATAACTATCATACTTTGACTTCTTTCTGGTGTTTGTTTTCTTCCTTTAGGAGACCCCCAGAGAAAGGACGAATGAGTTGAGTTAGGAAGGGGGCGTGAACAAACACAGAGGAGCAGGAAACTGAAAGGACTGATCATAACAGATGCTAATGAAAATGAATTAGACGTCCTCGCTATCTGGTCATAACAGGAGAAGTTCAAACAGAAAGACTATTGTGAGTTTGTGTTGGAGGTACTTTTCTGCAAACATCAGAAAAGGAAGTAAACTTAATTTAAGACACTTCTGACACAGTTATTTAAATAAATCGTAGTTCACAGCTAGTCTGCCCTCTTTAATAAGCTGGATTTGCCCTGTTTGTCAGGATGTAAGCTTCGCTCTTCTTCTCGTGTGATGTCTACTAAAATACATTTCTCTATTTTGGACATATTCTGGGTTCGATTCATCCCCTGAATGATAACAGGTTTACAGCAACAGAAATAACACTCTGGGGAAATTAGGATGGGCCGCTGTGGCTATCAGGGAGAAATTGAACGCTTGCGAGATTATTCTGATCCACTTCCTACTGGAATGATGAGCGCCTTGAGTGGGGATCGCTGCCAATCAAATCCACGGGCATCAAAGCGCCACCGCACTCCTATCTAATTGGTGGACAAAGAGAGGAGGTATGCAGAGTTTCTATCACACTCGCAAATGGACATCCTATCGGGCAGCAGCACCGCCCGTGCACCACCAATTACCTGCTGCCGTGTATTGTCAGTGGGACTCCCAAAGATGAAACATGTGGGTTGGCCTCTGCTTGTAATGTTGCTGAGTTGCCATAATTGATCTCCGCGGGTTTACTAGTGACGACTCGACAACACTTTTAATGAGGCAAGCCGAGACGGGTTTGAGTCATACCTCCAGAATAGCTGTTTCAATCCAATTACTCCCCCATTTACGACAGTGACAATTTTATTTGTGAGGCTGCATAGAGAGAAAATCCGCTGTGAAAACATCATATTAGAGGAGACAGGCTCTGGGACTGTAATCCTCGGTGTGTTTGTCCTGCGTCCTTCCTCTCGTTGGTGCAGCGGGTCACTGTGTTTTGGAGGGAGAGTTCAGCCTTCAAACCGTGGCCAAATGAAACAGACCCAACAGGTTTCTAACAAAGCATTCTCATCTCATTACGGCGGCACGCTCAGTGGCCCTGGGCTCCCAAATATTAGGATTTCGATACGTCTATGGCGCCACTTTGGCACAAGCAGTTATACTCGCAATAGAAAACATGTCACCTCCTATTAGACTTCAAAATAAAGCAGCCAAGCATCAATAATAGAAATACAGAGCCTGGTTAGGCTTTCAAAATAAAGCAGTCAATTAAGCGACAGAAAATCAGCAACACAGTTTGACTTTTAAAAAGCTTGCTGACAAATTTTTAACATTTTATGAGTTTGGGAGTGGAACGAGCTGTAACACATGGTTTATGGTGTGATATGCTCTCAGTTTGGGTGTTTGGATAGCTTTGGTAAAGTTCAGGACGAGGACAAGAGTTTGGATTTGTTTTAGGATGTTGTGTAAAGAAAACAATCTCCGTTGTATGGATGTTTTTCATTTAGTTGTCCCCAAAGTAAGAACTGAGCTTGGCAAGAAGGGTTTTAGGTTTTTAGCACCTAATACCCGGAACAAACTATAGTCTGAACTTCACCTTCAAGCTCTTGTGACACTAAATGAATTTAAAATTAATGTGAAATCATTACAATTGACTTCATCTGTATGTACATGTTTTATGTCAGATCGGTTTAATGTTCAGATGTTGTGAATTTTATCTGTTGTAGGAACTATGCTGCTGCCCTCTTGACCAGGTCTCCTTTGTAAGAAATTTGTAATCTCAATGGGACTAACCTGGTTAAACAAAAGCCAAATAAATAAAATAAAATGAAAAAAGAGGCTGTTAACTTCTTGCTTAACACCCAACCTGATGATTGGATCAGAAATGGACAGATCTAATTGGTGTAAATATGCAGCCTGGTAGTTGGGGATTCAGATATTGTTCTGGCCTAAGTCGAACTAGGACCACCCACTCTTACCATATCCATTGATACAGTCAAATGTAGCTCCAGCAACACCGAGTTAGACACCCCCTCGAGAGATAAATGTTGCCGACCGCTTGCTTCTCTAGTTATACCAACTTAAGTAACGACCGCAGGATAGCAATACACAGAGGTCTGAGGAGCCATAAACAAACCTCGACCAAAACGCCACTCTATAGCCACAAATAATGCTCAGAACAGCACCTAACTTCATCAACAGTACATATAGGGTCCCAGCCATAGTACTAGCCACTAAACATCTTTTTAACTTTGCCTAATTTCTTTAGCAAAGAGACTAAACACAACTCACCTACTCTCTTCCAGCAGCAGCTTGTTTGTAGTGAGACCTCGGGCCAGTCCATTACAGACTTCTGCGGGGTGACGCAGATCGAGGAAGAACATTTATGATAATTTCTTCATGGAAATGCAATCAAACCAAGAAGCTAAGGCAGAAGAACTACCGTGTCTGCAGTGCAAAATGATTAATATGATGATTATTACTTCAAGGGAATGATAAAGTAATGATCATAAATGTTCTTCCTTGAGCTGTGTCACCCCGCAGCAGTTCGTAATGGACTGGCCTCGACTGGTTACTATAGTTGGTATAACTAGAGAAGCAAGCGGTTGGCAACATTCATCTCTGGAATGCCCACTCACTTTTCCTGCTGTCATCACTCAGGGCCGTCGTTGGTTAAACATCCATTCACCGGGTCATTCCTTATCAGATAGCAGGGTAGCCACACCCTTACAGTCAGCCTATCCCTGCTCTGCTCTCATTTTAAGAATGGATTTCCTCTCTGCCTCTAGTTCTTTTTTGCTGGTTCATGAGCAGCACCCTCCACCTCCTCATCTCCACCTGGTCTTAGCAGAATCAACAGTGCCATTATTCATCCATCCGGTCCCTGCAGTCATCAGTCTCCGTCACCAGCTTCAAGACTCCATTGGGGGATTTGTGGGTAACCAACGAATATTAAAGCGATCAGCATTTATGTGTTTTGATGCGATAAATCTCAAAATTATATGTTAATCATTTTTAATTGATTGCAATTTGCACACAGTGTTTGAGCAGCTAAAGCGTTTTCGGGACCGCCGCTGTGACGAGAAATAATCACACCTCTGAGCCCGACTCAAGTCAAAAGCAGTATGTGCTCCATATCGACAGAAGTAAGTGATAGGTATAGCCGTGATTTAAACTGAAGCGCAAAGCAGAGAAAGCAATAACACTGGAGCTCATGAAAAGTGCACGTGAAAAGTACAGCATTTATATGAGAGTTAAGATGATAAAACACATTTTATTGCATTCATTTGACTCCCAAGTGCTTTATATAGTTGATGTGGACAAAATGAAACATTTTTAAAGTGCAAAATTAGATGATTTTAAATGTCAAATTAAAAAAAAGTTTAATTAATTGAAATTCTGAGATTAATCACATTTTAAAAATTTGATTGTTTGACATAATGGATGAATTCAAACTTGAGTATGAAGGAGAAATAAATCCTTATTCTGGATTGGGGGGAAAATAAAAGTTCTGTATTTGACCGAAACAATAAGAAAACTTTTGCTACCCTCAGACCACATAACTCGACTTCAACTTCACATCCCAGCACCGGTCTATTTTAAGCAACTGTCAAAGCTGATGTTTCGGTTACTTAGGATGGAAAAACAAACTGTAGCCAGAGTCTGACTGATAGATGGGGTCTCCCTTGGCTGAGAGCTTCGGCCTCATTTGGAGCCTCTTTGGACCACCTCTCAGAATGATAACATTACGCACATGATGGTGCTGGGACAACTGAAGCGGTGGTCTCACTTTTTAAAGCCTTTGAATCACATACTCGGGCTTTTTGTGGCACTCATCATTCATTTATTTCTCTACATCTGCTGCGATAACATCTTTAAAAAAGGAAAACTCTGAGTTTACACATCAGTTATAAAGAGTGTGACTCAGACAGTGAAAACACTTCTTCTGTGTCTTTTCGGGCTCTGGAGAAACTTTGTAAAGTCTCAGAAAAGAGCACCAGACAAGGTCATATCTCAAGACAGCCTTTCACTTTTCAGATAATAGCAAGTCTACATCAAAAAACGCAAAGCATGGAGTTCAACGGATGAAGATAATAACCAGGCTGAGAGAATAAAATTAACACAAAAGCATAACTACTGATCAGGAAAGCTTTGAATCGGTCTCCTGTGTTTCTCAACTTCTTACATGCAGCGTCAGACTCTGCGCAGCACAATGTGTCTTTGTCCCGGCGAATAATAAGCGTCTCAATACTCTCTGACATCCACCTGAGTGGCAACATGAGACGAAGATTTTTACCTTTCAGAAATGAAATCTTTGCTGCTTAATTAACTAGGCGCCGTACACTCATAAAACAGTCAATGGTGCTTCTTTTTCCAACCAGCAAAAGGTCGATTCATGTCGCTGATTCATACTGAACGTAATGAAAGTAACACAGTTTTTTAAGAAATCCATAAGAGGATGTGGATGCAGATGTTTTTCACGAATATTGTCTTTCAAAAAACACATTTCTACGTCAGCTGTTTCGCGCCCAAGTCAATGAGGTGATTAGCCAAAAATGGAGGAAAACCGAAGCAGGATGTGACGGGTCTGACCTTTCCTCAGTTTGCCTCAGCAGAATACACATCAATACTGATAAGAAATAAGTGATGATCCAGTCTGTCTTCAGAAACAGGGATGGGGGATGTGACCTCAATTGTTTGTTTTTGCTTTTTTGGGATAATGGCATAACATCCTGGTGTTGAAAATTTAATAAAACTCGTAGATATGAGTGTTACTTCACAGGCGGTGACCCTCTGTGCACGCACACACAGACGCATGACTTATCAAGTCTTCAGTTTCCTGTCATTGTAGCTTCAAAACAAATCTGTCTGGACTGAAGTGAAGTTTCTCTGCTTTTAGACATCAGCTTTATTTCATGGTTAATTCAAAGGTCATTTTAAAGGGGCCATATGTGGAAATTAGGGCCTGACAAAAAATGGATTTTTTGGGGCCGATGCTGATACTGATTATTCGGCAGAATTTTTGAATTTTTTATGAAGTTAGAAAATGTATATGTAGATATCTACAGTATACTATATACTGTAGATTTACTGTAGGCTATTTCCGGTCTGGTCTCATCTGGAGACATGCAGCTGCCTCAGTAATGTGTACTGTTGTCTATTCTATTATTACTGACGGTGACCGCTACCAGCACAGCGGGGAACATCGTGAAGTGGGTTGAACTGAAACTTGTTGACATATCTACAGGATAAGTCGGGGGAACTTTTCAAATGGCGGAACATTTTCAGAGTGAAACCGAATCTTATTCTCTGCATTTTATTGCTGAAAATATAGGCAAAAATCAATATTATTGCGATTTTAGGCATTGTATTGTGTATTGTGATACCACATATTGCACAATATTTTATTATTTTTTTTATTTAATATTTTCAACTGCTTAGCTGATTTAGCATTTGTCTTTCCCATATATTTGTCTCATTGACGCAATATTTTATTTTCATGTAGCACATCTTGCAAACTTCATATCATGTTCATCTCATTTGTGCAGAACTTGGATCCCTAATGTCCCTACACACATGCTGTTTGTTGTACTAACTTTTTCCTGCTCTGCCGACCTCACTGGATAAACACTTTATTTTATTTTTCCATTATTATAGATTTGACTTTATATTAGCAATTAATTTGAAAAAAAACGATACTAGGTGGATGAGACAATACAATATATCACCAGACAAAAATATGGCAATACTATTCTGTATGGATTTTTTCTCCCATCTCTATTGAGCACCTTTCCCTCCTTCATCCTCTTTCTGTCTGTTTCATTAACTTGAAATCATCGTGTCCCATTAGAGTCACTCATACACAGTCTCTCCTTGGAGTCCCTGAGCTCCATCATGCTGTAACTTCCTCTGGATCGCTGCTGCAGATGTTCTGGACCTGCCTGCTTTCACCTACATGCATCAACCTCACCTCTGTCTGTCTCTCTTTAAACCCAATACAGTCTCAGCAGATTACTGTCTAACACAAGTCTGGTTCTGCTTGAGGGTTTCTGCCTGTTAAAATGAAGTATTGCGTGAACACAAACCAAAACGTGTTTGAACCAGAATTCATGGCCTGGCTAAACAATGATTTGACTCACCTGTTGCGCCTTCTGTCGGTACGGTCATCTCCCAGAAAGCCATCACAAGCACCATTACAAGTAGAGCCCCTTTACTTCCGATCTGCGTGTATCGCTCACTCATCCTGTGGACAATAAAAGGAGCGTTAATTTAAAGGTGGGGTAGGCAGGATTCAATGTAGCGCAATATATTGAGATACTACAAGTAAGGTTAGGGGTCTATTTGCCATACAATGGATATATAATGCTGCCTTCTCTACTGAAACCAATTATCAGGATCAAGATTTAAAGACAGGATGAACTTTTGTGATTTTTTTCTCACACACTTGACTGTAACAGTCTGCACAGGTGCAACATGCTAATTGGAACATGTTTGTGAAGTCAATTTAATTCAATCATTTCCTTTCCAATTACTGCTTCAGCTAAAGTGTGTGAATGTTACTTGTAGTCAAACTTATGTGTTGTTTCCTCTTAAATCACGTCTGCTGCCGTCTCAGCTGCTAATGAATGGAGAGTGGTAAGTATCCGAGGATTTGTCAGTTCCTCTCCGTTCTGAATCACAGCAGACTGTTTCCCCTTTGATAGCAGCGTTTGAGTTTCTCACAGTGAGCATGCCATTAGAGGAAAAAGGCTGCTGAGTGACTATAGTGAATGGCGGGGAACAGAGAGAAGATGCTGCATAGTTTAACTCGACAATAGCTTAGCTTGCTGAATGCATGTTTGCTCTTATCAAGCAGAGAGAGACAGCCTCTTATCCTTCCTCTTGCCTTCCAAAACAAACTACAGCTGTGAATGTGCACTAGATCACTGTCTCCAAATCCTCTCACACTCCCCCTCTGCGCCATCTCCACCTCTTTTTTCTCCCAGCAGAAGGCTCTTACATCAGGAGCACGAACAGAAGGTGGAGACCCTGTGCTGCCCCTGTAAGCCTCTTCGGGCTCCTCTGGAGACTGGAAAGTGAGCAGGCCACACAGGGTCTAATCCATCCCTCCTTTACACTCACCCGCCCTAATGAAGTGAGGGAAAGCTGGGGCCACACTGCATAAACCATGTGGCAGAGTGTGTTATCATTGACCGACAATGATCAAATTTCAAACGGAGATGCAGGAGCAGTACGGTAATTACTGGAAGGGGCCCGGTGTCGTATGGCGCGAGGGTACAATATTACAAGCTGCGTTTATGCCTTATTCACCACCTCCCGTATCATATCTGCCTGCCTCATCGCCTTATAGATTGGCTAACCCTCACTGGGCTTCTCCGATTATTAGTATAATGATGTTTATTTTGGAACACAAACATGACCTTTGCTGCTGATTTTAGCGCCGACTGCAGAAATTAAAAGTCTGATGTGTCAAATTCGCACAGACGGGATTTAATTTGATATTTTAAAAGACGTCTCTCATTAAAACTTGCATACAAAGACAGAAGGGGCAATGTGATAGATATGTGGATCCACTTTGATACCCTTCTTTTAACAATTTTGTCAAAATTAGCAACTTATGGTTTACCGGAAGTACGGTTGCAAAATTCCGTGAATCTTCAAAGTTGGAAACTTTACATGCACAGATGATTTCTTGAACCCTGGAGGCCAAAGCACAAGACATTTGAGCCCACGGACTATATAAAGTCAAGTAAGTTTTGATAATATTATGGGGTAAATAAATTTGGTCTGTAATAGTATTAATATTTAACTTGTAAATGTAGGTGCTACATGTAAGATATTTTTCATTTCATTGACCATTTAAGAGGCTATCTCATCATGGTGGTGGTAACTACCTCAAATGTGATGCTGTTTCCTCTGACTCCTGCAAGACGTTTTTTGGTAACAGTACAATAATTTATACATCAATTGTCAAATATTTTGAAGACCATTCCAGTTTTTTAGCCAACTATATTTCTGTTCATGCCATTGCATTTATGTTTTTACAAGCTTTTTGTTATTTTATTCTACAAAAAAATGCCACATTTACCATCGCTATTGCCATTCAAATAAATGTGTTGAAATGTTTTTTAATTGCATTTTTTTGCATGGATGTCTGTTTATGACAAAACAAAAATATTTACATTTATGTCTGGATATGATACAGTTCATTTAAATTACCCCCAATTTCCATTTAATTCCCATAAATTCCCACAAATTCCAATAAATTCCCATAATTCCCATGGAAAGCTTCCAATTTGGAATATTTCCAATATTCACCAGCTTAACTTCCCATGGAAAATTTCTGGAAATTTACCGGAAATTTTCTGCCCCTTTGCAACCCTAACCGGAAGTAGTATTCTTCAAAATAAAAGAATCTTTTTAAAGCACACAAGAAATATCAACATAAAAGTATGACAAACTGACTGACTGTGTTGTTTTAATTTAAAGTTTTCCATAAATATCACACTAATATATTAAAAGTGATATTTTACGGCCATGATAATCACAAAGTGACAATCTGATCACAATTTTGCACATCCATATAAGGCACTAGTGGTGTTATTTCTCTATAAGTCATTAAGTCCGAAATTCTTGAACACAACATTAAATCTCCACTTTGGCACCAACAGGAAACGCATAAAACCACTCTATGGAGGATTGATGGTTTCAGTGTGTTTGGACATAAACCCCCAATCAGGCCAACAGTGCTGGCTTTATCACAGTGAGCAGAGGATTCAAGGTAGCTGGAGTGACAGATGGTCAGAAATTCGCTCAAATTCTAAGTGTGATATAGCATCATAACGGCGAGCCTTGTATTCCCCGGAATGGACCTTAAATTGTACACCAAGGTGTTTGTGCTCGAGAAGGAAGGTGCTAATGTTCACCTTCACGGAGACAGATTTATAGCTGCTGGTTGGCCGAAGAATTGGAGGCTGAGTTAAAAAGGTGGGCAGTCGCAGTTGTAGTGCAATTTACTCTGTGTGTGTCCGAGTGTGTGTGTGTGTGTGTGTTTGTGTGTATGAGGGAGAAAAAAATGTCGATTGGCGATGGAGTGAAGGGCAGAAAACTACAGCATCATTTGTTGGTTGCTGTCTAAGGGTGCAATTCCATAAATGACATCTCATTGTCCCTGAATGTGCCGTGTTGTCATTGGTGCAGGTCGCAAAAGATTTGCTGCAGTTTGAGGCCATTTTTGAGACCAACCTTGTAGCAGAGGTCTTTAGTAATTTTGTAGAAATATAAAAATACTGCCGTGTGAACTTAAACTGCTCGCTGTTTCAGATTTCAGCGTTTTCATTTTTATAAAATAAGTATCTTTGAAGCAGTTCCCCTCTCCTTTGAATACAACTGACGACACAGTGATTGAGGCAAGTTCCAGAGTATGAAAAACCTGTTTGCAGCTCTTTTCTACTTCACATGGACTTGCACTGTTAAAGTCACTCTCATGATATTGTATCATTTCTTCTATAAGAAATATTAAAGGGACATTTTCCTAATTTGCCATCTGCAGGATTATGTTTTGGGTAATAGATCTAAGTTAATGCCTCTAATTTTATACTGTTACCGTGGCTACAAACATCTCTTGAGCCAATCAGGACAAGTAAATTCCTTTCTAGACAACCTTTAGACCCATGGAGAAAACTAAACTTAGCTGGATTTTGTTTCCAATCCCCCATATTATCTTGTAATGTGTGAGTGTGACCCCACCTCCTGCAGGTTTTGGTGCTGTCTCAGCGTTCTCATCAGTTTACTCATTAGCTCTCAGCCCACCTGAACTTGCCAGCTGTCTGACTGAACTAGCCCTCTGCCTCCCTTAACTAGCTCTTTGCCTAACTGACCTAGCTCTAACTCTTGCTTGCCTGAACAAGCTCTTATCCCAACTGAACTAGCTCTCTGCTTGAACTAGCCCTCTGAGCTCCCTCCCTGCCTGCCCGCTTGAACTTGCTCTTTGCCTGCCTGAATCAGCTCTCTGCCTGCGTGAACTAGCCCTCCGCCTACCTGAACTAGCTCTCTACCTTCCCGAACTAGCTCCTTGCCTGCTTGATCTAGGTCTCTGCCTACCCAACTAACTCTCTGCCTACCCAACTAGCTCCTTGCCTGCCTGAACTAGCTCTCTGCCTACCTAACTAGCTCTCTGCCTGCCTAAACTAGCTCTCTGCCTGCCTGAACTAGCTCTCTGCCTACCCAACTAGCCCTCTGCCTGCCTTAACTAGGTCTCTGCCTGCCAAAACTAGCTCTTTGCCTAACTGACCTAGCTCTAACTCTCTGCTTGCCTGAACAAGCACTTACCCCAACTGAACTAGCTCTCTGCTTGAACTAGCCCTCTGAGCTCCCTCCCTGCCTGCCCGCTTGAACTTGCTCTCTGCCTACCTAACTAGCTCTCTGCCTGCCTAAACTAGCTCTCTGCCTGCCTGAACTAGCTCTCTGCCTACCCAACTAGCTCTCTGCCTGCCTAAACTAGCTTTCTGCCTGCCTGAACTAGCTCCTTGCCTGCTTGATCTACCTGTTTGCCTACCCAACTACCTCTCTGCCTGCCTGAACTAGCTCTCTGCCAACCCAAATAGCTCTCTGCCTGCCTGAACTAGCTCTCTGCCAAAATAACTAGCTCTCTGCCTGCCCAACTAGCTCTTTGCCTACCCAACTAGCTCTCTGCCTGCCTGAACTAGCTCTCTGCCTGCCCAACTAGCTCTCTGCCTGCCTGAACTAGCTCCTTGCCTGCCTGAACTAGCTCTCTGCCAAAATAACTAGCTCTCTGCCTGCCCAACTAGCTCTCTGCCTACCTGAACTTTCTCTCTGCCTGCCTGGATTATCGTATTTTTGGCTCTTGCCAGATATCACTCGTTCCCAGTAGTCCGCATCGAACAAAGTTAGTTCTCAAACTGAAACCCTGGTCGAGCGCTAAGCATGTAAATAAATCCGATATTTCCCTCAGGAGGAGACGACGCCAACACTCAGAGGAGTGTAAATATTGGAGTTACATTAATCAAGTTCCCACATTCACCACACTTAATGAACTCAATATTGCCTCCTCTCTGCTGGATGTGTAATTAGGTAATTATTTGCCAACATGAGCTGCACAATGACTTTGTACATGATAGAATATAAGTGTTTTACAAAACGCAGCTAATAATTACCACTTCAATTAATGTGAAAATTAATTGAAGCCTGAAGCTATAGCTTAATTGTCTTGAGTCCATCTAAACATTTAATGGTCTGGAAATGCAACAAGCTAATGCTCAAATGCATAGCTCCATCACTGAAATCATATTAGAGTCAAATACAGAGTAAATGATCCTCCATCAAAATAAGATATTTTTCTGAATTATCAGCTCCTGTATGCTTTTAACTAATCGCTATCATTTAATTAGTCCACAACAAAGCATTAGAGAGGTTTTTTTCATTGACTTAATACATGATTGATTGTGTGACAGTTTTATCACTTGAAACTGACACTGCAGGTGTTAGAAAGTACACAAATAGAAAAGCTGTCTGCACTGTTCAAAAGTTTTTAATTTGCATTTAATTCTGACAACACTTCATCTATAATGTACTCCTTTTGTGACAGAAAATATCCTGCAGTAAAATGCATAATGTATGCACATTATTGCCGTACGCATGGAGATGAACAACACCCCGAAGTTTGAGTGATTGCAGAAAAAAAAAAACAAAGGCAAATAAAGAGAAGTTGAAATGAAATGTTTAATTATCCTCTTATTGTCTGCAGAGCTTCATTTCTCCCCCTGCCAGCAGAGACGGAACATTTCCCCGTCTACACTATATTGTTCGCTGCACTTGAGGACACTTTCAAATGCAAATGAACACCTTTATTTTGGGAGAAAACGCATATTCTTTTCAGCAGTGTCACCGTAAGCTCTCCAGGATGTGTGCTCAAATTTATCCAGAGATAGGACTTTTATCTCTTTGTTATGAGACGGCTCTGTTGTGTGGCATATATAAGCCTGAGGTGTAGATCACTGGATTCCCTTTCAAGAGTACAAAGTGAATTTATTTAAAATTGAATGAGGCGAGAAATCCCCGTCGCTGCATCCCTGACCGTAACTGCGAACGGCTCACTCATTTCATCCAGCCCACTCTTCCTTTCGTCTCACAGCTGAGCGACAGCAGATCAATAATTGTGATCCAAATAAGTTTTCGCCCTCGGTGAGCGCACACGCTTCCTCCTGGAAGATTTGTACACAATAAGTTAAAAACCCTTCTGCATCAACAACCACAGAAAACTCCCTCTTTAATAGATCAAGCTTAATAGTCACATAAACTCTGCACGACTTATCTCTCCAACTCGGTCTCCGCTCTACACTCTCATTACACCATCCAATAACCGAACATAAATTATGAACAACGCAAGTACTCTCCCTCACTTACAATTTTCTTTTCATTTTCTTTTGCTATTTTCTGTTTGAGAACATTATGAATTTGAATTATTGGAAGATCCAGATTTCAGCAAAGGTTTTTTTTTACGAATTGAAAAAAGGCACATAATGGAAAAGTTTTGACAGTGCAAAAGCAGCACTGGAGCCCGGAGTCTACTTTCACTTTATTGCCGTCGATGGAGAAATAATAACATTTGGTTTACTGTTGCCTAGAGGCGCAGTGAACGACCCCCGAGTTTGACACTTTGCCCAATATTCTTCTTCGCCTTCTGTACTGACAGTGAGACTCGACAATAAATCCAAAAGTTTCAAAGTGGGTGTTTTTCCTCTCTGCAGCTCCTGGCAACCAAATCAAAGTTCCATCCCTGCAGAAGGTCATAAGCATACCGGCTGACGACACTTTAAAGTAGTCTCAATAAGGGTTGTCACCTTCTTCTGAAAATACAGTACTCTCCTGTATTTTCATCCCACATACCCTACTCGACCTCTGATTGGTCAATACGCTCTGCCTTCAGCAGGTGGGTTGGTCAGATTTAGACAAAGACACGACTTCTTCTTGCCTAACATAGAGAAAAGGAGAAACTGTGCCATAGTGGGATGTAGCATTGGTGACGTCAAAAGGTCGTAGCAGCAAAAGCTCAAGAGGTAGAGCAGTCATCCAATAACAGGAAGGTTGGCGAGTAAGTCCCCGCCCTACCCCTTGTCTGTCTGTTGTGTCCTTGGGCAAGACGCTTAAAGGGATACTCCGGTGTAAAATTAATTTAGGGTCAAACACAGTAACACCGAGTTAGACACCCCCTTGAGAGATGAATGTTGACGACCGCTTGCTTCTGTAGTTAAACCAACTTTAGTGACGACCGCGCGATAGCAATACACAACGGTCTATGGAACCATAAACAAACGTCAACCAAAACGCCAAATAATGCTCAGAACAGCACCTAACTTCATCAACAGTAAATATAGGGTCCCAGCCATAGTTCTAGCCACCAAACATCTTTTTTACTTTGCCAAATTTCTTTAGCAAAGAGACTAAACACAACTCACCTACTCTCTTCCAGCAGCCGATTGTAGGGTAGCCCTGACGAGTAGATCACTGAGTGCTGCGGGGTGACGCAGCTCAAGGAAGAACATTTATGATCATTACTTCATCATTTCCTTGAAGTAACAATCACCATATTAATCATTTTGCACTGCAGACACAGTAGGTCTTCTGCCTTAGCGTCTCTGACTGATTGCATTTCCATGAAGAAATGATCATAAATGTTCTTCCTTGAACTGCGTCACCCCGCAGCAGTCTGTAATAGACTGGTCCGAGGTCTCGCTTTTTTTTGTAGTCATTACTAAAGTTGGTATAACTAGAGAAGCAAGCGGTCTGCAAAATTCGTCTCTCAAGGGGGTCTCTAACTCAGTGTTGTGGTGTGTTTGACCCTAAATTAATTTTATGCCGGAATATCCCTTTAACCCAGTGTGAGTCCTCCACTGGTGTAAGATTGTGAGTGTTGTGTGGTGGTGGTCGGAGAGGCCGTAGATGCAAATTGGCAGCCACGTTTCCATCAGTCTGCCCCAGGGCAGCTGTGACTACCACCACTAGGGTGTGACTGTTGCAAAATCTGATGTATTATTATCATCAACCAGTTTTTCATGGAGCAGAATATCGGCAGTCTCAACCTGACTTCCTGTTAGCTACCGATCCTTTAGCCTCCTTGCAAATAAATGCAGTTTGTGCCCTCTTTAACCAGGCTGCAAACCTGCAATTTTTTTGCATCAGCTTCATTTCTCAAGAGAAGAGGCTGGTACTTAGGGAGAAATTAGCTTCAAATACTCTGAAAACATGTTCACAAAAATGCAGAAGTGAGTGCCAACTGTCAAGTGTTTTCTGTAAAGCAAAGGTAAACCTTTAGCATCTTCATTGATGTGGTTATAGCAGCTTTTTTCACCCTCGCTGATGGGAGTCAGCTCGAAAGAGAGGCGGATAATAAATGTTTTAGTACACACTGTGCCTTCATGCGTGGAAGGTGGAAACCCTACTCTTGATCCAACACTCTCGTTGAGCCAAAGTAAACATTAGCATTAAAAGCATGTCTTGAGGCTAAATTAGCCAGTTGGGTAAGGAAAAAGTTTAATCAGATTATATTATCAAGTAAAAACCAGGAACTACATCTGCAGCATCTACTCGAGGTTAAACATCAAGCAGGAGAAACTCTGGAGTCTTCCCGTTTGACTTTGGAGAGAAGAACGTACTGCAAATAGCTCCTGAATCTGACCTCTTTCCTAATTGTTGTCCCAGTTGTGTCACTTATTTTCTTCTTTGACGTGCTCAGAAAAGCCACGATACTTTCATTAGCAAGATCAGGACACAACCGTCCTTGGCCTATAAATAGTAAACGTTGTTAACGAAGAATAAAACAAGAGGGTTTGTCCTTCACTTGCTCTCGAAAGACTGAGGATGATTTTATTCAAGGTGATAGTGAATTAAGAGGAAGTCATTTCTGCACGAGGCCGTAATCTTAACTATGAAGGGGCACCCAACATTAATATGCTACGTTTACACATTTGCAACAGTGACAAGAATAAAACTGCTGCATTTGTTTAGTAATAGCTTGTTTTTGAGATGCATCCAGATGTGCTCATTTGAGTAAAAAGTTCATCTATTCTCTTGTTACCTCTGCTAAAGCAAATACTCGCAGCTTATGTTACTGTAAACTTCAATCATGTTTTAAGCTAATTCAAAGATCACGTACTGTAGCTTTACTATGAGAACTCAAGTAGAAAAATGAAAAGAGACTGAAAGGCCTGATCATGTTCAGCACAACGCACTCTTTGGATTCACTGGAAATGTAGGAACTTCTGATCAGTTATTGTATTGTCTGAAGTGTTTGCCCAGATGGTAATCATCCAGCTTTTCACAAATCTGTCTAAACTGCAGATAAGATCAGACAGATTTGTGAATCAAAGATAAACAGTCCACTTTTTCTGTTTACTCGCAACTGAGACATCGGCATGTTTTTGGTCACAAACGAGCACTTCCTGTAACTTTCTTTTTTATTTTACAATCAATGATTTGTCAATTATATCACCTCTTTATTTATTTATTTTAATTTAACCTTTATTTAACCAGGTGAGGCTTATTGAGATATAAAATCTCTTTTACAAAAGCGACCTGGCCAAGAGGCAGCAAAGTTACAGAGTTACGGTAAAATCATTTAAAATAGATAACAAAAACTCAATAAGAAATACAGTAGAATAAAATAAATAAAATTGTCAGTGATAGAATAGAAGCAGTGTAACATCTTGTTAAAAACAGTCACAAAGGCCAATGCTTTCCAGTCCTCAAAGGGGATCAGATCTGATCATTTTAGTTCCTTTTGTAGCGAATTCCAGCAAAGCAGAAAGCCCTTTTTTCCTAACTGAGAGAGGACACGAGGAGTATTTAACATCAACAAGCCAGTGGATCATAACCCATAATGTCCATTATTTCTCACAAGGTAAGATCCCAGATAGGATGGCACCATCCCAAGGAAAGCTTTGTAAATAAAAGCCAACCAGTGAGTGAAATTATACATTAACGCATGCGATTAAACCTTTAATGTCCCCCAAAAAAGAAATGCTTAAAGTAAAATTCAAGATGAGCACAGGGAAGTTAAATCTCCAAAACCAAAGAGCAAAGAGTCAAACTTGTTTCTAACTGGGAAGCGACTCAAGTGTCTTATTTTTGGGTTTTGGATGTTTTAAGGCTTAAAAGATGAGCATATTTTCCATACGCCTGTTAAGCAGCTTTTGTAGTAAACCATAATGCATTTGGCTTTTATAGCAGTAATCATTTTAAAAACCAGAGATTCAATTTTCTGTCTCTCACTCGTAGTAAGATGCATCCTTAAAATGCACAGGGCAAGTGTGTAATCCACAGTATCAGAGTGATTGCAGGGCGGGCTGAGGCAGCGTAACTGAACCATAAAAAGCTGGACTTTCCCGCTCTGTTTCTGCGGCAGGATTCGATACAGGGATTACCCCCTCCTCCTCCTCCTCCTCCCTCTTTTTCCATTCCCCTCCATCTCTATCTAACTCCGTACTTGGACCGTGACAGACTCTGTCACCTCAGACGGCTGCTGGGAGCCGATTGCTCCGCCGCAGAACAAACATCGTTCATTCGCCAAAACACAGATGTTCCCTTCTGACAGTTGAGGAGTGAAGCTTTCAACCCTGACACGCCAAACAAGGGAGTTCGCCCACTCTTTGTCACGCGCCTTGCGAAGCATCTGCCACAAATCCTGCTCAGTTCACTTCATAAATGCATCAAGGCAGCTGTCAGGGCTGGGCTGGAATTGATGTATGAACTCGGGACTGTAAAAAGAGCCTCTGCTTTAGCACATTGTCCTGACGAGATGCTAATCAAATCATTATACACCAGCCCGCAGCGGGACTGAGAAACTCCGCTGTGTGATTCTTCATCCAAGCGCTGTCATAAGACTCTGAGAGGCTCGACTCAGTCCTCGGGCCTTCATGCTCACTCCTGATTTGCTGTGCATATCTGATTATTTTTGGATGACTGTTCATATCAATTCTAGTATGTCATTCTCGTCACAAACCGAGGACTTGACACCTCTTTGGTACATCCGCATGCAATAAGTACCCCGATGAATCAGATTTCAGTGGGGCCTTTTAAAAAAAGACAAAGTTTTTCTGATGCTTTAATTACAGAAATGAAAACTCCCATTGTGGATTTCAACACGAAAACCATCTAATTCTGTCTGCGTACTGATTAAAATCTGCAAAAAGTCACACCACTCAGCTTTGTCCTGCTCACGCTGATTATAAAATGCAATCTCAGAGTCACATTCGAGGAGTAAACTGATTGGGCCGCTTCCAGCTGCAGAGAGAACAGTGCGAGTTCGGCCTTGATTTCAAATTTCACTATGTTAGAAGCTGAGGAGGGGCGAATATCAGCCCTGTTATTCGACACTGACGCTGAGTGCCCTTTCAGAGAGTTAACCACCAAAACGACCTTCCGCAACGACACGTTGAGATGCTATCCGAGAGGCAGCGCTCATCAAAACCGCAGCAGCCAAATGGTCTCAACCTTAGTTTTCCTTTGATCAAAGTGTCCGTGCATCACCGTCTCATGGAGCAGTGTGCTATTTCAGTCTGGATCCACCTTCAGTAGTGCAAGGCAACATTCAGCATGAAGCAAGGCCTGTGTGCTTTGAAAACCGGCGACGTCTCTTTTCATGGTCGAGTTTTCAGAAAATGCCGGCCTGTTGTGAGTCGCACTTTAATTTGCTCTTTCAGCGGAGGCTCTTATGAAAACACTTTAAATATTGAGGCATAAATGTCCTGTTTGCAACACTTCAGGATGCAGAAAAACTGACAAATGTGTCACTGATATTAAACAGTAGAAGACTGAATCCTTTTGATCCTTTTGAGGGGAAGTACTACACTTAACTTAGTGCTTTTTTCTGCAATTTCTGACAGCCAGGGTTTATAGTTAAAAAGCTATCTAGATGAAAAGCTTGTATATCATTGATCAGTGTACTTTTTAAAACATTGATCCCCTATAATACTGATAGTGAGTCGAAAATTCTCCATTTAAATTTAGGGCCCGTGTCCACTGAAAGCATTTTTTTTCACTGAGAGGGCCTATTTCCAGCAGCTGATATAGTTATGTGTTTTGAGCATGTCATGACACCCACAATGCACTCAGTTAAAACTAGATCAGCTTTTCAAACACCCCGTGCTCCTAAAATCTGAACTCTGTCACAGACCAATGCACTTTGGACTGGTTCTCATGTTTTCACCGGTATATCACTGCGGATTTACCATCAAACTTCTTTGATCAAACACCCATTTCTGTGGCTGGATTGTAAACCTTGTGGGAGGTGTAGAAATGCCCGGAAACCCTTGATAGATTGCCAAAAGGATTAGCTTTTAAACACTTTTTATCCCATAGAGATATGCAGTATAGTTCCTGAGAAACTATAAACAACATTAATGGTGTCACGTGGGATCACCGGCAATCCAGCTGAGTTTTTAAGTGTTAAAAGCACCGGGAGGATTTTTTTTAACTGGTTTGAAAAAACAAACTAAAACTGATACTGATGACCTTCAGAAGAAAACCAGACCATCAAAAACAAGGCCAACAGTTTTTCTGTTGTACTTTTCAAAGCCTAAACTGCCCCAGGAGATGAGTATCAGACCTTTAAAACAGCCTTTTTTACTTCTTCCTATGGTTAATCACTCACAGTGAGAAAACCTAACAAAGAAATAAGAAATAAGAAATATCACTTTCTTTGACAACAACTGAGATCCTTACTGCAGCTTTAAACACAACACAAAACAAGCCAACAGACTGGACAGCTGGGGTCGGTTTCACGTAGGTGGTTCAACAAACTCTGAGTTAAATCCTTAACTCTGAGTTGATCTACTCTGAGTTAGGAAACTCTGAGTTTCCGGTTTCACAATACCTGATTTGAGACGGTTTGAACAACTCCGAGTAGTTTGACCTGGAGTTAAGCACGTGCACGCCAGACATAAACAGCCAGCATCTGTGGAGCGCAGATTCAATGATCAACCAATGGAAACAGGGAGAAGGAGGGGGCAGCAGCAAGCCAACAGCGAATTACAGCACGTTTGTAAAAGAAAGTGCAATACAGCAGCAGCTGCAAAGGAGAGGGAGAGGGCTTGGGAGGAAATCGCTGCTCGCGTCAATGCGTAACTTTAAATCTAGTCTCGTGCAATCACAATGACAGACTGTTGCAGGGAAACTGCTTGAATCATTTTGATCATGTTTTACATTGTCAAGTAAGTATTAAGTGGCAGTTTGATCCCTTAGAAAATGCTCTTTTCACACTCAAAAAAATGAATTTTACTCTCTTATGATGTTCCGTTAAGTGATTAGGAATATTAAACTAACTCTCAGTATGTATATGTACATATATTAAACTAACACACACTACACTCAATATTAGACTTTCACTCATTAAACAGAAAGAGGGCAGATGCCAGAAAAAACGGGTGGTGGCCCAGCAGCCCCCCCCCCCCGACGATCGAAACCCCCACCTCGTAGCAGCGATCGTCGGACTGGTGTGCGTGCGTGTGTGTGTGTCTGTGGGGGGGATTTGCGATCGGACCGGCCGCGATCGTCGAACGGGGGGGGGGTGGGGGGCAGCTCCTCTGCCTCCGTTAAAGGTGGGGCTGCTGGACCACCACCCGTTTTTGTGTTAGTTTAATATTCCTAATCATTTAACGGAACATAATAAGAGAGTAAAATTCAGTTTTGAGTGTGAAAACAGCTTTGAAGGACAAACAGGGACTTCTGTCAAACTGTCCAAACTTCATCAAGGTCTGAGGAAGGTTAAATCACAGAGTGGCGTATTTGTCAGCTCCTTTAAAAAATATGTCAATGTCACATTGTCGTATCTGCGTGTTCTTGTGGTTATAGTCCTTCCTGTGAGTGGAAGGACGTCGGTTTGATCCCTGTGACAGCCTTGGCGTCCTTGCCCGAGACACTGATTCCCTCGTCGCTGCACGGCTGTGGATGAGGGTGTCAGCTCAGTGACTGAAGAACAACACGCAGGATAATAAATAAATGATGTATGAAAAATTATATTTATCCCTGACAGCCGGTCAGGTGTTTGGAAGAGAGCGGGATGCTTTCGCGCTGATTTAATTTTAGCCTTGCGGGTCACAATTTCATGCTATTGGAAATTCAAATGCATTGGGAGGTTAGAGATTTGATTGAATTCATTGGCTGCAGCGCTTGTTGTCTTTTAGATGTCACACTACGACCTCAGAGAGAGAGCGTTTATTATGAAATGATTATCATTTCAGCATTTGTGGCGGTCAATGGATAAAAAAAAAAAATGTGTGGTGACTGTAGTGTGAGCCTTTTTTCCAGATCTGCTGTCAGATGTGATAATATGAGCCAGAGCAGAGTCACAGGCTGTTGAATTTTACATGTGTGAGAATATTAGATGTCTAAATGCCTTTTTGTGTTGATTCGACTGCTGGAAAAGATGTCGAAAAATGCAGGTTTTTAAAATGTAACAAAGGGATACACTCTGCAAAACAATTTCAGTATTTGTTTAAAGCTCCTTTCAGGAACTCTTAAGTCGATTTTGGTGCCCCCTGCAGGCAAAGCAGTGTAAGTAGTATCTCTGACAGTCCATCCTATTATTTTAAAACTCATCAGTCTCGTCCCTGGTGGACTTGTTTGCTTTTAGATATCATAAAAAGGCATCCATATGAATTTCAGCTAATTCCATAAACCTCATAAAACTCCTTACAGGAGCTTTAAAGTATATCCATCCCAATGTTTAGCACATATCAGCACATTATTACAAGTACTTAAAATTCCTTAAAAGAGGACAGGGAGCAGCAGCAGCTCAGAAAGCACCAGTGTCCAGAAGACATGTCTTTTAAAACTTTTAAAATTGTATTTTATTATTGTTTGTTATTTAAATTCTGTTCGTTTTAATGATGTAAGGTGACTTTAAGTGTCAAGAAAGACACCTATATATAAAATGCATTTCTATTATTACCATTATTGAGAAGTGGCACTGAAATGAAGTTAAAAGCTTATCTGAATTTTTCATTTCTTTTAATTCAGTGTATTTTTATTACTTTTACTTGTAAAACAGTAGAGCTGCAAAATTTGCTTGAATCATGATCAATTGTAGAGTTTACTCAGATTGCATTAATCACATTTAAATTACACTTTTGCAATTCAAACAGTCTTACAGTCCACATTTATAATTGAAAGTTATTTTTTCTCCAGTGTCATGATTTGGGTTATCATAGGAATGCAACTTTGTGATCCTGATTGGACTTGAACTCATTATCTAAATCAAAGCAAATTAAATTTATTCTAAATTAAAACAGCGCTGCTGCACCAGTGTGATCTAAAACTATGACTCATAGTTAGCAGTCGGCTCTTCAGTGTTTGTTCTGTGAAAATACAGAGTTTATTTTCATTTTCAGCACTGCTGTTAACAAAATAAACTTACCCAAGATTAAACACTGAACAAACCGTTCAGTGTTTGCAGGTTTTTAATCCCTAGGAAAGTTTATTTTGTTAAATTGGAGACTTGTGAACATGATCGGGTCGTTTTGATAAAAGTTTAAGGCCTGCATTACTCTGTGTGCGGTGACACAGCAAAAAATGAAAATAGGAAAAAAATTTGATATTACACTGACAAAATGTGAACTGATCCAAGGTCTTCCTGACGATTCAAATCACGTCTGCGGGAGAAATGCCCTAGTTTGGAGTTAACAGTCTCGCGTGCTATAATTAGCTCCAACCTCGTTGCCGTTCACGTCGGAAAATGTATTATAGATCAATTATTTTTCAAGTTTAACACGGAGATAGGTGAAAATGAAAACAAATTAAGACTTCACAAATAATTTGACATGAAGCATCAATGTTTATTACCCGTACAGAAAGAAATCATGTGATCTTAAGGAGCTAATTTGAACTACCACAGAAGAAGAAGAAGTAGAAGAAGTTTGGCCCAAAGATTAAATAGGTATTGAGTCACAGTCTTTTGGGGAATTCCTCTAACCATTGTCTACATCTCCCTGAGTGAATCTTGCAGGATTGTTTCATCTTCACGCTGCTGTGATAACAAGCACCTTGGGAAATGTAGGAAATCATTTAATAATGTAGAGGAGGCAGACTGAGGAAAATATAGAAAAATAATAAATGCTGAATGTGGTTTCAAAGTTTTATTCCACCTTGGATTGGAAATGCTGAAACAATTGATTATTTATGTCATGGATTTGATTGATTCTTAGAGGCTATAAAGTGGCAGCACATGGTGAAATTAGGAGTTACCACATCAGCAAAGCTTGGTTAAGGGAGCCTGGGTGGACTTCTTTATGAATTCTGCTTGTGTGATTCTGTGGGGCTTCGTAGAAACATGAGAATTACACGAATGTAAATATGATTAAATAAATGCAGTGTAGTAAAAGGTAAGGTTTAGATTGGAAGCCCTGCATCCTCCTTGTAAGAGGATGAGACGGCCAAAAACATTAACGTAAAATACAAGTCAAATACAGTCTTTCACTCAGTCTGTAACTCCACTTAAAAGGTCAGACAAAGGTCATGTCCTCTACATAGCCTACAAGTCACTGAAAAACAGCTACAGTAACAGTCAGTTTAAAGATTTTATCTTTGATACCAATTTATGAACAGATGCATGGATTAATGAAAAATGGATGGATGGATGGATGGATGAAAAGAGATTAGTAAAAGATGGATGGATGGATGGATGATATATTGAGAGATGGTTGGTTGGTTTGTTGGTTGTATGTATGGATGGATGGATGAATGGATGAAATAGACGGATGAATGAAAGATGGATGGATGGATGGAAAAAAAAATGGATTGATGGATGGATGGATGATGTACGAATGGATGGATGGATGGTTTGTTTGTTGGTTGGATGATGGATGGATGGTTAGATAGATAAATTGATGGATGGATGATTGGTTTGTTGGCTGCATGATGGATGGATGGATGGATGGATGGATGGATGGATTGATGTACGAATGGATGGATGGTTGGCTTGTTGGTTGGATGATGGTTGGATGGTTAGATAGATAAATTGATGGATGGATGATTGGTTTGTTGGCTGCATGATGGATGGATGGATGAATGAGATGGATGGATGGATAAATTGATGGATGGATGGTTGGTTTGTTGGTTGTATAGCTGGATGGATGGAGGGATGGATGGATGGATGGATGATGGATGGATGGATGGTCAGATGGATAAATTGATGGATGGACAGTTGGTTTGTTGGTTGTATAGCTGGCTGGATGGATGGATGGATGGATGAGGAAATTTTTTTTGAACATCATCACAAGACATGATCTTTCAATGACTGAGAGTATTTACTTTAAATCCACTGTGACTCTGATCATCTTGGCACCTCTAGCCTATCTTAACATTAAAGGAGAGTATAACAGCCATGGCGAGATACCGGGGACGAGGAAAGAGTAAAAAAAAAATCAATTTAATTACATGAGTGTTTTAGTAGAGCACACAGGCATTAAGCTTAAATTGAACTTGTTTTTTTCCCCCTTTTGCTAACACTCTGCTATTTTACATCACGGTACAATAAGGTTCAAGTTATTTCCACCGCGGTCCTCATGTGGCTTATAATCCAGGCTAAGTGACAGGCTAATTTGTGGTATTAGATTGCTTTCATTGGCTCATTTGGGCTCTGCTTTAAACGTAAGCACTTTGAAAAGGTTGCTCTGCCTCAGCGGTCACATTGACTTGTATGATATGTGATTGCAGGGGGGTGGGAGCCACAGGGGGGTTACAGCTGCTCTCAGAGGCCATATTTCCTCAGTCGTGTTGAGTCGTGCTCAATGGGAAGACAAAAAGGCGGGCTAGGCTGTATGTAAACATAAAACTCAGCGCTCATGCCCCCTTTGATATTTATGTGTGCACATGCCTGACTGAGTGGGTGTGTGGGGGGTTTTCAGGAGTGCCAAGGACCAGATAAACGCCTGAATACAAGACACAAGATGGTTTTCCTTAACAATAAGATGTGACTCCTGCTAAGTCAACTTATTGCTGATGACCATTTACAGTGTCAGAGGCTGGAACAAGTAATTAAAGGCAATAGAAAAATGGAGGATTAGTTTGAATTAATCCGCAACTTTTCCCATTTTCTTGCAGAAAATGTAGAAATGGAAGGATATGGAAATGTAGCAGAGCATGGCAGAACTAATGGCTTGGCAGCTCTTTCTCCCTCCCTGAAATGAGAAGGCACTAATGGATCCGCGGCCCTGGCTAAGATGGCTGAGCCAGATTGCATGTGGATTTAAGTGATTAAGAACATGGTGGCCCCGGTCCTGCTTTTGTCAGAGAAAATGTAATATATGACAATGAATGCTAAAATATAAAATTTCTCATATAAAGAATCCCATCAGCGTCGGAGAGAATTCAGGGAACAATTCACACACACAAGATTAAGGAAATGAATGCCGTCTGAATGCAGATCGTGTGCAAGACGCAGCAAATGTGCAAAAATCTGTTAGCACGTACGGACTCCAATAATGGTTGGGATTTAACTTTAACTGTGTGTGATTTTATCTGAGGAAAAGTTTTCATTCAATGACGAACTTTAATTGACCCCAAGCATTATTGCGCAATACATTGACGCTGGTTTGTAACACAGTTCGAGGGTATGCACAATTGAAAACACACAAAATAGGCATAATCACTGATTTCTTGCTGGAAATTTCCAACAATACTGCATTAAAAATGAAAAGCTGGAGGCAAAGAGATGGTTTCATTACATTAGCTGCCTTGAATATTGTGTATTTACACCCCTGATCCTCCAAAATGTTGGTACTCTGAGTAAAATGTTGATAAAAGCAGATTCTGATAGTTTGCAGATCATTTTGACCCTCTACTTGAAAATATCGCTAAGAGAAATTATTAAATATCATAACTGAAATTGTATTGTTTCATGAAATGAATAGCTCTATTTAAAGTAAGTTTCATAAAAAGTTTGGACAGGATCAATACTTCACTGAAATAGTAGTTTTATGCGACTGAAGTAACACCTTTCAACTGATTAACTTAAAGCTACTGTGAGAAACTTTCAGTGTGTAAAAAAAAAAAGGGCGGTGTCGTCAGCAGCTCCACTGACACCTTCCCCCTCAAAGCTAATTTTAGAAGTTAAAAATTACAGCGCAAAAATTGTCAATCTTGTTTGCTTTAACATGTCATGAAAAAACATCAACATGAGTTTTAGTCTTTTTCATTAACGTCAAAAATCTTTAATAGGAGCTTAATTTGCAGGATGGTAATGGCATGACAAGAGGTAAAAATAGCGTCCCAGAGAGGCAGAGTTTTTCAGAAATGGTGCGAAAGTTGAAGGAGAAGACTTACTTTATTCGCTCTTATCAGGGTGTAACTCTTTGTCTATCTGTTTCTGCTTTTCTTACTACCTGGTTATGGGTATTTACTCTTTAAAGTATCCACCTCTTATCCTCCAATCATCCTGCTGCAGCCAAACTTTAAATCTGATCTCCCCTCTGCTCCTTCGTTTGTTGTTTCACCTCAACTCCTTATCAGAGTTTTACTTCTTCAGATGTCCTCCCCTCATCACTCCAGGCTCCATTGAGGGTTACCCTTCCCTGCAGTCAGCCTCGTCACCCCTTTAAATATACGAAGACTTCTTAATAGAGTCTAATCCCCAAAGACAAAATAGCCTGGCAGTCTAAGCGCTCCACATACGGAGATGGCTCGGGTCCCTTTTTCCTGTTTCCTGACAGTCATGTGGCGCTGCATTAAAAACAGACACGACTCTGTAGTGGAAATCACCGCATGGGCTGGAAATCTCTTCCAAGAACCAGCGACTTGGATCAAAGTTTGTTGCAAAGTAAAAACTGCAGCAATACATGACTCCTCTGCGCCCACGCTGATTGAATATTGACTGAGGCAGAGTGGAAAACTATCCTCTGGTCTGACGAATCATAACTTGACAGTCGTTTTGGGAAATCACTGACACCTTGTCCTCTGCTCTGGAAGAGAGGGACCACCTGTCCAAGAGTCCAGACAATGTTTTCTTTTTTTTTTTTCAGACGAGGTCCTGCATATTTCAGTGAGACAATATTCTGTACACATAACAACAGCATGACCATGACCAATGCTATAAAACAAAAACAAAGGAGGCCCTGAATCACTGATCGGCTGAAATCCTTTATCAGGATATTTCACTTTGAAAACTCAACAAAACAATCTCCTCTCACTCCTCTCACTTTTTTTATATATATATCTGCTGGCTCATTATGTAATATTATGTAAGGCTTCACATGGAGAAATGATCACAGATAATGCAATACCAAGGGGGCTGGCTCGCCAAACTTCAGTGCATTTAAAAGCAATTTAAGGACACAACTTATTTCATCTCATTGAGTCATTACGTCGTCTATCACCTAAATAAGGGAAGACCAGAGAGAGCTGAGTGTTAAATTAGCATAGCTTAATTCAAATTAAAACTTATACATAAGACATGAGGGCGAAAAAATCAAACCGTATTACAAAGCAGAGTTAGACTTTGCGCAGCATGATCTCATATCTTAACAAAGATATAGATCAACCCCTGCTGTGTTTCAAAAACATCAAACGAGTCTGGAAAATGACTATGTGAGTACAAACTTCACGATCTTAAGACAATGCTGCCTTGTTAGAGCCGGATATGTAAAAATGAGCCGAAGTGTTGTTTAAAAAAAAAACGGTTTTAAAAAAAAAGGGTAACACTTGACGATAACCATAACTTATAAATGGTAAAATGACCATTTATGAATGGTAAACAGATAGTTTATTCATGTTTAATCATCATTTATAAAAAGCATGTAGACCACTAATAAATTGTAAATTTTAGAATTTTAAAAACCTAACCCTAACTTTACAACAACCATCTAAGTAATGTTTATAGGTGGTTTATAAAGCACTTATTAATCTTTTACAAAGTATTACAAACATCAGTTGCAACTTTACAATAACCATCTAAGTAATGGTTAAAAAAACAAATATTAATCATTTACAAAGTGCTACTGACACACATGTTAATCTAGATGTTTTACAACCAATATTTAAACCCTAAATAAACTTTTAATAATTAGTCTGTTAATAATTATTGAAAATTATTAATCATCATTTCATTGCTAGTTAATGGTAAAGTAACTATTAACTTACATTAATAAACCATCTATTTGCCATTTATAATCGGTCTATATGCTGTTTTTAGATGATTAAACATTAATAAACTATCTATTTACGATTTATAAATTATGGTTATTGTGAAGTGTAACCAAAAGAAAAAAAAATAAATAAATAAACATAATGTAGTAAGTGACCCAAAATGTAAAAAGTTGCTACGTTTTCGTCAAAAAAGTTTTTACGTTTTGGGCTTCGCATCTTGTTGCATTTCAGGTTTTATTACATTTTTTTTAAACTAGATTTTGGGTCATTGTTACATATCAGGGACTTAATTTGATTTATTGCAACAATAATTAGCTGGAAAAGCTGAAAAAGCTGGACTCTTTGCTCCAAATGGTTATTCCTAATGGCTGTGAAACATCATCCTCTGTCAGGTTAGGGTTAGGATTAGGATTGGGGTTAGGGTTAGGAGATTCAGAAGTGCGATAATGTTCTGTAATGTTCTGTTCGATGTACTGAGCCGACAGCCCACGTTTGGCTTGAGCGTGTGATGACGTTTCAAGCTTTTCTAGCCAATCAGAGGCGAAGGAGGCGGGACTTTCCCCTTCCATCCTACAATAAAAATATCGCCACTGTGACTCACATATGCATGAGGAAGACATGCAATGAAACCAGGAACTACTTTACTGTGAGGCAGCACTTACTACTACACCGTCATGCAACTCAGATTTAAGCTTTTTATGGGAAGCTTTAAAAGAAAAGTTTTGATGCTCTTTTATTTGAACTTTGAGAAGTTCAGGCGACTCTGGCTGACTTTTCTTACACTCTACATTCAGAATGTAAACTGCTGCCATCTGCTCAGACTAAAAAGCCTGTTTGTCCATTACTCACCCAAGTAATCTCCGGTAATATTTCAGTGTTCATTGTGTGTTTACTCTGAGCTCATTGTGCACATTAGACTTCCTCGCCATACGTAAGACTAGTTCAATTCAAACAGGATCATGTCAAAATTAGTCTTTTTTCAGCTGTCCTGTTTTACATGGTGAAAAATCCGCCAACTGCACAGAGCTGGCAGAAATCTAGCTTCTTGTAAACACGCCGATTCTTGACGAGAACGTGCAAAAACAAAGTTCATCAATATGTCACTCTGCTGACATCTGTGTTTGCTCATCACTGGATAGAAGTCAACAACAGCTCTCCTCATTTAAATAAGGAAATCCTGCTGACTTGAATCTCTCCATCTCTCGAGAGTGCGAATGCTCGAAAGAATCCAGACAATTCAGAGATTTTTCCACCGAGGCCCTTTTAAAATATATAATTTATAATGCTCATGCTATAGCAGCACCTGCTCTCATTATAAGAGAAGACAACACAGAGTAGAAAGAAGAGAGGTGGGTTTGCATTCATGCCGTCTGAAAGCGCCGCTCCGTACAGCCACGACCGACTTCGACAGGTGCTAGCAGATAATTGGGCGCCGTGCCGGCTACCACCGCCGCGCTGCTGTCTTCTCGAGCTCATTACTATCACTCAGAAGTTCCCCTTAAAAACCTCCACAACCACATGACTCCTCGTATTTGGTAAAGCGACGACAGAAATCTTTTGAATCGCTGACATTAAAGGGCCTGTCACTCTGGGAGCTGTTGACGCGCTGTTTGGGCGGGTAAATGATTGCGCTCAGCGTGTGGCGAGCTTGGAAAGCCGGAGGGTCGACACACAGGTTCAGCTGCATGCGTATAAGCATGTGGTCGGGGTGCAGTCGACCCTTTTATGAAACAAATGCATATGAACTGTTTAGGAGCCTATAGGGAAAGCTTTAGAGTTGGACTTTCTTTGCCTTGGTCAGACTGTTCGTTAGTGAATGCAGAGACGTCAGTGTGCGAACTGTATTCAGCTTGAGCTTCAAGATACTTACCGAATACACTGATACTCACTCTTTAGGTGATCTTTGAGGTATTTTTGCCTTTTTAGATGGTAAAAAGTAGATTCACACGCGATAATTGGACAGAAAAACTCAATAAAGAACGCTGGAAGTTGTTACTTTGCCTCTCTTTCACTCATGACGTGATGTTTAGATTTATATTCAACTTCTGATGTTTGTTTAAAATCTTGTTTTCTTACTTCTTTCTCCTTTACCTGCACTAATATGCTGATTATATATTTAAAACTTCTGTCTAGGCCTGTTTTTGTTGTGTAGACTTACAGCTTGACTTCCTTTGTAAGAGAATAATCTGTATTGTGACGGCGAACATGTTTAAAAAAGTTGGCAGGCCTTTCTTCAGATTTCTGTATCATGTCTTATGATGGAGGAGGTGAGCATTATGACCCACCAGGGGGAGCTCTAAATGTTCAGAGTACATTATCTGAAGTTTATTTATGGGAACTGCTGCCTGATCAAAACTACTGGAATTATATCCCATGATTTAATGGGGACTTAAGAGTTAAAGGGATATTCCGGCATAAAATTAATTTAGGGTCAAACACACTGTAACACTGAGTTAGACACCCCCTCGAGAGATAAATGTTTCTGACCGCTTTCTTCTCTAGTTATACCAACTTTAGTAACGACCGCACGATAGCAATACACAGCGGTCTGAGAAGCCACACACAAACCTCAACCAAAACGCCACTCTATAGCCACAAATAATGATCAGAACAGCACCTGACTTCATCAACAGTACATATAGGGTCCCAGCCACCAAACATCTTTTTAGCTTTGCCTAATTTCTTTAGCAAAGAGACTAAACACAACTCACCTACGCTCTTCCAGCAGCCGCTTGTTTGTAGCGAGACCTCAGGCCAGTCCATTACGGACTGCTGCAGGGTGACGCAGCTCAAGGAAGAACATTTATGATCATGATTGATTGATTGATTTTTGGTTGAGGTTTGTTTATGGCTCCTCAGACCGCTGTGTATTGATATCGTGCGGTCGTTACTAAAGTTGGTATAACTAGAGAAGCAAGCAGTCAGAAACATTTATCTCTCGAGGGGATGTCTAACTCGGTGTTACGGTGTGTTTGACCCTAAATTAAGTTTACGCTGGAATATCCCTTTAATGCTGAGCCAACGACCAGGTAACAATCCTAAAGAAAACGTCCACCGTCATTTTGTCTGTGCTTATTTATTCAGCAGAGAGATGCCACAGACCTGAAGGGACAAACGAATGATGTCCAAGTAAGCAGTTAATAAAATCACACTGACCAAATTTTATTCTCACAAAGATGCTGATGTAAATGGTGACTATTCTGTCTGATTTGGAAACCAGGGATGTGAACATTTATGGATAAGTGCAACTCTGTCTTAAGAATTACCAGATCTGGACCTTACCAACGGAAATAGGAGCTTAAATTACATTCATGACCCAACTGAGCATGCTCAAAGTGCCTCAAAACAAGTCAGAGGAGCCAAACATGACCCTCCTCAGCTCCTGTGGAGACCCTACAGCCTATCAGCTGTTTTTCCAGAGAAGACAATCTTCCCTTATTCTGATATTTTTCCACGCTCTATCCTGCCTTAACATGATGATTTTTACAGTCAGGTGAGCTGTCTGAGAAAGAGAGACATCTCATCATAAGTGTTTCCTCCCTACGGGTTCAGTAATTAGCTGCCAGCACCTTGAGCTTGACAAAATAATTGGTTCCTATGCTGCTTTAAACTCATTAAAGTTGACTCTTTGAGAACTGTGCATTGTGCCGTGTCCTTCAGAGTGACTGAAAAGGAATTATTCAGTTCAGCCAATCCGTGGCGAACCGATCCTCTATCAATATGCATGTGAGGCTGGGAAAAAAAAAGAGGGTGGCAGAGAGGCTTACTCTGTTTTCATTTTGCAGCTCTGACTGGTCAGCGAGCGGCGCGAGGCACTGCGGCGCATCCATCACTGACAGATGTGGCGCTCGCGGCGAGTGCAGTAAATCACTCCACTTTTCAGAGTACATGTCACTCCATCCTGTTTAGAGACGACCTGCTTTATAGCAGATAAACAAACTTAAACAGGTTCTTCCTTTATAAACTTTAAGTCTGTGTTGAGAGGGCGGCACAGTGGTGTAGTGGTTAGCACTGTCGCCTCACTGCAAGAATGTCCTGGGTTTGAATCCAGGTCAAGGCGTTTCTGTGTGGAGTTTGCATGTTCTCCCTGTGTCTGTGTGTTGTTTGTTGTTTGTTTATTCAGCTTTCAGCATGATCACAGATGTTTAAAAAAGACAGATGCCATTAAAAACACTGAATTATTTTGCTGATTACAAAAAATAAAACTTCAAATATAAAATGCAGATTAAGAAGCAACAACCTATAGACTTAAAAAGCTAAACACCATTCTGATTTAATAGTCTGCACATTTATGGGATTGGTGATTTCTTGTATCTCTCAGTTCGGCATGTTGGGGTGTGGGTTTACTCCGGGTACTCCAGCTTCCTCCCACATCCCAAAAACATGCAGAAGTGGGGTTAGGCTAATCGGCCACTTTCAAATCGCACATAGGTGTGAATGTGAGCGTGGATGATTGTTCATCTCGATATGTCACCCTGCGACTTGTCCAGGGTGTCCCCTGCCTTCGCCTGAAGATGCTGGGATAGGCTCCAGCCCCATCCCCCGCGACCCCAACAGGAAAAGTGGTAGAAAATGGATGGATGGAAATCTGTGTTGAAATTGGATCCTCTGTGAAAAAGCCTAAAGCGGTTTTGTTTAAAGTTTGGCAGTGAGTTAAAATCTTCATTTTGCACTCATGGCTGATACTGGTTGGATCTAAGTGTTGGATGAGGGTCATGGAGTTTGACCCCCTCACTTTAAGATTGTGGAATAGCAGAATGTGTCCTGCTTAGAAACTTCATCACGCTCAATAAGTTGCTATAAGTGGGTCTGAAAAAAAGCTTGTGACACATACGCCTCCCTGAGGTGTTTCTATCAGCTTCGTAGAACTTCCTGAAGCATCACTGTTCAAGCAGGAAAGTTTTAATGAGAGGTGTGGCTCTTAAATTAAGAACCTAAACCCTGTTTCACTACAAATGGAGACAGCTGTCTTCGCAGATATTTGTCAGACTGTGCCAGATCTTACACTTTTTAAAAAAAAGACTGTTCAGGAAAGTGAAGAAGCAGCTGCTCCTTACCCTGACTGTTTTCACTGCAACAAAAAGTGTTGTAAGGTTTCTGATTTGATCTTTGTGTTTGGGCAAAATAAATAATTAAACGTCCTGGTCGACATAGAAAATTCTCTGCCTCCTATTACTCAGGGTTTGGGAGGGAGACCTGACAGAGTGGCTTCAGTTGGAGTGCTTTATAATCTGATAAGCTCTGAGGCTTTTCAGCACTTCTTCAATCATAGGAAGTTGGACCCACTTAATTATAGGAGGTGAAGGAGAATCTTGTCCATCTCATAGCAAACACGGGGCTAAGTCGGCTACGCCAGCTTATTCTGTCACTGCTAAATTGTCCTGAGGGAACTCCTCTCGGTAGCTATCCTGATGACTTCAATAAAAAAACTTCAATATATTTACATATGCACAAAACTCTTTACACATTCTTTCTCCTGACAGCCCCCAAGCAGATGTGAGGATGCAGCAGGAAATATCTGAGGAAACACCTGCATACGTGAAAGCAGGAGCGATGATGTTCATGCAACAGGTATGACTCCAAATGCATATTTATCTATTTATGATCTGTAACAACACATGCAGTTATTGTTATATCTTATTAAAGAGCAACTGATGACGTGTCAATAAAAACAAGCAGAATCATCTTAAAAACCGGCAAAGATGTCTGCATACTTGTCCATTTTCTTGCAACATTTGACAGTGGCGTTCTTTGGATTCCCCGCTCTGTCTCCAGACACTTGTTAAAAATCCTGTTTAAAAAAATCCACAGGCCAGAACATACATCGCTAATTGATTAATTTGAGTATGAAACCGTAAACGACAACTTTAACAGACTGTTAAAGATCTCAAGCGGCACCTGGAACATCTGGCAGCGCATCAACAAATCGACAGATCCCAGAACCTTGAGACTCAGGTGGGATCCGCAGTGTGCACGGAGGCTTGCTGTTACTCATTTCTGGGCTGTTACGGTACTTGCCGGCTGACGTGAAAGCATTTCCTCTTCTTTTTTTTTTTTATCCTCTTCTCTCCCATGAGTGAACAGTATCTTGACAAGGAGCCAGTGAGGATATAGAGATACGAAGGGAGGGATGTGGTGTAGACTTTATTCACCGCCGCCTCCATCGCTTCTTATTCTCTTTTAGCAAATTATGTCTGTCTCTGTCAGACTGTGAGATTTAAGACCTCGAAATCACCCCTTTAAAACACGAGGCACTCAGCGCGACATGTGATCTAACACGATGAAGCATTAAGAGCTATTTGAATCCAATTTCTCAAAAGTAGAAACAAAAATAGACAAAACATGTTTTATCATAATATGAAGGCTGGAAAGGACAGACCCTTGTTTGTATGAGTATTTTTTTTTTTTTTACAAATGCAAGTTCTTATATTATTCATTAGTGATCATGGCATTTGTGTTGTTAAAGGTCACCAAGCAAGCAAACAAGATTATGTGGATAGCTGTGGGCAAATGTGGCTGGCCTGAACTTGAAAGGTCTGCTTTATTTAGCAGCTGAGCTCCAGGCTTCATCATTTTAGCTTTCCTGCTCCCTAATGTAACGCCTTTTCTGAGCACTGGCTGAATTAATACCTGAAGTATCAATATTATCAATACCAGACTAATTTACATGAATATGAGTGACACAATGATGGATACAAAATGATCTGTTTTAAATTCAAAAGGCATGTGCTTTTAGTTTACTAAACTTGATAGTGGGCACCAGATTAAGTGGTGAGTGACAAATTATAACATTACAATATTTTGAGTCATAAATGGAAGTTGTACTGTATGTTGCATCTAATTTGTAGTGAAGCCTCCTGGCCACCAGTTGGAGCTGTAGGTGCGGTTGATGGCTACTGTTATTTTATTATTACATTTATGATCATTTCTTTATCATTTCCTTGAAGTAATAATCACCATATTAATCAATTTGCTCTGCAGGTGCGGTAGTTCTTCTGCCTTAGCGTCTCGGTCTGGTTGCACTTCCTTGAAGAAATGATCATAAATGTTCTTCCTTGAGCTGTGTCACCCCGCAGCAGTTTGTAATGGATTGGCCCGAGGTCTCACTACAAACAAGCAACTGCTGGAAGAGAGTGGGTGAGTTGTGTTTAGTCTCTTTGCTAAAGAAATTAGGCAAAGTTAAAAAGATGTTCGGTGGCTAGTACTATGGCTAGGACCCTATATGTACTGTTGATGAAGTTAGGTGCTGTTCTGAGCATTATTTGTGGCTATAGAGTGGCGTTTTGGTTGAGGTTTGTTTATGACTCCTCAGACCGCTGTGTATTGCTACTGTGCTGTTGTTACTAAAGTCGATATAACGAGAGAAGCAAGCGGTCGGCAACATTCATCTCTCGAGTGGGTGTCTAACTTATGAAACGGCCCAGCAAGGGCTGACGTAAAGTTAGCGACACTGTAATACACTTAAGTGATCTCTGGTTTTTAAAATAAAACGTTAAAATAAGCATAAAAACAGGCTTGGAGTGAGCAAGCAGCTCAAATTTAGGGTCAGCTGACTTGTGATTGACAAGTGGATTGACCGCAGTAAAAACAGCGAGAATAAAATGGCTAACCCTAATAAAACTTGTCAAATTTAAGTGAAATCGATACAAAAAAGTACCCACAATGCAAAAACATCCAATTCCTTAAAATACTCAGGTTTGATTATTGACAGACGTAATGTACGCCTGCTGCAGCTACAAGTATTAAATCTTGGTCGTAGTTTTGTTTCGACCAAGCATGATTAACTGAGTTGGTACAGTTGATGTGTAAGCGCACAGTTCACAATTAAACCGAAGTATTAAACCAAGTACTCTGAGTATTATCGATGCCAAAACTCTCAAACTAAAGGATTTTGTCATGATTTACTTCAAATCTGACTCTGCTTTCATCAAACATGGTTATTCTATAGACAGTGTTGGTGTAAAAATATTGACTATGCAGCTTTCACCAGAAAAGAATCAACATCAGCTCCACCGGCAGAAGCTTCATTCAACCAGTGAGATCATTTTGTCTGCTGAGAGATGTTTGCAAACTGAAAACTAATATGTTTTTTCTTTTTTCTGTCTGCATCTCGGTCGCCCCGGCTCTCTCTCTCTCTCTCTCTCTCCTGCTCTTCCGCTCTGCCTCTCCCCCCCTCATATCTCCAGCTGTCGCCTGGTGGAATGTAAATGAGCCTGTGAGTGCAGAGCCTATGATGGTGTCAGCCCTCTCCTTAGTCTCTGGTCTCATTAGAAGCCTAGTGTAGCTGACATTTACCCCGCCGCTGTGTTGCCTGGCTCTTCATGTGGGCCACGTGGGTCAAAACAGTACACAGCCAAACTTCAACGATCCTTTCCTTTTGCAGAGGGGAGGTCTCTGGAGCCTTAAATCTAAGAACAACGCCTTGAAATGTAAAAATATCGATACGCATTCCTTCAAAAATGACCCTCGTGGTCTAATTTAAAGGAAGAGTAGCATTTGAAGCTTCTTTTGCTCTCTTTTCTTGCTGATTTGTACATTCCTACAGAACTGTGTGAGATTTTATGCACCAAAGCAGCTCAATTAAAGATTCTGATTATGCAAGTGTTGAACATTTCCTCCTTTTTTCCTGAAAAATGTGCGTAAAAGATGAATTTTTCAAGGTCTTCCTGCACAATTACACGTCTGGTCTTCACCTTGTCTCACCGCCGATACTGTCAGCGCACTCCTGCACCTCCACCTGAAGGAGATAACTCCAATTTGCTTTGATTTGGGTGCACAGCGGCCGTCTCCTGAGCCCCACAGTTAGCTCCAGAAACGGCTCTGCAAGTTAGAAATTAATAGGAAGGCCTTGGCTATTTCCTGACTCTTCTTCCTCTTGGGACCCCGCAGCTCTGTTTTTCTGCGGTCCTCTCATCCTGTTACTAATGCCTGACTCTGTGTAACCCTTATCTCCATGCTCACTACATGGCCTGATAGGGCTCTGTGTGTAAGCAATTAAAACGGCTTATTTGCCAGATAAGTGGGGGAGAGCGGTCAGATTGGAAGCCGCAGGCTGCCAGTATCGGGTCTTTAGGTTACAGCCCCCGGGTTAAATAGCCCGGGGATGCAGAGTGAGCCAAACCAGGCGTGCAGCTCACTGTGAGTGTGTGTGTGTGTGTGTGTGTGTGTGTGTGTGGGCTGAGAGGCTGCCAGGGCTGTCTGTATGTTATCCACATAACCAACCAACACCAAAGTGAATATTTAACAAACATCCTAAATAAAGAAACGTTGACTTATAGACCAAATATCTCGAGTTTAAAAAGCCGTTCATGTGCATTTCTGCATGAATATGATATATATTCATATTTTATATTCATGTCTACTGAGAAAAACATATTCTCTGTGAAGTTGCTTATGTCTGCACATGAAAGCAGGATTTCTGTGTATTACTACCAGGCAGACAGGTGCCATATTCAAGACGACAAGCCATGCAGGAAAAACTCGGGTAACACTTCATATATATGTAAACGTATATGTTTATATAGTCATGACAACGTCCACTTACACTGTGGCTCTTTCTCTTGTTGTTTCTTTTCGACTGGATCTTTGCTTGGATTGTAGGGGAGACCAGGGTTTGTTGTCACACTTTTTATTTACACTCTTATATATTTCTTGCAATCAGTACATCATATATAAACAAAACGTGTACAACACGAAAGACCAAAGTCTCAGGTATATATCTCATATTCATGTCATTTTCATATCTTGTGTCAGTGCAGCGTTATAAGTGATCAAATAGAGAGTGAGAACATGCGACATGTTGCCCCATCATCGGGTAAGTTGTCTCACTACACGGGGTTAGATGTCACAGTGGATTTTGGAGCTTATAAAACAAGGACAAAATTATTGTTGTTCTAGTTTTTTTACTTTAAAGTGAATATCAAAGTCAGGCACAGAAAATGTTTATCACTGAGCTAGAAGAAGTCATTAAACAAACTTTAACATAAAATATTATGCAACATGCACTGGAGTTCGGAGAGCTGTCTGACTCTGCTTTTTGGCTGGGGTGAATGTTTTGCAGTGTCAAGCTAAGGTATGGTAGTTGACATTAAAGTCTTTAATTGTTCTCCAGATTGATTTATTGGCTAAGATCACCTGTCTGACTGCCCTCAGCATCACGTCAGGTACTGCACTGCCACGTTCTGTTTTTCTTTTGTAATTCCTGACCATGTCTTCTCACTTTCTCCTCTTCTTTATACCCCTCTCTTCTCTGTAAAAATAAAGTCAAAATTTCTGTATGACAACGGCTCATAAGCAGATTCTCTATGTTAATTCTAACCCCTTTTAAACATGTGACAACTAAACCCAAAATGACTGAGACATGTTGCCCCAAACTACCATATTTGCTCATTTTTAAGTTAGCTTAAAAAGGAACAATGACCGAGGTATGACAGGATGTCTTAATCTCTCCTCTAACAAGTCCACATGTTACACTGCTGGGATTTTTATCTGAAAGAAGCTTATTTTAAAATATATAAAGTTAAAATTTTTTACTTTTGGTTGTGCAAAATGATTCCCAGACAGGACACAACCCCTGACCGTGTAATGAAAGAAAACTAGTATTCCACTTTTTAGTTGCGCCCTCTGGTGGCAGAGATAATCGCAATTTGACAACAAGCCCTGGTCTCCCCTACTTACTCCCAAACGTACATCCAAAAGCGTCTGCTAAAGCACATTGTATCATCAAAACTGCTACACTGAACTCTTATGATGCCTCATAAGCACACTTATACGGCCTTATGAATATATTTATCAGGCTAATTTACATAAAGTGTCACCAAACTTGCTTTAATATCACCATAAAACGATCCACTTCACAAAGATTGGTTTATTGCTCTCGTGGCCACCGGAGCTCTGAAACTTTGAGTGTGAATAGCGGCACGGTTGACCTCTCTGCCCTGTTTCTTACCATGAGCGCAATATTCATTTCTTCTCACATGTAACTCTCCCAATTCTAAATCCAGCTGCAGACCAGAGATTTGACAAGGTTATGCAGCTAACTAGAGTGCAACAGACTGTGATTAATCAGAAAATATATTCCCAAAAATAAATGCCAACTTTTTTACATTTCTCCTCCTCATGCTTGTTTAACTTTAAAACCCGTTGGAACATAAAGTAGAGTTATATTTACACTGTCAGTCCAGATAGTCTTTTTTTAAGCCTTTCCAACTGAAGTAATCTCTTCAATAACCTCAAAGCCATTCAGTGCCAGGAACCTGCTGGACTCTATTTGCAGTCAGAGTTTATGCAAGGTTAATTTTATCTGCACAACTGAGCAGAGGAATAAATACAGCATCCCTGCAATGGATAGCAGATCCACCGAGAAAGACACTCTCTCTCTCAGAGTCCTAAAGTCTATGCACATGCAGTTTAGATGCAAATTTTGTGACAGCAAAACTCTCCTCAGATAAATGTACATATTGTTTTTGGTTGAGTTACAAAATTACAAAAGTATCAACTAACCATTTGGGAGTCAATTGATGATCTTGATTGATATATTAATTATAATGCACTGCTGCATTAGTGTGGACTTAGATAGGAGACAACTTTAAAGTGCTTACTCTGTGATAAACAGTTGTTGTTCTTCTGGTATAAACATGAAAAAAACATGTAGGAGTACAAGTTCAAAATGTGCAGAACAGCTCAAAATATTTCTATAATATTGTGATAATCCTGTTAGACACAAAAGTGCATCAGTGTGGAGGTTTTATCTTCTATCATGGCAGCAGCAGGAAGCAGGAAGACACTGCAGTGGTTTAACTACAGGGTACCAAAAGAGACAAAATTCATATGATTGAAACATTTCTGACTTTGATTTATTGCAATTAGTCCTGCTGATTAACGCTCAAAAGCCAACTTCTACTTTTATTCTGACTTGTATTTCAAGTAACGTTTTAACCGTCAATAGCGGTTAACCTGAAGTTGATACAGCTGTATTTAACACTTTTGTGGACTTTGCATACATTTGTCGCTGTCTCCACACACCAAGCGCAAGTAAAATCATTCGCGTGAATGAATTACATGTTAAGTCAATGCAAAGATGCAAATAGACGCTCCTACCACTCTGGCGGCGGGAATGACACAAATTGGGCTGGAGCTGAAAATATCTCAACTCGAGCGAATATTTGCGCCGCAATAACTAATCAGCACGACGGTTGCCTGGTGACGTATGAAAACAGACGGTTGTTCGCTGGTATCTAAAATGGAGGACAAACTGATCGTGTCAGTGTGCGGCCCCGAATTATATGATACCTTTTCTTTTAAGTACGAAAATCAGAATAAAAAGGAGCTCGCCTGGAAGGAAAGTGAGTGAGAGGGTCGGATTACCTGGTACATTGTTAATACGCGCGAATTAAGTGAGTAAATACTATTCAGTCACGCGTCTAGATTCGCGCGAATTAAGCGAGTAGATGGTTTTACTAGCGGTTGGTGTGAGCGCCCCATTACACTTTCTAAACTGCAAACTTTGGCTTATGAGATCTGTTTTTTCATCTCCTGTGCAATGAACACATGAGATGGCGCTGTGCTGCCTAAACTGTGCTGTTTTCACTGCTTCTCAGTATAAACAAGTAACCAGTAGAGAAAAGTGGCGTGATGTTGCGCAAATTGTTGGCAGACGTTGGGTCTGTGCATGAAAGCTTTTAGCGTTACTTCAGATTGAAGTTTAACCACCAATACAGGAGGTGAGCAGGATTTCAAACTCCAGATTGTACCGGAAAGAGCTTCACAGCTGCAAGGAAACTACCATTGTTGACTCCTCTGACATAGAGACACATACAGACAATCGCTTACTGTCTTTTTTCTTTTGCTTAGTTGAGACCTCCGCCGTATTTTCAGCCAAGCTTTTCACGTGTGAGTTTGAGGAACAGAGAGAAACATAGCGGGAGAAGACTTCGACCTTAGTCGTAACCTGAACAAACTATAATTAGTTCTGATTTCGTGTCTCAGATCATTGTTGGTTTTGAGAACACTGAGAGCTGCCAAACGGGATATTTGGTCTCACAGGAAGGTACTGTTCGCCCTCAGCTCTGCACCAACCATCAGCAGGAATGAGGGGGTATGGGGGAAAGCGATGTTTCTGCTGTCCAAATTGTGCGTTGGTGTGTTTGTTTGTTTGGAGGCTGGAGTTATCTTGCATGACGGGCACATGTTTAGACACCACTGGGCTGCACACTGAGCAGCACTAAGACGCTGCTGAGGAGATAAAGCGGGCACACGGGGGGAAAAACTTGGACACGGGCTGTGGACCGCCGTCTTATCTCCTCGTGTTTTTGACTTTCTCTCACTCTGCCTCATCTCCTGTTTTCCTTCTCCCTCTCTTCCTCCTTCTGCATGAAATGGGATCACAGCTGACATGGAGCAGAGCTGGATTTTGGGTGGAAGGATGGGGAGGAGGGGGGTTTGTGCAAATATGAAAGGCCAGAGGGGTCCTGCCAAGGATTCTGGGATGGCAAGGAGAAAATATAGACCTTTGAAGTATTTACAGAGAAAGCAAAAGTGCATGAAGAAAAGGTGAAGTGTGTGCAAACAGAGGAACCCTGAGCTCATTAACTAGAGTAACTGTTGCAAATAAGGAGATGCTGCTTTGAAGGGAGTGAATTTCAGTCTTTATTCTTGTGCTCATAGTTGTAGCCAGGCGTCACAATATTTGAGGAACACAATTAGGAAGAATGGCTTCATTGAAAACAGGAGTCAGTGGTTCACCTGTTCATTAGCAGGTATGTTTATTGTCTATTCACATGTGCCTTTGTAACAGTATATGTATTTTTGAATGTAGTCCTATTATCCTGATAAGTTTTCAGTACAGACATGAACTGTTACGATGTTGAACATCCATACTGCAAAGTCGTACTTACTCCGATTTACGGGCAATTTCTACTGCATTCGGAACGGCTACGAAAAGTCTGTATCCGCCGATCGTAGCTGATCGGAACCATTCAAGTAAATGTGTCAATTTCCAACGGCTTCTTTCCATTCCGCTGCTGATCGCAAGAGTTCGTTGACTTTTACAGGGTGATGCTAAAGGACACGACCACCCGTTCCCTTTTTTAAACTCTGCTCCACTTTCCAGATGATCCTTGTGTCAACAATGGCCAGTATAATGAACGGTTTGACTCTTATTTGCTACTGAAACCTGGGGCTGTTCTAGCTATAAGGACTTTCTGCAGCGTAACAATACCCAACGTAAGCTAACAGAGCTAAACGAGGAGCTAAGTGGGCGCTAATGGCCTCCTGTGTAAAGGCAGGACTTTTTTGTCATTTTGTGACTGAAAGCTGTGTGAAAAGTAACACCCACGACTCGTGCCCAACACTGCCGAGCCAAAACACTTGAGGCAACACACTAAATGGTGGTCAAACTAAGAAAAATTAGATTTCTCGAGCAACAAATAATGCAAAGCTATTCTTAAGGTGTCCAAAACTGATATGATGAAAACCAAAAATCAGTAAAAATAGATTGGATGTCATTCATCTGTAGTTTTGTAAATATTATTCACATACAAAAAACAATAGTAGTGATAACAAAATAAAGTAATAGTCCACCGTGTTATTTTAGTGTTCACAATGGACAGCAACAAATCCTTTTTTATGGGTTTGGCACAAACACAAACTCAGTGGAGCTACAACGAAGAACCACCAGACAAATTCTGCTGAATTTCTGCTCAAACTGTCAGCAAGCTTTAGTTAATCTTCAAGTTTACACATTTACAAAGTCGCATTTACTTTAACCTCCAAATGCACCTTTAAGAGAAACATGCAGAAGGGCGACAGATGTTGAAATCCTAGTTACAAAGTACAAAACTCAGATTGTGGTGAAAAAAAAGGAAAATGAAAAAACGGCGGTGTTGTTTTTCTTAAAGAGGACAGACTGGAACTCTCCCGGGAAGTGTGGGGTATTAGACAGCAGACCTCTGGGTCACAGTGTGGGTATTCACAGTCCACAGCAGTGTGGTTAGAGGGTATTAAAGCAAGAGAAAGTAAAAATCAATGGCGGGGGGTTACAGTCACATTTATCACACATTCGGTGAGCTGAAGTCTACAGCAGAAGACGAGAAAAATGGCGAAAACGTCCCAGAAAGTGTCGGCAGGAGACTGATACGAAAATCCGAACAGGAGAAGACGACACAGGTCAGAGTGAAAAACGCACCAGAACCGGATTCTACTGTTTATATCATTTCCTCAGAGGTCCTGTTTATTCAGCAGCTGAGTTTGTTTTACTTCAAATGAAACAGAGCGAGAGCAGAGCGTGCAGCACATCAAATAGAACGAGAGCGAGAGCGGAGGGAGAAAAAGGCCTCGCTTCCTTCCTACTCACATCAAACGCTGGCACAGAGGGTGCCAATCAGCCGCCGATATTTTACACAAATTCCGCCGGTTTCAGGAGCACAAACTCATCTATCGAGCACCTGACCTCTTTCCGAGTCTCTCATTCGAGTGCAAAATCCCCCGAGCAGCTTTTCTGAGGTTCACAGTAACAATTTCTCGAGCATAACTGTCTATTCTCCGTGTGAAACAGTGTTGCCCCGTCTCACAGCTGTCTTTATCATACAAATAAAACCTCATATCGAACAGTTATTGGACATGCCATGATAATAACTTCAGATATGTCGAGCACAGACATTCTTTTCGAATTCATCGACTCGCACTGTTTTGTTTCCCCGTCATCAGTCAGCAGGGGAATGTTACGATGTGTTGGTTACAATACGAGGACAGATTGAACAAAGTACAATCTGTTCACTGCTCAGTGCCCTCACCCCCAGAGATATCTCCTAATTCAATTAGAAGGGCAACTGAATGTTGTTGATGGGTGTCCATATGGATCCCCTGTGTGATTAAAAGACAAAATTGACTGTTTTAGTTTTTCTTCTGCAGTTTCTAAACAAACAAACCAATAATCATCAGTTAACCCTTAGAACTACCAGCTATATTTTGCTATTTTTGGTCCGCCTTTTTTCAGCTGTCAGTTTATGGGTGCAAAATTATGTAAAATGAATGTGACAGTAGATTCAGAACCATCAAAGTCAACCAAAAAACAAAAACGGAAATTGATACCAACAGTACTTTGCACATAAATCTAAATAAATCTCACATGCAAATCATTCTCTCTAGTCTTGGCTATCAGGAAGAGAAATATTGGGATTGGAACAAACACACAACAGAAACTATTTACATATTTACACTAATTCTTCCAGACGTTTTTTTTTGCTATTTACAGTTGCTTATGCCACTCCTTGAAGCAGTTCCTGTCTGGGATGAGACAGAGGGCCACATCATACTGCTCATAATCTCTTCTTTGCTTGTTTCCAAGCATTGAGGACCATTATTTCTTATTGTGCAGACAAGCAGGGAACTTTCTTCTCTCGTTGATCTTTGATTGCCTCTTATTGGACACTACCATCAAGGGAACAGTAGAAGAAGAATATGAGACCATGTAAATTGGTTTGAAGTTTGACAGCTTGTCAAACCCGGAAGACATTAGCGGCATTTAGCAACAGCGATCTTTTTTATCACAACAATATGATAAATAATCATGTTTTCACTGGTATATCACTGCGAATTTACCATCAAATGTCTTTGATCAAATGCCTATTTTTTTGGCTGGATTGTAAACCTTGTGGCTGGTGTAGAAATGCCTGGAAACCTTCAATAGATCAGCAAAAGGGTAAGCTTTTGAACACTTTTTATCCCGTAGAAATACGCGGTATAGTTCCCGATAAACTGTAAACTATATTAACAATGTCAAGTGGGATCGCCGGCTAAGATCTAAGTGTTAAATTGAGCCTTTGTTTAAAGTATCTGTTGACGACTGTTTTGTTGCTTGTTCCTATTTTTTAATCATCCTGAAAAGAGATTCCAAACAGAGAGTTCATATCAGGTTGTGATTATATTTACTGTAATAAAACCATTAGAGTCACTAAACCACAGTCCTTGTCCAGGAGACGCTGAGCTCCATCATGCTGTAGGTTCCTCTGGATCGCTTTTTTACATATCTTTCTTCTACATGATTAAACAAAAGGCACACTTATTGTTTAGAGTATGCACAAAGTTCACATCCATATATATTTTGTGAAACTTGAAGAGAGTATAACTTTTCTCTTTGCTTCTTCATATTGTTTCTCTTGTGACTTAAATGACTTTAATTATAAATGTAGGTCCAGAAATCCTGTTTTCTAATAAGACAGAATCGTGGACCCTCACTGCTGCCATCCTGTGTGTTTCAGCTGTTCTCATGCAGGACTGGACAGGCTTGTTCGCGTGGAGCAGCAGACCATGAAGCCTCACTCTAGATCGATGGTGAGTCTGTGCAAAGACGAGGTCACGTGAAGGTGACATTGGACGATCTGCCAGAGTTGGCCAGACGGTCAGCACCAGGTCGCCCAGTTGGGGGGGAGAGAGAGAGCGGGGGCGGTGCGACCTGAGCCAGTCGGCTTCAAACCTGAAAGATTCATGGCGGAAGAGCTGCTGCTAATGCTCTTGCTAACTGGGGAACACCGAGGCTGCCAGGGTTTGGCTCGGGGAAGGAGATGCTGGCTGCTATAAAAGTTAGAGGAAGTTGCCAGAGACGTCATAATGTGATTTGCTGCGTCCCTTTGCTGTGCCGTGAGAGACAGACAGCAAAAGTGGAGGAGAGAGTGGAAATTTCAGGACAGGTCTTTAATCCCACAAGAAGAACTAGCAGCAAAACAGTGAAAAATTAACATTTTTGCATACCAGTATTTTCAAACCAAGGGGTTAGGTCACATAATGAATATGGTGGTCCCCAGATAGAAATTTTTCCATCATTTTGTACCTTTATATGATTAAATTACATATTTAAATACATCATCAGGCTGTGGTAAACTTTGATTTACAGTGAAGTAATGTTTAAACTGACTTGTTAGATGGTTAAGAGTAAATGTAAACCAATCACAAACTTGATTATCTTTTAAACTAGTGTTCAAAAATGAACAATATCCCATTCGAGAATCAATCTATCTTTAAACCCATGAAAACGACGCTTTCTCTCCGCCTATTTCTGATGATACCACCTAAAGAAGTCACACTAGTCATATATCTCTCCACACATGGCTTTGCAGACTAATGCTTTTGAACGTCTTACATATGGGCATTTGTGGGGCGTTTGCCTCAGTTAATCAAGGAAAACTGGCAACTCAGGAGGATATGGTCTTCATCATATTAAGAGCACAGCTGCCAACGATTCTGCATGTCGAGAACAGGTTCATTAATCTGCCTCTGAGTGTTAAAAAAAATCCAGGAGAGATATCAGGGAATGATTCAGAGTCGTATGTCTTGTTGAAGTTAAAAAACGGATTAAAATGAGCTTCTGTAGGCCGAATGAATTCAAGACCTTAGTGGGGATGTCCACGTTTTAAGACCGGACATTGTGTTCTGAGAGAGGTCAGGAGAAGGAATGAGACAATCTAGTCAATTTTAGTTTATCAACCCCTGGTACTGTGTGTTCAGTCTTACTATTAAAAGTAGGAGTCGACAGATTACAGTCACTGGCCGATACTGATAATGAAAGAACATGTTGGCCAATACAAAATGCCGATATCACACTGCTTTTTTTCGTTTTGTTTTGTTTTGCATTTGACAATAATGAAGAAATACAAACAAATGAAAAACAAAATGACTGAACTTATATTTTTACAAACAAATGTGGATTCAGATCGGTAAAATATAACTTTAAGATTTCTGTCCAGTAGTGTGAAATTGTCATTTAAATTAAATAAAAACTGTTTCGGATTTAATATGAAGTTAATGAGTGATTAATTGAGTTTTCATTGGATAAAAGGTAGCAGTGATATCGGCCTTGTGAGGGAGACTAATAGGTCTATTTCTAATCAAAAATAGTTAAATTTATCACATTTATAATTCTAATTATACACAAATGTTTGATAGTGTAGCCTAAAACTATTCAAAAATAAAGTTTTAGCACCTTAGTACTTTTTCAAAATGCTTCACTAGCTCTCCAAATGCCCCCAAAGGACCAACAGAAAATTTTGTCTTGTGTTATGATCACTTTTATTAAAAATTGCATGAATTTGTTTAAAGGCATCCAGGTGGATATTTGGCACTGTGTCTGTAATCTAAAAGTGAGGAAAAAGGGGTGAAAAGAGAGAGCCAGTGTGCAGTTTAATATCTCGTCACAGAGCTGTTTTTCTCTACCGTTCCCATCAGAACTGGAGTGAGAAATCTACATTTTGGTCTGTCTCCTGTTTGCCTTTATCCTCTGCATTATCTCACTGTCTGCAGGTTTTAGTTGCTGCTAAATTCCAAACATTGAAAAGGCCTCGTTGTTTGTGCGGCGAAGAAACATCACTCAGCCTCTGCCTGCTGCCACTGTGTCACTGTATTTCATCATCAGAGGAGTCGCACTGTTTGCTTCAGGTGAGCTGACATTAGTCTCAGCGCTGGAGGTCAAATCAATACTCTGAAATAAGTTGACTCTCTGACAGCAGTTTGTTAGTGAATACACTGGTCAGGCTGCTCCTGACTACAACTCCACTGCACAAAAAGTGAGGTAGTCAGCTCAGTGTCTAGGTGACAATGATCTCACTGTGTGTGGACTTCATACAACTGTGATCACACAGAAGCCAGGGTATTGTGTGTTAAAGAGTCCCAATTGGTAAATTAAGTATGCCGATTTTTTTACAAAGGTATTTGACTGTGAAAAAATAAAACAGAAATATGCCCTTATTAAAATAAGAGATGACATTTAAAAAAAGTGAGATTTCACAAAGGAGTTTGGTGCATGATGATGACTTTTGGGGACACTTCACGGAAAGATTGGTACAACTGTGATCACACATCTGAATTTCAGGGTATTGTGTGTCTAAGAGTCCCTATTTGGTAAATTAAGTATGCCGATTTTTTTGCAAAGGTATATGATTGTGAAAAAAAATTAATCAGAAAGATGCACCCACTAAAATAAGGATGACATTTTTAAAAAGGTGAGATTTCACAAAGGAGTTTGGTGCATGATGATGACTTTTGGGGACATTTCACGGGAAAAACTTGCAATATTTGGAGCTCCTACGAAAAACCTTTCGTAGGAGCTGACTGTGCGCACACACCGGCAGGGGAACTCTGAACAAAGAGAGGGTAAGGGCTGGCTCTTACCTGTAATTGTCCCACTCCCTTCCCGCACCTTAACGCCCTCTCAAACCATCGGTGGGGCTGCTGCTGCTGCTGCTGCTACTACAATCCAGTGTTGCTTCTATGGTGTGGAGGCATTTGCGTCCTGGACAAAACGGGAATGGTGGCTTTTTCCGCGTAAAATCAGACAACGACAAACGACAAGACAGAGCACCTCCACCGCTGCGCAGCCGAGATCCACCTGCATCCAAACCTCCCTGTGTTTTAATCCCGACAGAGTCCAGAAACAAACCAGTTGTCAGTCAAGACTCTCTTATGAGATTTATTCACGTCCAGTTGCTGCGCCGTACCTCGAGGATCAACCCCTCCTCACACCTCATATGAGTGGATGACTTTCTCAGAGTGGGGATCGATCCCGATCAATCACCTCAGTCTCTCTCCCCTCTTTGCTCCTCCGCGACTCTGCCCACTCTGACAGCTCGGGCTTGTGCGCACTAACTTTTATGGAGACTCCGGAGCGCACAGCCCGTACCTCAGCCGGTAACGCGTTCCAGTGCGCAGATCACTGTGTGTGTGTGTCAGTGTATGTGTGTGTGGAGGGGCTTGTGTCACATTGTCATTTGACGTCTTATTTTGGAAGTCACAATAGCAGATCCACGAAGACGCATGCGTTGCATAAGTTATCACCCCCTAATGAAGCCCAACGTGATCATTAGTCATTTCTACGCTAATTAGAAAAGGCGACTAGAATGTGATAAGGTGATATTTTTATACCAACAAACTGAATTATCATTTCACAGATATTTTCATTAGCAACTTAGCAAGGTGATGATTAATAAAACTGAAGGATTGGATATTGTCAGAACAGGCTAATTTAGACATGATCACTAATTTAGACAGAGTAATGCAAATGAGGCATTAGTCAACCGAATTACCTAAATGGGATTAATGAGTAGGCTTGAAACTGAATTGGATTAATTGGCTCACCAGTCCTGCCGAGACATCATCACCTCCACCTAAAAGAAGGTTGAAAATCACTCAAGACTGAAGCATTTTTTTCTCTGTTTAACACCAAATCTAACAACATCAGGAATAGCTCCCACATGTTGCCCTATGTGCGTCTATTTTAATTTCAAGGTGATGAATATGTCAGATGAGCTGTTGAATGATGGGTACGTCCTGTGGAGCTTCTCACCTAATCTAGGACGGCCCTGCGCTGCCATCTTGTGGATATTTGAGACATTTCAGCAGCCAAAACTAAACTTTCTATACAGAGAGATCATGAGACAACTCAATATTACACTATAAATTACTTTTCCCTCTTAAGTATTACTATAGTGGTTGCCTACTACCCCCTTTTGAGGAAATCCTCATCTGATGCCTCGCTTTTGAGACATTTTAAACTTGTCTCTTAGCCGCTTTAAAGGGATATTCCGGCGTAAAATTAACCTTGGGTCAAACACAGAGTTAGACACCCCCTTGAGAGATGAATGTTGCCGACTGCTTGCTTCTCTATTTATACCAACTTCAGCAAAGATCGCATGATAGCAATACACAGCGGTCTGAGGAGCCATAAACAAACCTCAACCAAAACGCCACTCTAAAGCCACAAATAATGCTGAGAACAGCACCTAACTTCATCAACAGTACATATAGGGTCCCAGCCACAGCACTAGCCACCAAACATCTTTTAAACTTTGCCTAATTTCTTTAGCAAAGAGACTAAACACAACTCACCTACTCTCTTCCAGCAGCCATTTGTTTGTAGCGAGACCTCAGGCCAGTCCATTACAGACTACAGCGGGGTGACGAAGCTCAAGGAAGAACATGTATGATCATTTCTTCATGGAAATGCAATCAGACCGAGACACTAAGGCCGAAGAACTATCGTGTCTGCAGTGCAAAATGATTAATATGGTGATTATTACTTCAAGGACATGATAAAAAAAATTGAGCTGCGTCACCCCGCAGAAGACTGTAATGGACTGGCCTGAGGTCTTGCTACAAACAAGCGGCTGCTGAAAGAGAGTAGGTGAGTTGTGTTTAGTCTCTTTGCAAAAGAAATCAGGCAAAGTTAAAAAGATGTTTGGTGGCTGGTGCTATGGCTCCTCAGATCGCTGTGTATTGCTATCGTGTGGTCATAAATCCACTTGTTTTATTGAGTAAGGTGCATTTCAGAGCACACGAAGGGGACAACATGAGGATGACAACTACTGAACTTGCATATACAGAATAGTTCAAATATCAGAATATCAAATATCTATAAATGTCATGTTAAATATTTACTTTTTTGACCACTTTTGGGTCGGGACCCACTAGTTGAGAACCACTGATATATGTGATACTATCACCTGCAACCCCACAAAAAGGGCACATACTATGTAGTGCCCATGCAAAACAACTTCCTGTTATGCCAGCTGTTGTATAACTTGATGCGAGTGGACAGAAGCTGGTGCACAGATGTCTTCAGAAAAGGATCTATAGCTGTCATATTTCAACTCCTTAACCAGAGATAATGCCAAAAGTGACCTGCCCAGCTAAGGAGGAAAGAAAATTTAACTGTTTCTCTGTGATCAAAAGTCTTTTTTACAGATCAAAGAAAAATTTGCATTTCACTTTGATCTTTAAAATCAAGCAGTCTGGAGGAAAAGTGAAGAGGCACAAAGGTCCAGCCTGGAGTTTTTGCAGTCTGTGATGAGTTGGGGTGTCATGTCATCTGCTGGTGCTGGTCCACTGTCCACCAGGAGATTTTTGAGCAGTTCCTGCTTGCCCACAAAACCAAAACTACCACTAAGTGGTTTGCTAATCATATTAACTGGGCCAGCCAAATTCCCTTACCTGAGCCTCATTGAGAATCTGTCAGATATTTGTTGAGATCATGATGAGAAACACTCAATCGAGACTTGAGACTATCATCGTCATCATCGTCGTCGTTTTCTTACGATTCATCCGGGTCCGGGTCGCAGCAGCTTCAGGAGGGCAGCCCAGACGGCCTTAACCCCAGCCACTTTCACCAGCTCCTCCAGGGGGGATTCCCAGGCGCTCCCAGGCCAGACGAGAGATAAAATCCCTCCACCTGGTCCTGGGCCGGCCACGAGGTCTCCTCCCGGTGGGACATGTCTGGAACACTTCTAACGGGAGGCATCCTAACTAGATGCCTGAGCCACCTCAGCTGACTCCTCTCGACGTCGAGGAGCAGCGGTTCTACTCTGAGCGCCTCCCGAGTGTCCGAACTCCTTACCCTATCTCTAAGGCTAAACCCGGCCACCCTGCGAAGGAAACCCATTTCAGCTGCTTGTATCCGCGATCTTGTTCTTTCGGTCATTACCCAAAGTTCATGGCCATACGTGAGGGTCTGCATGTAGATCGGCTCAGCTCTTTCTTCACCACGACTGATCACCACACTGCTGACTTGAGACTATTTTTGGGTAAATATCTAATGACTCAAGAATAGTCCACACTTAAAGACTACAGTTTGATCAAAAATGTTTATTCCACTGTGAAAACATTCCTGTCACACACGCACACACCCAACTTTTTTTTTTTACAAACAGCAAAAATTTGCAGTATAATGCATGTGAGGAGACGATAAAATTTATAAAAGTGACATAAGCACAAAGTGATTGGCTTTTGCAGTTCATTCAGAAAGAAAAGGGAACATTTAAAAGTCCTTTCAGCGCAGTCCATCCAGAGAATCAAAACATCTGATGCTGATTTCGCTTCATGAAAGTTTCGTCCCGAACGCAAACTTAACGAGGAATCAGATGTCGCGTCGCTCCGACTGATACGAGTGGACACCCACCGGCTCCATATTCAAGGCCGATTGTTCGGGCTCCTTCTTAAAGGCATCAGCGGCTGTAGTAGTAGAAGGAAGAAGTTCTTGGCCTCTCTTTCCCGGAGTCTCGAGGCATTCCTCTTTGATGAAGCTTTGTTCGTATGAGGCGTGCTCCAGGTGCTCCAACCGGTCCTTCTGTCCGTTCATGATCTCATCTGGAGTTTTCATGAACCTGGTGAAACAAGACAAAGAAATATCCAGTTATTAAACAGCCCTTCAAGATTTTTTCAAAAAGGTGTCTTTGAGCTGATTTACCTGAATAGAAGTCTTTGTCCGGGCTCTTTCCTGATGATGTTCAGTTTGTAGTAGTGTCTCAGTGCTCGCGACATCTTTTCGTACGTCATGTTGGTCCGATTCTGTACAGTGTAAAAGAACCAAAGACTCACTTATTATAACGATCCAGTTTTACAGTCTGGCACCTTTTCAATCTCTATGTCAAACTGATTTTTTTTTGCATCAAAATCAGACTTTGAATTTCAAAACCATCCAGTTTCAAGCACGTATTTCTATTTCTGACACTAGTTTTTTTTCACAATGATGAAATAAATTCAATGTAAAAAAAAAAAAAAAATCTGTCTCTCAAAATATTCGTTTAGTGAAAATTTGACTAAAAAAATGTGTAAAAAAATTCAACTTATAAAAAAAATTAAGTGTCAAATAATTTAGTGTCAAAAAATTCAGTGTAAAAGAGACTGACTCAATATCAGGTAACCAGGGAAAAGCAATCGATTGGATTCAATCTTCCTCTGGGGTTGGTGCCACATGACCAATCTAGCATTAATTGATTGGCTGGACGATGCACAATTAAGCCAGGAATCGATTGCTTCTCCCTGGTTACCTGGATGATGAGTCTGCTTTTTACACTGAATTATTTGACATCAAATTTTTTTTTTATGTTGAATATTTTTTACAGTTTTTTAAGTTGAATTTTTACTAACCAAATATTTTTGAGAGACTTTTTTTTTTACACTGAATTTATTTCATTATTGTGAAAAAAATATTGTCAGAAATAAAAATGCGTGCTTAAAATTCAAAGTCTGATTTTGATGCAAAAAAAAAAATCAGCTTTAAAAGTTCAAATTCAGAATCAGATGGCACAGATTTACTTCCATACTTGGCCACTAGGTGAAGGAAAAACTCCATAATAAGCTAAAAGCAACTTTTTTTCCCCCACTCTCTCAGTCTAAAAAACTGTTTTATTTATTTTTTTTGGTCCTTTAGTAGTCCAAACAAAGACTTGAAAGAGGCTTAAAGGCTCTGGATCTATATCTAGAGATTTAGATATTGAATAAAAGGTGATTAAAAAGGGCAGCAGCATTCATTCATTCATAAAGGCAAAAGACTTAGGCAGCTTTAAAGCATGAACTACAAACATGAAAGGCATGAAAAAGTTGTTGCAATAACCCTTTAATCGTATTATACAGGCTTCCAAACAGCAGCTCAGCTTAAGTCTGCAGTCAAACACAAACTGTGACTCGAATATGATTGATGATAAATAGATGTGTTTCTTTCCTGACTGAGTGTTTACCTTGTGGTTGCCCCAGAGCCTGGCCAGACCATTGGGGTCCATGATGCGGAAAACTTTGCTCTCCGGATCCTCCCAGCGGATGTAATTCTCGTACCTGCTGTCTGACAGGAGCTGGTAGACATAGTCCCAGAGCAGCCTGCAGTCTGTGGAGACACACACACACACACACACACACACACACACACACACACACACACACACACACACACACACACACACACACACACAGAGGAACACAGTGAGACAAATAGAGAGGGTACTTTGTGAAGCTCTGACAGGTACATTCAGAGGCTGTTTCTGACCTGCTATCCGTCCGATGGGTATCTGTTGATCGTCTGGAGGAGACACGGGGATGATGACGTGGTTCCTGTAGAGCCCCCCCTCCTCCTGCTGCTGCAGTAGTTGCTGTTGCTGCTGGGTCAGAGGTATCTGGTGGTGGTAGCTGTGGACTTTCCCCGCGTAACGGCCGTTTTCCAGTGCAGCCTGAGACTGAGGTCCACCCCGACCGTGCCTGAAGTCCAAGGCCGCACCTCCACCGCTCCTGCTGGGGCTGAGGAGCAAGGGGTTCATGATGGTGCTGGGCATGAGCTGAATGACACGAGGAGAGCCCGCCTCCTGGCCCTCAGGGCTGCCCGGGCATGGGGCTTCCTGGGGTGTAGCGCAGCGACCGTTGGGTGCAGCGGGGGAAACGGACAGGGGGTACATGTCTTCAGGCATGTGGTGGTTGCTATCAGGTAGCTGAGAGAAGGTCTGCAGAGATTCCTCACTGGTCGGGCGGGGATTGTTCGGGTCTGGAGGGGATTGCCTGGGGTTGGAATGATGGGGGGAGCGTGAGCGGTGCCGCAGCTCGATGGTTGGTGGATGCTGGGTGAGGGACTCTGTACCACGCGGTCCCCGTCGTACCGTTTCTGGATTCAAAAAGAGATAAAAACATGCTTTAATTACAATTTCTGCAACCTTTACCTGGGATTTCCACCACAGCTGGAATGGCTCGGATTTTCGCAGTACGCCAATTCCTACCATTCCTTCATGAGACAAATTTCATGGCAGATTAAGGACAGCAGGAATCGCAAGAACTCACAAGTACCCGCGGATTCATGTGCTATCATGCGATAACAATTTGTCTTTAGCCACAAAGGTTAATGATATAAGCAGTAGATTGTGTTCTTCCAGAGGCGAAAATCTACTTCTAGACTTCTAGAATCAGCATCTTCTCATTCATGGTGTCATTGGGGTGAAATGCTGTCTTTAAACCTTTCACTTGTTTGTCTCCGCCCGGTTGCATGATGTGAAATAAACGGAGTGTTTTATTTTGAAAAGAAGCAGGATGTTTTATTTTGTGTCTGTGCTCGACTTCCTTTCCAGCACGGGTTAATCTGCGCTAACTTTATCCGGCATGCTCCAGACAAAATAGAAGTTTGGCGATCAGCTTTGGAGTTCGGCGAGCCACAACGGAACGAAAAGAAGCCGCTGAAAATTGTCACATTAACTTGAATGGCTACGATCGGCAGATACGGCCTTTTTGTAGCCGTTCCGGATGTGGTGGAAATTGGGGGTTACACTGATCCGTCCACTTCACAGATGAAACAAGAGGCACGTCTTTAAAATGAGTGCTTGACTTTCTAGTACAATAACTTCACATAGACGACCACAAGATGTCACTCACGTCCTACAACCAGCTTAGAGAGGTTTTAACAGCATTCCCAATCAATTACTGTAAATTTCGAGCTTTATCTTTTTTATCACAAGAACATCATTTCAAAAATGAGGAAGACTTTCAGTAAAAATACCAGCAAAGTGATTAGAACACCGAGCTACCGGAGCTCTCTGTGGTTAAAAGTCCTGTCCCGTGTTTAAACAAAGCAGTATTTCCTCGTGGAACAGGTTTTTCTTTGAACAGGTGAAGTTCTGATGTTTGTCACTGTGGTACATTTCCTCACATCAGAGCCAGCAGACAGGCTCAGGTATTTTAACCAAACGCCGTTATTACTTCCTGCAGTGCAACTTAAAAAAAAACAAAAAACACAAGAGGCTGAAAGTGAAGTCATCTGTGCTGACTGTGAGGTCGACCGCTGCACTGCACGTACATCGTCTTGAAACCTGAATCACTCACATGAACTTTTCATTATCTACATTTTTAATCACAGAAGTCTTTATTTGAAAATAGAGAAAATGATCACATGAACATCATCTCAAAGTGTGTTGAAGATCCAGATTATCTATATTAGTCAGTCCAGGATGTGAACTTTCTCTGTGCACTAAACATTCAGTGGTGGCTTTATATGACAAATAATAACGATAGACATCTGGAACACCAAGGCCAACCTTTTTCCTGTGCATGGTTCATTTTTTACGATAAATTCTGGGTTTATTTCCATGCCACAGAAAACATGAGAACAAGTTATTAATTTCTTCAAACCACTGATGAGGGATATGTTCTGGCAAGGCTGCTAACAGAAAGGAGAGTCTAGGCAAGGGGTGTGAAACTCCACCACAGCAGGGGCCATAATCTGGATTTAGGTCTAACCTGAGGGCCAAACAGGGTCAACATTTCACCAAAACTGTCAAACTGCTTTTAAAAAAAATATGTAACAAAAACAGCAGTGATTATAAATCATTTGGAAATTCAAAAAAAGATAAAAAAGATAAGTTTAAAGGCAATCTGAAATAGAAAAAAATATATTTTATTTTTATTTTTTATTTTATTTTTATTTATTAGTTCAAAAGATAAGAGCATGATATTAAAAATAGAAAAATAATGCTTTTAAAGAGCAAATACATGAGTCAAAATATGACTTACAATTTAAAATTGGAATCTAAAGTATAAAAAAAGTCTAAATACTGAGCTGAACAAAATCAAAGCATGAAATAAAAAATCCAATCATGTTTGACTTGTAATCTTGAAATTCAAAAGTAAAAACATGAAATAAAACACCAAATATTTTTTCCCTCACCTTCTTGACTATTTATCAAATCTTTCTTACTCTTTAATTTCCCAGATCTTCTTCACTTATTAAGAACATTTTAAATAATGGTGCTAAAGTTTACATTATTATAGTGGAGAAAATCTGCAGACTTCATACTAGTGAGCCAATAATAATACAAATATGATATAATCTTGTTGGACAGATATAATTGTTCCACAGGCCAGATTCGGCCCCCGGGCCGTGAGTTTGACACCTGTGGTCTAGGCAGTAAGTTCATTTTTATTACCTCTGCTCTGCCACACAATGACAGGGACGTAGGACTGTCCATCGTTTGATATCTTCTCTGACTTCTCTGAGAATTCTTGGCCTATATAAGTCAAATATTTTGTTGATCAGAGATTCCCGGGTATTTCATACTTTGTGGCTTCCAGATAAAGGGTGCAGAGGGTGTGTGTGTGTGTGTGTGTGTGTGTGTGTGTGTGTGTGTGTGTGTGTGTGTGTGTGTGTGTGTGGATTTTTTGTATCTGTCATTGTTTATCTTGTGTTTTTCCCGTCTGAGTAAAAATAATTCAAATGTATGTAAAAGAAGGCGGTAAATTTAGACTACACGCTGAATTGCAATGACATCTGGTCCTAATGATTCGTTATCTTTCTAGCTTCATATTCAGCCAAATCGTAGCAAAGACGGACTTGTTGCTGCAGCATTTTTGACCACAGTGATGTTCTACTTATGCGTGTTGATGCCGCTAGAGCAACAAAAAAAGAAATTATGCTGAGTCATACTTCGCCTTTAGCGTCACGGACACCCACGCCTTAAAGAATTTGGAAACCACAGGTGGCGGTGGCACTTTTAATTGCTTCCTTTGTAGCAGTAACCTTTTGCTCTTTCGGTTTGGATGTTACCAAAGATGGAGATCAAAAACCGGTTCCAGATCAGAACTTGTTCCAAATAGTTCGAAACCACAGACATCGTTCGCCTTTACGCTAAGCTGTTTCCTTATTGCTACCTTCCTTTTACTTCCTTGTGCCTCAAGAAATAATTACATGATACATCGTGAAAGAGAGTCGGCAAAATGTCGACAAAGGATCAATAATATCAGCCCTAAAAACACAGCTGATACTGACTACTGTAAAATCTACTTGTTTCGTGAGACAGGCAGCTAAATCGCTCTATCCTCAGAGACTGAAAACAAAAGTGAGCTGTGATGGTTTTTGTTCAGATTTCTCATGTTCACCGACTGTCCATCTTTGCCATAGTCTGTTAGCCAATCAGATTTTCAATCATCTGACCTATCAGAGGCTGCACGTCCTTGTCTCAGCAGAGCGGTGAAGGTAATAAAACCTGCTTAAGCCTAAAAACCTACCAGGCAGTATTTCAGTCACTTAAAGTGGAAAATCACGTTTATTAAACTGACCTTCAAGCTTGAGGTGTTGCAGAGCGCTCTCAGGCAGCGAGTGGAAGGAGTTCCCGGGGAAGTAGGCAGACGGGTAAAACACATGAGGCTTCCTCTGCTTCAGGATGTGCTGCAGCAGCTCATACAGGACATCCCCTGCAGAGATACAAAGGTCAGAGGTCAGCATGCGCACCCTGGTAGTATTTACAACTTCATAAAATGGGAAATCAGCTTTGGCGTCATCCACAGAATCATGTTCCTCTCCTCCTCCTCCACCTCCTTCTTCTTCTTCTTCTCCTTTTTGCTTTCCAGGCAGCAGGGAGCTTGAGCAAGACTGGAAAAGTCAGTGACGATCTCAGGAGCAGTGTCACGGCATACTGGATGTATTAGTACAAACGGGTAGTAGTAGTGGGCCAAAAGGTTTGTTTTTTAAGTATTTTTGGGCAGTTTTTGCCGTTATTGATAGGACAGTGTGGAAAGAGAAAGAAAGGACATGCAACACATGGTTGGGGTCGAAATCAAACCCATGGCCACTGCTGATGTCCTCATGCATGTGCCCACCAACTTGGCCATCCGCACATCCAGGGCAAGAAGTTTTTAACAGAGAAAAATTATGGATCAAATTTAACCCAGAATGTCACATTTCCTTTCAGTGATACAGTGTGTAGAAATGAGACTTTTATATCAGGCAGACAAATACCAAAAGATGTATGTCACAAGTTTGAAAGGAGGGTGTTAAAGGTAGAGATTTATGAACATTTTGTTCCATCTCAACCAAGTCTGTTCTGCTGACAGCAGCTAAAAACCACTTACTGTGCCTTTGAGGCAGATGTGAGATTTAAACATTCTTCTTTTACGACTCAAACCATCAACCTGTCCACTCTTAAATCACACACATACCTTACTTCTGGGGCTCTTCTGTCATGTTTTTATTTTTTTTTACTATTTTTTTTTCACAAATTTATTTATTTTTGTCGATTTTTTACATGCTTGTTATATTTTATTTTATTTTTTAATTTTTTTTCTTTTTTTCTTTTGTTGTTGTTGTTGATTAAAGCTCCTGTGAGGAAGTTTCAGTTTGTGTCAGTTTTGGAGGACAAAGCAGTCTTTGCCTGCCTTGTGATGTTTGACCTAAAAAATCTCATCCTGCTGATATTTTTGCGAATATTTTAGATGGAAAATTGCAAAAATAATAATAAAAAAAAAGGTTTTTCTTCAGCTGCTCAGCTAAAATCTACCTCCTCTTATCTTTTTCTTTAAAACTGCTAAAAAATCATCAATCTCATTGCTGATGGTCTTATTGGCTTGTTAATATCATGACATGACATTAATGTGAATTTTAGTCCATTTCTTTGACACAAAAAATTTCCTTACAGGAGCTTTAAATTCTGCTGTGGACTGTTGTCCTTAAATGTGTTTGTTTTGTTTCTTTCACGATTTATATCATTTTTTTATAAGTCATTTATTTTTATCTTTATTATTTGACCTTAGTGTATGTTTCTCTGAACATTGAAAAAATATATTTCTTAGCAATTTTGAAAGATTAATAAAGTCTTATACCAGTGAGGTCAAATTTCCTCTTTAGCTTGGACAGCATGCTCAATAAAATCTACATTCCTACAGTACACAGGGCATTGTTGGCTACTTAGCAGACAGCTTAAACTCCACACTGACTTGAGTAAATGGACCGTAGCTCCACACGACTCCGGTATTCTCCTTTAAGTGGAGATACTGTAGTGGTGACACCAGGCACAAAGCCGGAGCAGGAAGTTCACTGAATGATTAACAGCTGTTTGTTTCCCCCTGGACGTCGATAACCACGGCTCAACTTCCAGCATGAAGGAGAGTTTGTATTGTTAACATTTGACCCAGAGCTTCAGTGAGTTTGACTTTCACATTAAACATTTCATGGCGATAATCTGATAACTCTCGATTATGACAAAGAAATGATTCCAGTAAAGGAAGTAATATTGAGCACATGCTTACTCTTTCACTTCTCAGTTTCTGAGTTGTAAAATTCCTGCTCCCTACAAATAAAAGTTTTATATGTGGATTTAAAACACTTTTCTTAAACTTCAAACTCTCTCTAAAACTTCTCTAAAGTTACGCTCCATCATAATGAATCATTATCATTCCAAAGCCTAATTCTAGGGAACTTTGAGAAAACCTCTCACAGTCATTATTGCGTCATGAAACACCCCTTTGAGTTGTTTTTTTCACATGAAACATATGAAGGTCAACACATAGAGGTGCAATACAGCGTCACAGACTATTCAGCCGGTTACTGAAAATGATGTTTGGAAATCAAAGAGGGGTGTGTTTTGTTGTTGGACTGCAACCAAAATAAAATATGGCGCAAGGCAGGGACTGATAGGAAGTGATCCCCTGAATTCCCCCTCGACAAAAAAGGCGGATCACATGTGTAAGAATCTGCTCTGTTCCTTAAAATGATATCCTCACTACAAAACCAAACAATGTGATCAGGAACGTCACAGCTGCAGAGTTACAAGTTTAGGCAAGATTATCCCAGTGAGGGTCACATTAAAGGGCTCAGATTGTCTGATAAAACCTGCAGAGGATGAATCAGCATTTCCAGCTTTTTTATCCAGAAATTAAGTTCTCGACAGGATGTGAAAAGTCTTCGCAGAGCTGAGATGGAAACATCCAGAGACGAGTTTGACAACAGCTGTCAGCTGGGCTGTTTGTCTCTGTGGGTTTTTTCTCAAAATCAAATAAATTTCAAAGAGGGACATGAAGGGATATCTGATCGAAGGACGCACGCAAACAGAACAAATTTGATTTTCTCTCTCTGACGAATAAAACTTCTAAAAAAAAAAATACAGATTTGGGTTAAATCAGGACTGATCAGATGGGATTTAAGGTGAAAGTGTGAGAACAAACAGCAACCTCACAGCAGCTCCATCAGGTTAGATTTTATAATAGATGTCTTTTTTGACCACATTAAAGCTCCAGTGAGGAGTTTTTCAACATTAATGAAATATATAAAAATTCTTCTTGATGTTTTTTCTTATGTTATAAAAAAAAAGCACAAAAAAGACCCATCAGTGAGACAACTGATGAATTTTCATTTGTTGTTTTAGTGACCGCAAATGGTTCAGAAACACTCCTGTTGTTGCATCTTTTACAAGAAAGTAATAACCTCATGATAAATTTGACCATAAGCAAATCCTGCTTTCTCCACAGGGGGCGCCAAAAACAGCAAAAAAAAAACCAAATCCTCACAGGAGCTTTAAACTTTTATTTGCAAATAATTTAAAAAATGATTGAAATAAAAGAAAATTCAGAGTTACCATCAACAGTTTAGATGTTAGGAGAGTGTTTTAACATTTTAATTTAATTTACATGATTGTTTTGTAGTGATGGGCAGAGCAGTTCTTTTAGATGTACTGAATCACTAGAATCAGTTCACTAAGAAGATTCGTTCAAAAGATTCGTTCACCAAATCACAGAATCATTTAGTGCTTGGCAGGAGAAGCCTGTGACTCTGACCTCCTGAACTGATACACAGCTGAACGGTTCAGGATTCAGTTCAATTCATAGTTTCTAGGACCGGGTGACGAGTGTTTGGTTGTGTTACTTTGGCAAACAGGTTTGTAAAAATGAACTTGTTTATAAATCATGATGTTTAAAGTGCACTATCCTATGGTATGCCATTTATCACGTCTGCTGCAACATGCACCGTTCCCTCGCAATCCACTGCAGCAATAGGATGCTGTGGGTTTAATGCACTACTTATTACATGCTGTGTCCTGTTGTATGCAGGTTGTTGTGGTGGCAATGCAGCGGTAAAAAAAAAAGGTAGTTTTGTCCAAGAAAAATGATTCCAGAGAGTGAAGTTCAATGTGTGATTCGTTCACCAAGTGATTCAGGCATCGGTGCATGTGGTCCCTCGTTCGCCGGCTGCTGGCCTGGCAATGCTGTTTCTCACTTCAGCTCAACTGAAGTGAGAAACGAACGAATCACTCGGAAGTGATTCAGTTCAGTACGTTCACTTTAAAGACTCGGTTCTTTTGAACAAACCGTTAGCAAACGACACAGCACCACTGTTTTGTCAGCTGTCCACTTTCCTGACATCATTTTCGGATGCGTCTGAATAATCATGTTATTCCTTATTTGAAACATCTCATCATGAACCTCCTACACGTTTTGGACTGTAGAGGGTTTGACCTGAAGTCTCATCACTGATCACTCATCTCATCCCGCTCTAGTGACACCTAAACCGAACCACACCTCACTGACACGACCCTAAGTCCAAACCGCGTCAAATTGTGCCTCTAACTTATCGTCATGTTTCTCGCTGCTGGCGTTGCCGGGGCAACAGTTGAGGGTGGTTTGTACTTCCTGATGAACCGTCTCCTACTTCCTCCCACCGGCAGCCTCGCTGTGACAGCTGCCTCCCTCCTCTGTCGCCTGACACCGCCGTTCTCCCTCCTCTGCTCCAGCTGACTTTATTGATTTTTAAAGGCTGTCGTTTGGTGGCGAACACATTGATTTTAAAACGGCGTCGGCGCGTGTTTTTTTGTGTACTTGTAAATTATGAAGCAGTTCCAGACCACAAAGCAAAGAGGGAAGTGGCTCAAAAAAGTGTTACCCCTGATAAAATGTGGTTATGAGAAACCATCTTTCAATTTTAAGGTGTCCTCTTTGAAAAGTCTTTCGGTTTTACAAGTGACGTTTTAGTTTGCTTCAGTTTTTCAATTCTGGGCTCAATTTTGTCCAGCCTTCAAAAAAAGGTCTTCAGGAAATTCTTAAAAAGGTGGAAATAGAAAAGTACCAGAGTGCGGGGATCGGTAGCGGAAGTCCTCCTTGGTGAGCAGCAGCAGGGCTTTGCCGTTCATCTGGAAAGAGCTGCTGGTTATCGGCCGCAGGGCGAACTCCTTCTCAGCCCACCGCAGCCACTGAGCCACATCCTCCCTGCTCCAAAACACCGGCTGCAAACCTGGAGGATGGAAGAATTTGGGGAAGGGGGCGAGAGGAAGGAAAGGAAGTTACAATCACAGTTTCATTTTTAAATTAAAGCAACAAAGTGGAGGTGAAGGGGGGGAGAAGAGAAGAATGAGATCTGTGAAGAAGAAGTGGCAGACGGATGAGGGGTTGGGGGGGGCGAGGAAGGAAGAACGAAGGAAAGGCAGGAAGGAGGGTAGGTTGGAGGAGATGGGAGGAGGGGGGAGAGGAAGGAAGGAGGCAGAGGCAGCAAAAAGGATATTGAGGAAGTGGAGATAAAAGCCAAAAGGAGGGAGTGATTACGGGAACGGCAGCGGAGATAAAGAAAAAAGATGAAGGAGGAGACAGAGTCAGATGGGGAGAGGAGGTTAGAATAAAAGATTAAAAGATGGCGGGTTAAGGCGAAGAATACCGAATAAATCAAGGATAAAATAAAGAGAGAGACGCTCAGACGGTTATCTGATCTGATCTGCTCTGTTCCTCACTCTCTTGACTCCAGACGGACACATCAGAAGACAGACGGACAGTTTATTAGTTTGTAAGGAAACAGAAAAGGACACAGAGAGGGAGAGAGAGAGAGAGAGCAAAGGAAACAGAAATGACAGTATCTGTTTTTTTTTCCGCCTCCCTCGCACACTGAATGTTTTTTTTTCATTGCCGTGGGAACAGGAGTGTAAAACATCTGCACTGGTGAGCAACGAGCGTTTACAAGCAATCGAGAGAAGATTGTGTAAAGGGAGAAAAATCTGAAGGACTTTATTTACAAAGTGCCGCGTTTATCCTTCGAGTAAAACAACGGGTTATAACATTGTGGTTAAAACATTTTTTATACCCTTTTCAGCATGACTCAGTCTCACCTCCTTCTCTCTTTCTCTTGAAACATACACACAACACACACACACAACATCCACGACACCCACACGCAGCACAGCTATTCCTCTCTTACGTCTTACTTATCGCCTGCCCTCAAACACTTCCTCTGGGAGTCAGACAGCTGTTATCTTTGGCCGCCAATGTCACTGTCACACAAGTAATAGGAACCTTATGCTCGATTTCAGGCCTCCCCTCCCCGATCCGTCACACAGAGAGGAAGTTTTCAGAAAGAGCAATCAATATAAAATGAAACCCTGCCCGGCTTGTCAGATTCCCATTTCTTCCTTTCCCTCCTCGTCCTCAACATTCAGATACTGGCGCGAGCCGCGGCCGATAAGCCCAGGATGGCCTTGGTTATCTGACGCACAGCTCGCAGCCTGCCAAGTCCTGACCCTCAGTGTGTGGACAAGAATCCCGGGATATGAGATACAGGTGTTTCACACCCACAGGAGCTCACAGTGGGCAGATAAGGAGTTTTGTTTATCCTTTTTTTTCTGCTGTCAACTCTTTTTAAAGTATCAGTCAGTAAAATCATGGCGTGGCCTCGATACCTTTCACTTCTTTGAATTTCCCGATAACACTTGATGAAGACGATAATTTTTAACTCTATTTGTCTGATTCTGAAAGCAAAGAGCTTCTCGGTGTGACAGTCCAGATTAGGGCTGTCAAAATTGCTCCAAAATGACGTTTGAATATTCGTCCTAAAAATAACACAAAGGTTCGAACATATTTGAATATCTAGCTTACACAGCTTGTATGTAACTTTATCTTGCTCAGCATTTTTTCTGTCTACCATGTCTGCCCAAAATCCGAAGAATTTCCAAACGGAGCTTCTAAAGTTCGTTGGAGTCCAGACCCCTCTCTCTGAGTTTGACTCCAAACATCCCGCCATCTCTCTCTCCATGTGCCACCGACGGTTTTTGTCGAGTCTCACAGCAGGTGCAGCTCCTGTGATCTGCCCCTAACCCGTCAATACAGTGCGCTAAATCACAAGGCAGATGCTGTTTTTTTTCTTTCTTTCTCGTTGTTTATTTAATATTCAAACGTTGATTTTCACATTTGAATCTCTTTTTTTTTTTTTTATATTCGAATATATATTTAAATTTAGAATATTTGTTGACAGATAAAGTGGGACACACACCACAAGATGAGAGTGCAGAAAACCCAAGAGAATTTCGTGATCTGGTTCTGCTCGAGGTTTCTGCCTGTTTGAACGGTGTTTGTCTTTGTCAATATAATTTGCTAAATCCTGCAAAACAGTTCTCTCATTGTGGATGAAGACGAAAAAGGACTCAGTTTAACCCCCAATTTTCACTGCATCCGGAATGGCTTCGCTATGAAACAGCAGCGATTTTCGCCATCCGCCAATTCCTATTGAATGCATTTTTGAGGCGAATGTTGTGGTGGATTTCGGATAGCGGGAGTCGCGAAAACTCACAAGAACCCGCGAATTCACATGCAACCGCACAATAACGAGTTGTCTTTATAAAGACAGCCACATAAGACAGCCACAGCCTCCTTCCAGAGGAGGAAATCCACTTCTAGACTTCTAGAATGAGCGTCTCCTCATCCGTGGTGTCAGTGGGGTGAAATAAAATCTGAAAACCTTTCACTTGTTCGTCCCCGCACGTTTGCATGGTGTGAAATACGATCCACCTGTGGTGTTTTATTTTGAAAAGAAGCCGGATGTTTTATTTTGTGTCTGTGCTCGACTTCCTTTCCAGCGTAGACTAGTCTGTGCTGAATTTATGCGGCATGCTGTGGTGTCTGGAAAAAACAGAACTCTGGCGATCGGCTGCAGACATTAACTTGGATGGAAACGATCAGCTGCAATCGGCACATACGGCCTTTTAGCAGCCATTCTAGATGCAGTAGAAATTGGGGGTTAGCCTGTATGGAGGTGTGTGTCAGGTAGGGAACTGGGGAGACAGTGTGGGATGATACAGGATAAAGGGCTTCAAGTTTCAAGAACTACAGCCTCTGTATATGGTGCACACTTTAACCACTTGGCCAAACCGGTGTCCAACTTTTCGAATAGCGTCACCTTATTGGCCGAATGAATCAGCTGAAAGACAATGGTTAAATTGTTCGGTTTAAATAGGCAGAAAGCTGCAGCAGGACCTGACTCATTGCTGAACAACCATCTGCCAAGACCAAGTGGAATAAAAGAAGAGGCAGAAAGAGAGGATTTTATCGCCACAGAGACAGACGGGCTTCATTTTAACTGCACTACACCACAAGAATAGATGTCAGAATACTACCGACTGACTCCTCCATTGACTTTCTATCAATATTGAATCAAACTGCCATCTGCACAGCCTGCACCAGCTGTACATTTGTCTCTCGTGGCTGACTTGTGAGAGCCGCGAGGCCGAGGCGGGCAGCAGCGCAGTCCGGGTCACGGGGTCATGGCTGCGGTATGCTCTCTCCGGGGCCGGAGAGAGGCGCTGCTCTGCCAAAACCCCTCCGAGATCCGGTCTGCCGGCCACAGCCATCTGCACAGAGCCCAAAGGAGGAAGTTAGAAGGGGAGCAGAAGGGAGGAGGGGGGGAGGAGAAAGGAGGAGGAAGAGGAGGGGAGGGGGCCCAAACAAACGTGTCCCACAACGCACTTTGGCAGGAAGCAATCCAGCGTGGGCTCTGTTTCAGCACAGGAAACTTCCTGTGTTAAGGTTAGAGAGTGATGCCGGAGGATTATTAACAGTAAGAGCCAAGACAGACATGAGAAAAGGAAGAGTGGACAGAGAAAGGAAAGAGCGAGGAGAGGAAAGAAGGGAAAATCAGAAATAGCAGGAAGAAGAGGATCAAACAACGAGAGGAGAAAACAGGAAGAGAAACGAGTACGAAGACAGGACCTCAAAAATCACAAAGAAGGACATCAAGCTCTGCCCATCTCAGATTTCCTGCTCATAACTGATTCTTTGACTTCTTCAGAGAGTTTACAAAGTCCAGCCTGAACGCTTCATCTATTATGGGATGTAAAGTCACAAACTGGGACCCCAATATTAACCCGCTAATGATTATAATAACAGAGCTTCTTTTCATTCAGCATTTCATCTTCTAAATGTGACCTGTCAGCTCACCATAATTTCCCATATGATTTAAATAACTGATCAGTATATTTTCTAGGAAAAATACAAATATAAAGTAAATTATTCATGTTTGACAGATATCAGTTTATCAGTGGCTGATGCCGATACTGATAATAGAGCAGGTGGTTGATATATAATGCCGATATCACATTGCACATTGTTGTTGTTGTTTTCTAGGAAATACCTTTTTTTTTATCTGACACTTTCTTATTTCACTTTTTTTCTGATTTCAAAAGTCAGATCAAATTTACAAACTTCAATTTATTATTTTTAAACTTTTTTTTGTCCCTTTCTTGTGGAAATTATTCAGACTTACTTTCCAAGTATTAATGCTGCATTCACTGACTGATAAGTCTGATTTAAAGCTGGAAATCAAAGTCTTGCTACTTTTCTTACATCCCTCAGACTAGCGCTAAGCGATATGGCCTCAAATCAATATCACGATATATTGAGCAGTTCACCTCGATAACGATAAATGGATGATAACTACTCCACAAGCTGCTCACCCCCTCCCACATTAACTTCATCTACTTCAGCCGCTCCAACTTTTGAACCGTCCTCCATCTCCTCACCTGTCTTTCCCTCTTTGTAACAGACTGGATTGGGTGGAGTCACGTCTCTGACGTAGGACAGCGTCTTAAAGGGACATGAGACCATAGCCTACCTACACACATCCAAAATCAACTTTTATTTATTTATTTTTTTGATACCGAATATACTGATATGGGCAAGATGACGCCTGTTATGAACATAAATTTCGGTCTCTGCAAAGTTTCACTTTATCGCCCAGCCCTATATCAGACATTCAAATATTTAAGAAACAGGTGTTCATTTTCTGGACTCGTCAGAATCAAGTTAAAGCTCATCCTGAAATCTGAGTTGTTGACATTTGTCTTTTCTTAATCACTTCTTCTGAATCATGAGGTTTAACAGCAGTTCGTACCCTCTGATTATTTTACACCTCAGCCTTCAAACCCGAGTTTCCACGAGTCTCAAGGTTTTCAGATCAGATCTTGTATCACTTTGATCTTGACAGTAGCTGGATCCATGTGAGACCAATCTTTTGCATACGACCGCTCTGAACAGATCTGAACTCTTTCCTCAAGATTTGATAACAGATTTTTGAGCAGGTAGGAGAAGTCGGTCGTCTTTGTTCGTCCCTGCCTCTCTTGAATGCACCAGTCTTGGTAAGAGCCTGTTTGTGTGTGTTTTCTGAGTAGTATTTACATTGACTTAAACCCTCAAGAACGACAGCAGCAGGATCCCAAGCCCTTGACTAAACCGTGGGCTCCTAATCCTCTCTGATGACACATAATTTTCACTCTGTGGATTCTCAGGCCCCCGCTCCTGCTCAACAACACACACACACACTCACTGACACACAGTGCACAAGTTGCCAAGGCAACTCATAAGCGCTTGGGATGAATGAAGAGAAGAGGAGGATGAGATCACTGGTATCTAGTTTCGTTGTTGCGGTACAGAAGCCCTCAACTTCCCCTCGCAGCCAGACAAGTTAATGAGGTCCGTCCTGCTGGGAAGCTGAAAGGTCCTGTCCAGCATCACGGTTTCTCCCTGTCACGTCTCACTAACACTCGCAGCACTCTGGATGTAAACGTCTCTCTCTCTCACTCAACAGAAAACTAAAACAACCGCCCCTGAATATAATCACCCAGACTTTTAATATTCGGATAAATGTTCATGATAGGAAGGTTCGGCTAGAAACGGTGCACAGCCTCATAGAAAACCAGAATAGTTAAGATCTCAATTGCTTATTGTTCTTCGCATGAAAAGAAAGGTCTACTTGAGTTCATGAGCATTTCTTATTAATCCTTTCTTGAAGTTTTTCAAGAGGGTCCTATGTTGCAGAACATTTCCCTCCGTCAGGCAAACATGGAAGTATCTTGAGTCTGAACCTGGATGTTGTATCACAGTATCTTGATCTCCAGCAGTCTAAAATTACACAGACGCTACCTATGCCCATAAAAATCTCAGACAGCAGATTTCAGCTGAGCCTGACCCGCCTGAACTATAACTAAATAAACACAAAAAAAAAAAGAGGCATTGCTGCATCAGTAGGGATGGGACTTTGCTCTCCAAACTCAAAGCTCCTTAGTCACTCACTTCTTCAGTAAATGTTTGCCTTTCCTCTCAAAGCAGAAGTAGGCGGATATTGGACTTGCTATCTCAATAAAGAAAAGGTTTTTCTTTCTCCAGACAGAGGAGGAGGAGGAGGAAGAAGGAAGGAGGAAGGAGGAGGGGAAGGAGGAGGAGGAGGAGGAGGAGGGCTGGCCGTGACCTCCTGACACCCTGACTCAGGGACATGTGGGTATGAGAGCGACACACTTCCACGGCTAATCCTTGAAAACTCTTCCCTCCTTACACTTTGTGTGTGTCTGTGCATTGACTCCCTGTCAGGTGGGTGCGGCAGGGGAAAATCCACCTCCACATTTACACACTTTTACTTCTTTTCAGTCAAAAGCACCCCCCCCTCCTCCCCGCCCCCGCCTCCCTCTCATATTCATCCTCCGCTTCCTCCGCCGGCATGCATGTGCCTGTCCCCCGTCCAGCAAATCTGGACTCCATCCAGTCAAAACAAACATAAAACAGATCATCAATCACACCGAACTTTTATGGCCAGGAAGTAGCGCGACCTGTTTTTGATAGCTTGTTGTTGAGTGCGGGAGCAAGCCGGCTCTTGTAGGTTAGTTCCTGAATCCAGCGTCAACTGCCACTCTTCCTTTTGTTCGGGAGCCAATGTTTTTTTCCCCCTTTTTTCTCTGAAAATGCAGAAGCTTCAAAGACTTTTGTGCGTTCGAGACAAGCAGGGGCCTTTTGATTTAGTTAGCAAACCGCACACCCAATAAGTAAGATTTACCTTTTGTTTTCTTTCCGTTTGAGCAAAGTGGGGTCAGCGTTTCCTGTACTGTAACTCTTAAGTGGCCAAAGTTTGGAGAGTGATGCCTCATAATCTTTTCGTTTTCAGTGTTTACTCGTGAGGATTCATTCCTGGTTGTATCTATCTGCTACACAAAAGGACTCTAACATCAGGATGACTCTTATTTAAAGTTTCTGTGTGGAGTTTTTTCACATTTATGAAGTAGACTGAAACTTTTGTAAATGGTTTTTGATGATATCCAAAAAGCAAACTCAACCATCCGTGACAAGATCAACCATTTCATATGCTTATTTTTAATACGTTAAACTGGTGCAAGGGGGTAGGTGTCAGCAGAGCAGCTTGGGAGCAGTGCTACTCTATGATAGAGTTGACTGTCAAAAGTCAGCAAGAAGACTTTTTTTGTCAAAAGACTCAAACAGGATAAGCAAAGACTGTGTTGTCCACTGGGAACAAACTCAAAACTCCTCACAGGAGCTTTAAATAATCATCAATCTAGATGTAATTTAAATATGTGTATACAGGGTCTCTGCTGGTTTCAACAAGTAAAATTTAAGACCTTTTTAAGACCATTATAAATACAATTTAAGACCTATTTAACATCCAAAATGGCAAAAATGAAGAGCAAAAGATCTGAAATCAGAAGCTCTACTCTTCAAATCAATCTTTATTCCTATGGCACGTTATTTTTTCTATTTTGTGAGTAGAGTTAATACATTTTTAAGACCTTTCAAAATCATATTTAAGACATTTTATAAGATTTTAAGAGAATTTTAGACATTTTAAGGCCTTCAATTCAAATCATTAGAATTTAGATTTTTCAAGACTTTTTAAACCCCAGCAGGTACACTGATTTAGTTTCCTGATCCTTTTCCACAAGGGGAACTTTAAACTAGTGGTGTCCTAATACAACTTTTCTACTTCTGAAATGATACTTATTTTGTAGCCTTCAGTATCGGCCGATACTGATATTGATCCAATATTGGCACAAACTTTTGCATGACAAGTTTTGCACTCAGCTGCAATGTCTTTTCGGACTTGAGTGAAAAAATACTGCAACACAGCCGACATCACTCCTACTCCTTGCTACTTTGTTAGTACCTCAGTACACACTGTCGTTGTGATCATGTGGGATCTGCTTGCTGGATCCAGGCGCTGCTAGCTAGAGGTGCTGGAGTGGAGTCTGGAATGGACTGTTTGTATCAGAGTACTGATATCGGAGATTTTTGATGCAGGCTGACATAATCTGATGTGTGTTTTTTGGCTAATATTGGACCGATATCCGATATCAATGTCCTATCGGGACAGCCCTACTTTGGAAATAAAGGCTGCCATGCAACTCTGTCATATTCTCATTTTGACACAAGTTTTAGAAAGACCTGGTTTTGACTACTTTGTAAAGCTTTGTCCAAAGTACATAAAAATAAAATTCAATATCCTTCAATCTCCTGAACTGATGGTTCAGAATCTTCAAAAATATCACAGAAAATTACCTCAAAAAAGTGAGGAAATGCACTTTATCCTGATCCCTATCTACACAACACTCTATCTGTGGAGTCATCTAGCTGAGTAAAAAGCAAAAACAGATTGAGAAGACTAGAAAAAGTCACCAAAATTACTTGGATTGCGGGCACTTAGCTTCGGAAACAAAACAAAAAACAAGTTGTAGCTTTGACAAAAGCAAAAAAAAGAGAAAGAAAACAGAAGAAAAAACACTTTTGAGTTGTTTTGCTTATCTTCTTGAGCTCAGATGTGCCATTTTGCTGGATTTCTTGTTAAAACTGTGCCCACCTGATTTGAGTTTTCACTTTCAGGTTTTCAGAATCCAAACCACCTCCTTTAATTCTCCACAGTTGCTCCTTTTCCATACCAACACATGTAGTAACATGCTGCACATGACCACTTTTCCAAAGAATAAAACAATCAGATAATTATTCTGAAAATGACTCATACGGCTAGATCAGGTTTAATAGTTGGCTCTGTGGGGCTGATCTATTTGATCTAGCTCTACGATGTTTTCTGTTTTCTGCAGTTAAAGTAAGAAAACCCTGATGTTGCCTTTTACATAAATGATTTTCAGCACGGAGATCTGTATAAGGAAAAAGTCAGATATGTACCTTCCTAATTCTGGCATGCAGGTTATATTTGTAAGAGTAAACATGTTCAGCAGAGGCTTTGGATCCGAATCATCATCACCAGTGCATGAGAGGGTCTTAACTACGCAGAGAGGGACACACCAGGACTCATTAGACCTAATCATCATAAATGTGGGTGTTTGGGTAGAAATGAGGACTTTTGGAAACATGCAGTCATCAAAAATGACCAAAAGTAGAAGTACTCTACACCCGTGTTTAGGTTTTGTTTCAGACTCAGCATGTCTCCAAATCAAGCCTTTGTTTACCAAGAGGATGAGGATTAATGCTTTTATGACTCTCCTAGTTAAACATGCCATAAGTCAGTAAAATGAGCGTGAATTCATTGTGATGTTTAGAGGAAAGCGTCCCCCCCCCGTCTCGAGTTAGAAACACCATGTGGAGTGTGTCGCGAACAGGAAGAGAAGGGGGCTGCGCTCAGCTCACTCACTGGCATGTGAGAACAGTTTCCCTTTCAGAAGAGAAAAGAGAGCCAGTTAAAACACACACACACATACACACGCACTCACACACACACACACACACGCACACACACAACAAAACAACAACATTTATTCAGGAAGCGCCGTCTGCCCACTCAGGAAATTCCTGAGGACAAGAGCTGCTTCCAGGGGCAGGAAATTTCCCCTCAGAAAGACCAAACACACACACACACCGTGCAATAACACACACACACATACCTTCTGACAACCCCCCCCATACACACACACACACAAAGAGAAGCTGTGGTGAGAGGGGCTGCAGTCATATACTGTACACACACACCTACAATACCTCTGGCAAGCTCTGCACAAAGACACAAGATTCACTCACACTCATCCACCCACTCATACAAGCATGCAAACCCAGCTGTGAGCGCACACACACACAAACACACACCGAGGAAACCAGCCAGTCTTGTTTCCATGGACATCATTTTTTTTTTTTTTAATCATCCTCTAGGATATTTCTACTCTCGCACCCACTGTTCTTTGTATTTCCTGTCTGTTTACCGTGAAATAACACTCGTCTTTCTCTTTTTTGGCCTTTGAATAATTCAGTGTTTTGGTCTTACTGACTCGCTCTCCGTTGCGTCATGCTTAGCGTACGTGGGCTTCATGTCGAGCGACCGTTGCTTTGATTGTGACCGAAATAAAACCCGACAAATCCAGTTCATCGGTTCAGCGTCAGCGGGACTTTTAGTGAGTGTGAGAAACAAAACAACAAATGAAACATCGTGGTCGTGTGACTGAAGTCATTTAGTAGCTTTTTAAATACTGCGCCTTTGTCTCCTCAGACTCATTTCTTGTCTTTTTACAATGTTGTGTACATATACAGGAACAGAAGTACGACATCCTTCAATGGTTTTTCAATTTAAACAAAGAGTTTGATCATCAGTGATCACTACTTTCTCCTACACAGTCACTGAGTGACGTCCGGATCCAAGAAATATCAGTAAGCGGATAGAGGACATTAGCAGGTGGACAAATACGTATGAAATAGCCAGATGTTTTTGATGGAGAGATCCAGCATGTGCACCAGAGAGAAATCAAGCACACGTCACTTTATGATGCTTACGGCTGCAATATCTGCGGTCCATCAAATTTCAAAATGGAGACTCTGCATTTTTTCATAGGGCGACCCCGTTAACTGGTGATTTTGAGGCGGATGCATCTCCTGCAAAAGCCTCTCGTCTTTCATGGAAGACGCATCTGGTTAGTATGTTATGATATTGAAAAATACTACACAAGGAAGCATATGTGAGGACTCTTTCTGTGTTGCAAAAACTGTTATGAACACGACAAGCACTGACGCATGGTTGGTTTGAAAATGAGTTTTTCTTCAGCTGCTCCACTGGTACCCACCCTCCTGGACAAAATTCTAGTATACATGGTTTTGGTTTTTTCATGACATGCACCAGGAATCAACAGTAAAACAGTGAGAGATGCATGGATGCAGAAAGCCTACCAACCCTACTAAACTTACTGCAGATGAGTCACAAAACTAACACTAGACCCCCCACTAAATCAGCCTGTTACAAGGATATGTTTTTGTTTTTTCAACATTTCAGTCTTGACTCATCGTTGTTATAATCAATAACATATTTTCAGCTCTTTCCCAGTCTTTGTAATTGAAGTTACTGGGAAACATTTACTGGTAATTCATATTTTTTTTTACCTATTACTTCCATCACTGTTCTTTTGAATTACACACTGCTGAATGACAAAAGTGAGGGTCTCTGCAATTATGGGTCTTAATCATTAACTTTGAGGTTTTTAAAACACTCGAACATATTGATCCAGCAACACATTCTGGGACTTTTTAGGGCTGGGCGATATGGCCTTAAATCAATATCATGATATATTGAGCAGTTCACCTCGATAACTACTCAACAAGCTGCTCACCCCCTCCCACATTAACTTCATCTACTTCAGCTGCTACAACTTTTGAACCGTCCTCCATCTCCTCACCTGTCTTTCCCTCTTTGTTACGGACTAGATGGGGTGGAGTCATGTCTCTGACGTAGGACAGCATCTTAAAAGGGACATGAGACCATAGCCTACCTACACACATCCAAAACCAACTTTTATTTATTGATTTTTTTGACACCGATTATATTGACATGGGCACAATGACAGTGGTTATTCTCGTAAATTTTGGTATCTGTAAATTTTGGGTCCATCGCCCAGCCCTACCCACCAAACATTGGACGTCGAAGAGACGTGCAGGTCAAGTCAGTATTGGGTCGGTCCGTAGAAGACCACATCTTACACAAATAGGTTAGAAATTTTGACGTCTAAATTGGACCTCTTTTAGACGTCACTCTGACGTTTAGAATTTGGACGTCATCTGAAGACCAAATCTAGACGTCGGCACAATGTGCAAAATGGATCCAAGATTTAGATGTCATTATTGGACCTCTTTTAGACATTGAAATGACGTCCACATTTGCACCTTATCGTGGAAAAAACACCTTAAATAGACGTCATTTCGACGTCGCATTGCGCAGTGGGAACTTTCTGGGAGTCCCTGAGCTCCATCATGCTGTAGGTTCCTCTGGATCGCTGCTGCAGATGTTTCGCTGCCTTTGTCACTTTTTTTCCAGCTGCTTCAACTACATGCATCAACCTCACCTCTGTCCATCTCTCTCTCTTTCTGCAGCTCCTTCTATCCCCTCTCTAAACCCAGTGCAGTCTCAGCAGATGACTGTCTAACATGAGTCTGGTTCTGATTGATTGACTGATTGATTGATTTCTCATTTAACTTCACTCTACACACTGTATACTCTATAAACTGAATTTGCCCTACTTTGTACAGTCTGCACTTTTCATCTTGACATCCTATATTGATTCGTACAAACTTGCATAGGTCCTTAATTGTCTTCGGTTTATTTACTCTCTGTAAATAAATGCAAAAAACCACGTGAGAAATGAGCCATAAAAAACCTGCAGCGATTGAAAAACACCACAAGGATGATAAGAAGGAACAAACAAAGAAAGTAAGAGCAGAAGATTTGAGGGGAATAAAAGGAGAGTCTGTTTCTGAGTAACTTCAAAAGATGAGGTTTTGTGCGGTGTCTGGTAAAGAGGGTTAAAAGCGAGCCTGGTAGCATTCTTTAGAGTGAGGAGCAGGCTGCAACTCTCCCCGATCTAATCCACTTCCTCCTCAGGAAATGGAGAAGGCGGATTTCTGCCCACACTGCAATTTCCTCCCTCATTCTTTTTCTTTCTGTCTTTTTTCCCCTCCCCTCCTCCCTCTCCTCCTCCTCCTCCTCCCTTCCCCCTTTCCCGCCCCTCCTCCTCCTCCTCCTCCTCCTGCTCTCTTCCTTCCCTCTCCCCCCTCAGGACAGAACTCCCTCTGAGTGTGGGGGTTAATGGACGGCTTGTTTTCCAGCACGTGTGTTTATATAGGCAGAGGAGAAAGGACGAGTGGAGGTGTTTAGATTGCATGTGACAAAGACATGTAGCTGTCTGTCAGGAGAGAGGACTCCACGAAGTGAACACTTGAGAGGAAAGAGAGAGAGACATTTTCCTGACCTGCAGATGTGTGACACTCCCGTCTGTGTGAGGAACTGTGTTTGAAATCTGATTAAAACAAAAAGAGGACTTCCACATCTCTGCGGACGTGAACTGACCCATCAGTTAGCGCGACAGGAAACTGAACGCGGACCTGTTGAGCGTTCTTCCTTTTTCTGCAACAATGCAAAAGAGGAAGTGGGTTGAGGGAGTTTCCTGTGTCTCACCCAGCCTCATGGCCTGTGCAGCCACCCGGCCTAGCGCCCACACAAAAGCCCTGAACTTCACACTTGCAAGAAAAATAAATAAACGGGTTAAATATTGACGGGCATACGGACAAAGCAGCTCAGGATTACTCTTTGAACGTAGAGCATATCTTTTGGCACCGCTCCAGCCCCACCTGTTTTATGATTGGTTCAGCAATACTGAGCCAAAGCCCCGAAGGCTTGTGAATGTCACAGTGTTGCTTCATTTCATTTCCTCACACCTATATCCTCTTCTGCCTCACCTGCAGACTTTTCGCTTCTCACTTTGCTTTCTCTCCCGGGTCAACGTACACCTGACATTCCAGGTAGTCTAATCCAGAGCCTATGGTTGGTTTTCCTGGGTCTGCATTAAAAAAATAGTGCACAAGTTGTCGCTGTCGTACCCCTGGTTCATGTTGGATTTGATTTGAGTAGCCAATAAACGGAAACAGTTCTTCTACCAGTTAGCTTGTGTTAGGGCTGGGCGATATAGGAAAAAGTTTATCACAATATGTTTTTTCCTATCAGTCAATATCGATATATATCAGGGTATAAAAAATAAAATTTAACAATGCTTATTGTCGCATATCTTTTGCAATACAATAAGCTACTGCATCTGTTTCTCTTTGATGTTTTGTCGTAAGGCATTGCGTTAGAGACATGGCACAATGCCTGTTAGAAAGCTCATGTTGTTCAGGTGTTTTTAAGTAAATACCGTTCAGTTATATTGTGTTTTACGTTGAGTTTTCATATGCTTGCATATGAATGCACCATAGGCGTTCCGATGCGATTGAACGCGGCGCATCTGTGTGTGAGATGAATCAGAATGTCCTTTATTATCATCATACTAAAATTACAACCGGATTAGAGAGCTTCTCCTTTTCCAGTGCAATAGACAAGTAAAAATAAGGTAGTAAAAGTACAAATAGTCATAAGAAAGAAGGTACTTTATATACAAGACAAGAATTCTACAGAACAGTCAAATAAAATGTATGTATAAGAATAAAATAGAAAGATAAAGACGAAAAAAGAAATATCAAATATAAATATAGATACGTATTTCTACGTATACCGCAGCATTTTCTTTGATTCGCCTTCAGTGAGTATGTTTTTTTGTGAACACAAAACACTTGTTCTTACATTTAGGTTTACCTTTTCTGTCTATCCTTGAGGTCTAAAAGTCACACAAAATGCGTTTCCCTCACCAACCTGAAGATGAGATTCTCCCATTGCTTTCTCGCTTTATGCGTACAACAAATAAAACTTTGTCTCTCTTTAGCAAACAATGTTCCAACTTCTAAAACACCCCGTGGGAAATGAAGAGTTAGGGATACAACAGAACACTTGACTCGTGTTAGAATAGAGTTCTGCTGTGGCTGTTTAAAAAAAAAAAACAGTGTATTCTCAAGCTTTGGAAAAGAGTTGGTGTGTTTTAATTTTGCTTTTTTTTACAGCCTTATGTCAAAGTTACTTTTTTTTTTGCCATTTTATGCTTTTATTTCATATTTGGCCCCTTTTACAGCTTTATGCCAAAGTGACCCTTTTACCTATTTTATTATAAACATGGCTTTATTTTGAAGGAACACAAGAAGCACTTCTGCTATATGTAATTGTGCTGTTATTTACTGCCTTGTGCTTTGGCAACTTTATTTTTCATTTTTTCAACAAATATACTTTTGTGTTGAAAGGATAGAAGGCGCCTCTGATCAATCAAAATATTGCCAATTTTACTGATTTTAAACATGCTTTTATTTTGAAAGGACAACAGACGCCTCTGCCTTATGCTTAGGTTATTTTATTTTTCATTTTAATTAGAAAGGACAGAGGACACGTCTGCCAGATTATAACATCGCCATTTTCACTGCCTCATGCCTTGGCTTCTTTATTTTTAGTTTTGTTAATTGAGATGCTTTTATTTTGATAGAGGACAAAAGGGCCCTTTAAGCACCCTTGAAGGAACAAACGTTTCTATGGTTTGTCTTCTGCTCCATCGCTCTATTGAAGAAGGTTTGGTAACATGACGTGATCTACAAATCCAAAACCAAAGCACACATCCACTCCCTGTTTTGGTGTCAATATCTCATTCGTCTTGCGGATGATTTTTTGTAGCACATCTGTTTCTATTATGTTAAAGCTGTTTGTTATGCATAATTAGCCATGATGGAGGGTGTGGGTAATCTGACTGACAGGGAGGTGTGTAGGTGTGTGCCAGACGGCAAAGGCTCGTGGCCTCAGCTCCACCTCTTTGCTGGTTTAATTAAACGGAAGTTAGCGTTTTTATTATGGTGACCGTCATCTCTGGGCTTCATAACCGCAGCCACCAAAGTGCATCAGCACTAAGAGCAGGAATGCAGCAACACTGCACTTTCTTTCTACGGTAAAAAGTAAGAGTTTCTTGATCTTGGAGCTCTGTCAATGACACATTTGATGACGGACGACAAACCCCACTCCTAATCCAATTTACAACGTCCTGACCGCCTCAGTTTCCCCTCAGTGGGAGAGTGGCAATCACTGGGAAACCAACCTTTCAAATCAATAACAAAATCTTTGATGTCGGAAGCAATTCGGACCTAATTTTATCCCATTCAATTATTCCTGATGCAGTGAGAAGCCGGGACTGAATCATCTTGCCGTTGTGTGCGTCAAGACCACCTCTTAATAGAAGAAATGAAAAGAAAGCGTCTTGTGTATCGAAACGGGCTCAACGCAAACATGATCCTTGAGACAAATTAATCAGCTAATCCTGTTAGTTTCGGTTCTCAAAGTTGTGAGCAATAAGTTTTGTTTCCCTGCGTCTCATTTTGCCCCCCGTGTGTCCACCAAACTCCACATTATCTGTACCTGCCTCCAGACTAACTCTTGGTTATTCCAGTGCAGTAGCTCTGTCAGTTCTGGTCCAGTGGAAGCGTGTACGGTTCAGGTGTCTGACCCCAGATCTGCCTCAACGCCTCCCAGCTGAGAGGTCTATTGTGAGAGGGACCGGCACTCATGCAGCAATAATGTGGTGGGTGTTGTCATAATTGGATGTGAAGGATGTTAACTATTAAAGCATCGTTTTTATTTATGCATGACACTGATTATGATAATGGCACCTGCAGGAGCTCAAACTGGGTCTAAAGGGGGATATCAGAGTCCCGCCCAAAGCGTTTGATTGACAGCAGATCTCAGTTCAAATCCAACTTCGAAGATAATCAAATGGAAAAGACAGATATTGAATAACCTGGCAAAAATGAGCCTGTTAAACTGACCAGCTGATCAGTGTGTCAGAGTCGCTGCTCATCTGGGTGTGTGTGTGTGAGTGTGTTAGAGTGTGTGTGACTCACGCAGGTGCGCAGGCAGCCTGGCAGGCTCGTCCTTCATTCGGCTGGCTGGCCTCGCGGCGGGAGCATGGACGGGGGAGGAAGTGGAGTTTGGCAGCGGGTTCGCGGAAGGACTGAAAAAACTCCTCTCCTGCTATGAATAGACACAGAGACACAAAGCATGGCTCACAAAGCTCCACGATGCACCGGCCCTGAACCCAAACAGCCCCACGCCAACTCCTCTCACCTCAACATGCACTCACAGCAGCAGCGAGGCTCGGCTTCATCTTTGTACACAGGGGAGTATGTGCTTCTAATAAACAGGCCTGACATGCCGGGAAGACACATTCTGGAGATGCAAATATCCCGAATGCCGCACATGCTTCACATCGGCACATTGTTGTTTCGCAGTGCAGTAACCTCATAACTAACCAAGGCTATGTTTGCAAAGGTGGCTTTCACAGTGTTGTCATGATGAATTAGCGGCGCAGAAACATCACAGTGTAACCCATTTCCAATCATTCCCTCTGGAAAAATATGCCGCATTAGTCACGCGTTCGATTTGATGTCTTTAAATGGTAGGAACAACGGTTCAGGAGGAATAATGGAAAATTGACAAGAATGACTGAAAACAGATTCGGTTACGCTTGAACCTGCAAATTAAGACATTTCCGCTGAGTGAATGAGACATCTCGTTAAGTATTGGTAATGAACTAATCAAATTTTTCATAATGGTTTGCATGAATGCCTCACTCTCAGCACAAAAATAGTCAATCAAAACTTTCCTGAGTCGTGAATTTTAAGCAAGGTCTAAAATATCACTACAGATCACATCATTCTGCTGTTAAAAACGACACATCTTGCATTCACGTTGTTTTGTTTCCTGCATTGGAAAATATGCTTTTCTGCACTAGATCATAGGTGCAAGAACTGGATGCAAAGTTAGAAAGAAAATAATTACCTAATGAGACAAAAGCTCTAACATCAGCTTTCAGGGTGTCTTATCATCTCTCTGTGTGCTGCTACAGCTAGCTTACTATCAGCTTCTTCTTCATCTCACCTAGGTTTGAAGACATGGCGGCCGCTGTAAAGGACCACCATGAACATGAACTCAAGGTACTACCCTAAGCTTAATTTATGCACAAACTCAGCATTGTCTTTTTAAAAAGATATCATCAAAACCTGTCAAATGGGACAATCCTTTCATTTCCAATACCAAACTCTACTCTAAAGCGGGGTACACACATAAAGATGATCGGGCTGTTTTTGTCCCGATTTTTCCCCCTCCCGACCAAGGACGACAATCAGAAGATTATCTTATGCCTTCCAAGATTATCCAACAAGATAATCCTGTGGTCTGAGGTGTATTAAGAGTGAATTTGTTCCAATGATTGGATCCGAAACGGGTCGGGGCCGACTATCGTAAATATTAAACTTGTTCAATATTACGACCAAAAATCTTCACGTGTGTGGGGAAAGCCGACGACTCCTGAGTCATGACTCCGTGAAACAGAATGTAGCCAATCAAGAAGCGAGCTGACTGAGGAACAAGGAACCAAATAACGTGAATAAAAATAAAGCATGGCGTACAGGAGTAAGGGATTTTTCTGTCAAAAATACTCCCAAAACCACCATCATTCCCTCCTCTTGTGTGTCGTCTTCCATGTTGCGTCTTGTGTTCCCGGTTGTTGATATGTTTCTTCGTTTCTGTTAGATCACGTTTTATCTCGCGAGATTTCTGTGGTGGAACAGAATCGTTTTGTGTGTGGTGTGCTGTGTTGAGATTATCGGAGCACACCACACTGAGTACGATCAAAACTGTTCAATGCCTGATTTTTGATCTTCATGTGTGGGGTCTATAACAGATAAAAAGTCTCTTTAGATTTAAAAAATCCTCATGTGTGCACCCCGCTTTAACATGTAAATGCAGTCACATTAACTGGGGATGACTGAATATCGATGAGTAATTAAAGTCACCTCAGAATAACTCTCCTGCTGTTTCGGTATGCAGTCAGACCAAGCACAAGAAAGACTAAACATTTCCTGGTTTCGACCTGTCATGAAAATTTCTGTTCTTTCCAACATGAATCTGATTGACAATATGTATATCTATTGTGCTAGTCCAAACTATTGACTCGTTTTGAAAAGTTTCATCATGAAAACTGTTTAAGATGATGTCTCCTCAATACTGAGATCTAGGACTCTCTGCTACTGTACAGCACGAGTACCAAGTTTAGACTAAGGTATGAGGTTTTCCAGTTTGCGGCCGTGCTCTGTTGACTGGTTTCCTTTCCTGTAAATGCTTCAGTTTCTTGAGGAAATGAAGCTTCATTTTAGCTGTTTCTCCCCCTAGTTTCACCACCCAGCCTCTATGAGACCTGCACGCCAACTGTATGCACCAGGAATTTCCTGTGGAAGCCGAGCAATAATCTCTGAGTCTTTTATTTCCTCCTCTAAGGTTCGGCGGCCTCTCTTTACGTCTGCTAAAAAAAAGGGTCAGGTAAGTTCTAATACATCTGGGGCTACACGGACCAGCTTGTGATACGGATGCTGCAAGAGAGCGCAGGGGGATTTGAGACAGGAGTGGGCTGCAGTCCCGTCCACTGACAGCTGTGGTGGGAAACTTCTTATGGTGAAGGGCGGCCCGTTCTGCTGCATGCAACTGCAATCGTGCGGTGACATCAGACTCAGTAATGACTACACATCTCTCACAAACAAAACACCATATTTCACCTCTGCCTCTGAACAGACGGGATGATTTTCAGTTATTTCAGGCCAATCTTCACTTCTGAAATAATTTTTCTTTGATGTTTGCACTTGGGTCCGACTACCCGCAATAAACGCCTGTTTGTTTCCATATAAGATTTTAAAATTCATACAAGCAAGTGCTCAAAACAACCTCAAAGAGGAGTCCTAAAACAACACCTCAAAATTGGCTTTCCGTAGACTATAAAGAGTGAGTTATGTTGAATTTCTGCACAACTATCTGGTTAGTCTCATCTCGTGGTCGTCAGAGTGAGATGTACTGATCAGGTTTGTCTTTAATCATCTATTAGGAACTTAAATTCTCTGTCTATTTTTGTTTCGTTTAAAATGAATAACCAAATGTTTTTTAAAAAGTTAGCAAGAGGCTACAGGATAGGACTTTTACAGCTCTGTGCCGTTTGTAAAGAAAGTTGTTTACGTCCTTTCTTTTACTGTCCAAGTTTTGTTTACTACTTGCTTCCTGGCAACCCATCCATGCTTCTTAACCACCACCGCTGACCCCGTTGTACTACCCCCGGAAGCATACGGAGAACACTAAGACCAGTTTCTCTCTGATCAAGAGAAAATTAATCTCAAACCGCATTATCCAGGTACATTATCCCGACTATCAGAAGTATGATTTCATTATTGCAATAAAATGATTTCTTTAAGTGTTTGTAAATGTCCTCACTGTCCACATGCCTGTACTTGTCGTGCCTTGAAGGCTGCGCGGTTTTAACCTGAAACAGCCTACATACAACTTTATCTCTGATACTGCCAAACTCTGCCGTACCACGAGATGTCATCAGTCATATGTGAGTGTTTGAATTGGCGAAGTGACCACAAGTACAGCACCAACTAGTAACAAGCAGCTACTTGGACACAGGGTGAGTGGTTACCCACTTCTTGATGTCTGTTTGCTGCTATGGTGATGTTTTCCACAACATATTTATGCTTAACCCAAAATTAATCAAAAAACATTTTCACTACAACATCACTTCACCTGACAGAAGGGAAAACTTAATAAATAATGAGACTGAAGGCAATTATATCAAAGCTAAATTGTTGCCCCTTGTCATTACAATTAACTTGGACTTTTGCATCTCTTTGTCTTGCGAGAAAAAACAAAATTGTGATTTATTCAGCAGCCCTAATACCTGTGGTGATATATCCTCATGAAGCACACAGACTGTATCGACTTTTTATATATAAGAATAGTTTTTGATTAAGTGTTTAATTCAGGTAACAAAGTGTATCATCAAATATTGCCTGAAAACTTAAAGAGGTACTGCTGAGACGAACAGCTCTCTTGGTCGACCGATTCTTACTTGATTAACCGACCAGTGGGTTGGTCTTTAAAGTCAAAAGCAAATACAAAAGACGCCACTATCTGCATAAGATTTTTTGACTAAAATAAAAAAAAGTGTCATCTAAGTTAAGCTGACTTTAGCAAAGAACAATCTTTTCTGAGCATGATTTATTTTCTTTATTAATCCTGCAATAATGTATAACTATAGTTGGATGTGCACAGTTAGACTGGTTATATCTCATATGATTTATCGGCCAATTCAACAGTGAATTTAACAGCTCCAGTTGCTCTTTACCTTTTCTGCGGTGTTGTGACTGAAGGAGAATCCTCTTAAATGTTTTATTTATCAACGTTTCTTGAAGTACTCACATTTATTACAGTGTTTATGTGCAGGATACAACAGGTTCGCCCACCGGCTTTTACACTTTTTTAAGGGTGGGTGTGTTTTAAGGGTCTTTGTCTTGCGAGAAAAAACAAAATTGTGATTTATTCAGCAGCCCTTTTACCTGCGGTGATATGTCCTCATGAAGCACATCAACTGTGTAGACTTATTTTATATATGAATAGTTTTTTATTTAATGTTCAATTAAAGTACTAAAGTGTTTCATCAAATATTGCCTGAAAACTTAATGAGGTACTGCTGAGACGAACAGCTGTCTTGGTCGATCGATTCTTACTCGGTTAATCGACCAGTGCGTTGGTTTTTAGAGTCAAAACGCCACTATCTGCAATAAATTATGACTAAAATAAAAGTGTCATCTAATTTAAGCACGATTTTTTCCCTTATTATTCCTTCAATGATATATGACTTTAGTTGGATGTGAACAGTTTGACTGGTTATATTTTATATGGTTTATCGGTCAACCGCTCTAGCTGCTCTTTACCTTTCATCTGAAGGAGACCCCTCTTAAATGTTTTTATATCGACATTCCTTTAAGTACTCACGTTTATGACAGTGTTTATGTGCACGGTACAACAGGTTCGCCCACCGGCATTTTCACTTTTTTAAGGGTGGGTGGTAAATCAAACGTTTTGCGTGTCACAGACAGTCACGACTTCTTCCCATCAGCGGCGGCGGCAGCAGCAGTGAAGTGGAGGCGAACTATTAAGCGTGGAGCCCGCGAGCAACAGATGACTAGCAAAACAAACTGAATGGCGCTCGAGCCCGTCGTGCTCGTGAGCTTCCCATGTCTGCGCGAGCGGAGAGGAATATCACAGTAAACACAGAGAGAGAAAGAGAGAGAGAAAGTAGAGGTAAACAAAAGAGCAGAAAACGAGCAGGCTGTGTTACCTTGTACGCAGCGGAGGAGGAGGATTCAGACATTATCTCCCGTCAACTTCTTCTCTCCTTGTCCTTCCACTTTTCCGCTGTCCTTCTTCTCTTCTTCTTCTTCTTCTTTATCTGCTTTTTTTCCCTCCCTATAGAAACCCACGCAGCAGCGGCAGAAGCGGCAGCCCGACTGCTCGGCTTGTTGTTGGAGAAGTTCTCTTTCTCATGTAGCCGTGTTGTTGTTGTTGTTGTTGCTTTGTCTTAATTTATCTGCTGGTCGGGCTCATAGCGCGGAGTGAAAACTTCTTTTGTCTGCGTGTGTTTTCCCTTCAGATGTCGGCAGCGTGCTGGTTAATAATCCCTTCCTGGAAGAGAGAGGCCGTCTCTCTCTCTCGCTCTCTCTCTCTCTCTCATTGATCTGGATGTGTGTAAAACGGCGAAATGACGTGAATTCCCAGCATTGAGCCTTGCCCCCTTTTAAAGGGAAACCCGTAGCAGGAAATCGCAGCAGGTCGAGAGGCAGAGATACAGCTGCAGGCTGATAGACACACACACACACACAGAAAGACAAGACAGACTTTCTTTTCTTTTGCAGCCATAATTTTTTAATCAAAGCTTAATGCAAATGCGGTTACACAACAGGCTTAAGCGCCATGATTTAATTACGAGAGGAAAAGAGGAGGCTACTGTAACACATCAGAAGGGTTTTAAAGCTGAAGACAATCTTTGATACAGATTGTGGTTGAAATTACTGCAGCAAAGTTAATTTATAATATGATCCAGAGCCTAAATGGGGCCCTAAGCTAAATTTGATTTTGGGGGCACTCTATTTCTGCCAGTAACATTGATTGTTGATCATTCACAGACCTTCACATATCTCTTTGATTAACAATCCATGACATAAACATACCTTTATCGTGGCGTTTTTTTTCCCTTCAGTTAAATCAAGAAAAAACTAAAAGCATTGTTTTTGGCAATACAGAGAAGAGGGTTGCTGTCAGTAAACACCTCGAGTCACTGTCTTTGGAAACTAAAGATCATAGACTGTATATACTATGGACAACTTGGTTCCGCCTACGCCAGTATATGGATTTGAAGCAGAAAAGCTCGCAGTAATTCGGCATTCTCTCTCCTTTTCCTGAAACCAACATTGCGCAGTAGCGTTGTATGCACTCCACCACTTGGGCAGTAGCATGGTGCGCATTTGGCAGGAGAGTCGCTGTGATGACGCTTGGCTCAAACAACTTATTCCCCCGGGTGAGCTACGCAATCTTAGTACGACCATAGGCTGTATCAGGTGTCAATCATAGAAAACATTAACCCCCTGTTAACTTTTAAAAATGGAGCTGTACAGAAATAATAATAAACTGTGTAATAGATTTCTAAAGTTCGTCCACAGCTCCATAAGCTTTGTTGGCGAAGGTGGGATTTATGACCTATACTGCAGCCCGTCACCAGAGGGTGCTGTTCTCGGAGTGGCTTCACCCAGCGAAGAGGCAGACGACATCCATTCTATATACAGTCTATGGACAGGACACACAAGAGGTATCGTCAAAATAAATCGCTATGACAACAAATAAATAGCTGACAGTAAATAAGATAAAAACCTAAAGGTTGCTCCACCTTGCTAGGACCTGTGTGTTTGCTACATCTCATTTCAGGCCCATTAAACAGTCTGATGGCTGGCAGGAAGGAAGGAGCGCCTGAACCTCTCCGTTCTGCATCTGGGGAGAGTAAGTCTTTGGCTGAAAGTACTCCCTCTCAGTCACCTTTCCATCACTGCCTCCAAACTGTCCAGTTTGTGGCCCACCACCTTGCCAGCCTGTCGACCTTATTTCACACTCCCTCCTAGATGCCTCCACCCCAGCACACCACAGCAAAAAACCATGTGCTGGCCACCATAGATTGGTAGAAGGTGGCCATCATGTTAAAACACATATAAAACAAAGGGGATACTCATTGCTCAGTTATTTGTTGTCATGGTGACTAGAAATCAGTACACAGAGTTATACTGGAAAAACTAGATGTACTTTTATACATTGGCAAAGGATGCTCTCATGCATTTAGCTCTTTTTTACTGACAGTGTTCCAGCTCTATAAAGCAGTTTAAGTTAGATCTGCATGGCCTTGGACTGCAGAAGAGATCAACTTAAAACTCTAACACCACTGCAATCAGACTGTTTTGGTTCATTCTAGTCTAGCCCCTGAACTCCTAAAACTTTCTCAAGAGCTTCTGAACATCCTGATTCTTTTGCACATGTACCTTAAAGTCAGTGATATAAAATCAGCTCAGCCATTGCTATGTAGACTTTTGGGTACTGGCAGGAAAAGGTCTGTTTATAGTCAGTATGGATAGATTTTGCCTTCGTGTTGATATGTACAATCTTGCAGAGGAGAAGAATGAAGTCAAAACTTTGAGAATAAACCTGAGAAGAAACATTATGGTTGAAGACCAATTTTCAAGGAAAAAGGTTAAAATACACTTTCATGACTAAGAGCTTGAATTTTGTTTTCATCTCTGGCCCAACAACCCTCTAAGAAAAAGTCAGATATTTTCAGGACAGCTTATTTGGAAGAGGCATCTCATTGTTCTGGCTTTCATCTGCCATTGTAAACACAAAGTCTACACCGAAGAATCTTGAGGAGGTTTCACAGTCCAATCTTAGGACTAAAACCATGTGAAATTAAAGAGGTTAGGGCTGTTGACACCATGTTCTGCTCACTCATTCCCAAAAAATATCCTGCATTCACACATGCACTAAACTCCTTAAAAGGATTCACAGCCAGATTTTTCACCTGGACCTTGTTCTGCATACGGGCACCATATCTGCAAGAATTTGGGCTGGACTAGCTTATAAGCAAATTCACCATGAGAAAGTGGGGGGCCAGTAACACACATATCAAATGACAAACACGCTCTTTCAACATGAAATTAAGTTGCCTAATACTATTTTCTGCATGTCAGCATGTTCTTTTCCTATCTTTACTTACTTTCACCATCTGCCACACCTTGTAAACTTTGTACGGTTACTATTAGCAGCATCTTTTTGACGGCATGTCCTGCTTCCCAAGCCCCCCCCCCCCAACAGGGGAAACTATGAGGGACATGTGTAAATGGGAATTCTACATATTTTCTAGAGTTTTCAGGTAGGCATACGCGAAAAACGTCGCAGTGTTAGCATAGCAGATAGCCCCACTGACAGTGGCTTATTCAAAGCCTGCAATCCCCAAATATTAACCATGCTAACCATTGAGGTGGTAGCCTCAATCACTGCAGATAACACAAACCACTTCTGTGTTTGGGGGCGTGAAGTCTTTCAAAAGTTTTGTAGGTACACCCCAAATCTGGCTGGAAATGGGTGCCTTAGTCCTGCGTTGTATAAGTGTGAAATTAGCAGGCAGTCTTGGCTACAAGATTTACAGAACAGAGGGATCACAGCCAAAGAGTTGGATGACTGCAAAAGTAAAGGCAACATTTAATCCCACGCTCAACCAAACATTCATGTTATTGTTTTGCACACAGGCAGACATTAATCATGTTATTATGGTATTTAAAGTGTGTTTTGCTGCCCCCAGGTGGCTTAAAAATATTTTAGTATTCCTCTGCATTGATAAGACAATTGTTGATGAACAACTGTGATGATATCTGTTGTATAAGTGTCCATTGTATGGGTATAGCTTACACATCTGGAAATTCACCTTTAATGCTGAATAGTAAACAGGTTTATAGAGAGGACTTGACATGTTTCAGGAAGACAAAGACAAACCGCACGGCTCTGTAGTAGAAGAGTCCTGATGTTTCATTGGCCTGCCTGCAGCCCCAGCTTGTCACTTATTGAAAACATTAAGTGCATCATGACACACAAAAAGATAAAACATAGAGTTTCACAATGTTTATTTAATTTGCAAACCATCAAAATCTGCTTGTATTATCTCGCATTTCAACTTTTTGGCTTTGTGAAATTTTAATCACACATCATAGTATTGAATAATATACTGCATATTGCACATGATAATGAAGATGATGCTTTATATTGAATGTTTTTAGCCAGCAAAGGCTCTCCCATAGAAAAAGTGTGATTGGCACAAGTTTCCCGCACAGATGGTGCAAAGGCTTAAATAAACCAACTAATCTGTCATAAATTAAGAGGGAAAACAACTTAAACTGTCTGAAAGTTGTCTAGTATCCAGAACGGCTTCAGCGCTCCTTGTTGTAGTTCCCTCAGGTCCTTAAAACGATACCAGAGGGGTTTATCATTGTTCTTTCAAAGACTTTCTCCTCATTTTAGTATTTGACGATGGAGAAGTGAAAACAACTGTCCACAGGTTTTGAGTTTGGAGAAGATTTATAGTCACCAGAATGGAATCTCTGTTCTTTTAGAGCAACAGAATCTAAAGCTTCAGAGTTTCTGCTGGCAGCAGCAGATGGTGTAAGAGGAGAAAAGGAAAAAAGAAAAGATCTTGGAAAAATCGCTTCCAACATGCACTGTATATTCCCTTCACAGAGAAGGAGGGGGCAGGAGGCTGATGGGAAATCTGCAGTCAGTTACCAGGCAAAGGCAGTCGAGTAAATGTGAGGGATAATGAACATTCATCCTGATGCTGCAGACCGAGGCCAGAGGAAAACTGGACACAGATTTTTGTATTGTAGTTATGTATGCGTTGATTAATGAATTAAACCAGAAAGATTTTTTTTAAATAGAAGTGCAGAACAAAACAATTTAAAATGGTCTGTATTCTATTATGCTTTTCCTTTTCATTCTTAAAAACTGCAGTAGTCTTTTTAAAGGATACACATCACATTTGCAGCTATGGTGCAGGCTTTAGTTTTTAAGGTCGCCTGTAAAAAGACTTTTATTTTGAAGGTACAAGTCTATTTTAAGACATAAAATACACCATAAATGCATTTTCTATTGGCATAACAATATGAATTCACAAATGTATACATCCCCAGTTAGATTTTTGTTTCAAAATATGCTTGCTATAGGCCTATTTTTCATCCTGTGTTAGAATGAGGCACTATCTCCAGATATTTGTTCAAGACAAACATGCGCAAATTTACAGTTCACCAAAACATGTCCTGGCATATTTTCAGGGCCTCTGTTAATCATGGGCTCTCACAATTTTAACAACTTTTCTCCCTGATTCAAGTTACTGCAGGCAAGACATGTGCCGGCTTTAGCAGTGAACGGCAGATTACATTAATACTATTACTGTGATCGCATTAAAAAGTGGCGAATGTAATCTCACACACCTACTGCAAAAACACAGAAATCAGATTAGAGACACTTCAAAAGAAAACTGAGGAAAGTGCTTATAGTTGCTGCCAGTCAGAGACAGAAAATGCACATTATCCTAATTCTTCAAACTGGAATTTACTTCCCCTAAAACTATTAGAAATGTGATGCACACATATATACCTTACATATGTTTTCATTTTACAGACAACCAGGGGACATGATCTGCCTCAACTGGAGCAGAATGTGCCACTTAACTGTCTTTTCACCATATTTCCAAGAATAAAAAGTAGAAAAAAAGACAGCTTTCATGTAGTGTACTAAGAGTAAAGTGGGATGTTTTCTGAGTTACCTTTATAACGTTTTTCCATATAAAGCTGCTATGATGTCAAATTGTGATATTATTTTGAAATTTGCAAGATCTTTTCGTATTAAAGGGATATTCCAGCATAAAATTAAGTTAGCGTAAAACACATATAGAAGAGAGTATCTTTGCCTAATTTCTTTAGCAAAGAGACTAAACACAACTCACCTACTCTCTTCCAGCAGCCACTTGTTTGTAGAGACCTCAGACCAGTCCATTACGGACAACTGCGGGGTGATGCAGCTCAAGGAAGAATATTTATGATCATTTCTTCATGGAAATGCAATCAGACTGAGACACCAAGGCAGAAGAACTACCGTGTCTGCAGTGCAAAATGATCAATATGGTGATTATTACTTCAAGGACATGTTAAATGTTAACATGGACATGTTAAAAAAATGATCATAAGTGTTCTTCCTTGAGCTGTGTCACCCCTCAACAGTCCGTAATGGACTGGCCTGAGGTCTCGCTGCAAACAAGCGGCTGCTGGAAGAGAGTAGGTGAGTTGTCTTAAGTCTCTTTTCTAAAAAATCAGGCAAAGTTAAAAAGATGTTTGGTGGCTAGTACTATGGCTGGGACCCTATATGTACTGTATAAAGTTAGGTTCTGTTCTGAGCGTTATTTGTGGCTATAGAGTGGCGTTTTGGTTGAGGTTTGTTTATGGCTCCTCAGACCGCTGTTTATTGCTATCGTTGCGGTCTTTACTAAAGTTGGTATAACTCGAGAAGAAAGCAGTCGGCAACATTCTTATATCGAGGGGGTGTCTAACTCAGTGTTACAGTGTGTTTGACCCAACATTAATTTTTCGCCAGAATATCCCTTTAAAATCAGGAAAAAAGTTGAAAATATTGAACTCTAAAGTGAAAAAGCACACAAATTACTGCACCATATGGCTAACATTTTCAGAAATTGTGAACAGGTAAAATCTGGGACAACATTGGTGGAAATTTGGATCAACGAGTAATCAGCAAAGCCATAACTTCAGTAGATTGTAATCTCTAGTTGAATTAAAACCAATCATGTTCACTTCACTGTTGTAGAAAAAAGAGATAAAAGCAATGACTGTGCATAACATGGACTATTTAACAGAGTAGACCAGAGATACTTCCTCTGTATTCTGGGAGTAGTGTGTCTTCATATGTCACAGGGACGCCCTCAAGTGGAGGAGAGCGGTGTAACAACACAGCCTAAGGTTAAGTTTCGTTTTCCATTCATCAGAACTGAAACTCCTTGGATGAAATGAAACTTTCCTACCGCCCTGAACTCATCCGCCGTTGTCCTCCCCAGCCGCAGTCTTGCTTGGACGTGGAAGTGAACAGGATGGGCGACAAAACGATGGAGACCGAAATATTAAAGATAATCTGCTGCAATCAAGGAGCAGTTGACACTAAATTCTTAATATCAAATCTCGGACTCGGAGATTCTACCTCTGAGATCTTGAATAACCCGGAGAAATTCGCTTTTTGTTGTCCATACGGGCAGCCAAAGGTGGTGGCCAGGACCAGCCTGAGACTGTGCAGACCCAAAGTTTGTCCGGGATCATGCCAGAGCCTGCACTTGTGCAAAAGTCTCCTCCTCAACGGATCTTGTCAATTCGCTTTGATGAGGTAAATATATTCTGATTGATTTAAGAGCTAGACAGGTGATATATGCTGTTATTTAATGGGAATGTGAACAATAAAATATCAAATTTTAAGTTTCTGTTTATCAGGAAGGTACAGAGAAGAGCGATACTGAGATTTTAGTCGATGACACCGACATTTAATGGTTAAATTTATTGTCAAACTCTTATACAACCTAATTGGCAAACGTGGTGCGTTCATGTCCAGCTCGTCAATGTTACATCGTCACTCAATTCGCTTAGTCACTACCCTTTCGAGCTAATTTTAAACGTTAAACTAATTGAATTCAGTATCATAGTTTATTCGGACAATTAATGGAAGAAGTAGTCTTGTGTATCTCAAATGGAGTAATGGACTATTTAATGAGACACTCGTATCTACGAGCTATCGTGAAGTACCACTAGCAGCTGGTTTAGCTAGCTAAAAAAATGTGAAATATCTAAAGAGTGGGGAAAGTAAACTTGACTGTAAAGCAGAAATTAAGTTTAAACACAACACAGCTTTGGTTAAATGGTTGTTTTTAAGCTATTTTTTGTGTCTTTTACCCTACAGGTCATGTGACATATCATTCATTCCTGAGTGTTTTTGCACCTGAGCTAAGCTAAACTGCTATGTCTGTGTTTCAACTTACTATTCAAGATTGACACAGACGGTAATATCAACATAAAAGACAGACAATGCCTTAAGGCAGTGGTCTCAACTGGTGGGTCCCGACCTAAAAGTGGGTCACGGACACGTACAGCTGGTCAAAAGAGAAAATATTTAATGGGATATTTATTAGATACTCAATATTTTCTGTGTATGCAACTTCAGTAGTTGCCGTCCTCATGTTGTCCCCTTCATGTGCTCTGAAATGCACTTTAGTCAATAGAACAAACTGGATTTATTTTAAAGATGAGAGTCTTTTAAAGGTTTTTTTTATGTAAGTTGAGAACCACTGCCAAGGCATGACAACATTCATCAGTCACAGCATACATACAACTTTTCTACTCTATCTGAACTATTAAAATCCATTAAGATCACCTTAAAAAGTCCTTTTTGCTCTTGTCAGGTGATTAAAACTAATCAGATATACTTTAAACTGTGTTTCCCAGTTCTGATGCAAAAGTGACCTTTAACCTGAGATAAGAATAAAACAATCACTGAAACTCACACGTGCTCAAGCTCAAGTATGTCTGTTATAACTTATCCGTCAAGATAGCAGCATTTATGGATGTTTGCCTGCCAGACAATAAGAATAAAACAATCACTGAAACTCACACGTGCTCAAGCTCAAGTATGTCTGTTATAACTTATCCGTCAAGATAGCAGCATTTATGGATGTTTGCCTGCCAGACAATCAACTACTCCCATGATCTGAAGTCTTTTTACAATCAGATGATACTGAGACAGCATGACCTGGACAGTCTAAGCCGGGCAGAGCTGAGTACACTTCTGCTGCAGAACGACCACATGCTCCTGCCCTCTGTGAGTTTGACCACATGTGAATCATCGTTCATTCATGTTTGTTTTGTCTCTTTTGCTGTAAGATTGTCACTATTCTATCTTTTTTTATCCCGATATTCTATACCAGATATGTCATGATTACAATAATGGACCTGGTGTGTATGGCAAATGTCTGAACGGTGATGATTGCAAGAGGCTGCATATCTGTGAGAGGTACCTGATTCGAGACTGCAACTGCCCCAAGACTCATAGTTTCAATTCGCCACAGCCAACGATGATCCTGCTGAATAACAACATCCCTGACAGCCTGTTTCCCAGCTTGAAGTCTGCTTATGCAAACAAAGCGGCTTTGAGGTTCGCTGACAGGGGGGGCAACAAGAGCAACCGTCAACAGCCGCAACTGAACTCTTCAGTAGGTGATTGCTCTGTGGATGCAGACAACACTGATTCCTGCTCCGTGGACGGTTTACCACAGAAGGAGTGGCACAGAGGGAGGGGAAGGGGAGGTTTTCGGGGCAATAGAGGTAATAGAGGCACGAGGGGCAACAGGGGCAACAGGGGGAACCAGGGCAATCGTCAGCAGCCGCAGAGAGCCCCTTCGAGAGGTGAAGATGACATCGATGTTTCAGACCTGTACTGTGATGGTGGACTAGATGGGTGCAACATCGATGCAGAACAAAGAGAAAATCTTAGAGGGAGAGGTGGCAACCGAGGCAACAGGGGCAACCGCCGGGGGCTGCAACAAGCCCGTTCCACAAGCGACATCTTTGCTGCATGTAACGCTGATGCAGACAGTGATGATGGACCAAACAGAAGACAAGTGCAAAGACCTGTCAGGGGTAGGTGACACCAGATTATACTTTGATTTAAAGTGTTTTCTGAATATGCCATTTGAAATGTTTCTTCTCCCTTTTTGTCTTTCCTTTAGATAAAACTGAAATATGCATGTACTTCATTAAAGGATTCTGCAAACATGGTGATGGTAGGTAGTCAGTAGAAGATTGTAACCATAGGGAACCGAAGTCATGCTAACTTCCGGGTTAGCATACGGTCCTATGGAGCCCATCAAAATGAATGGACAGATATATATAACTACTGGTCTGCTTTGGTATAGGGAACCGAAGCCCCTACACATTTCACATATAATGTTTATCATGTTTAAATTTACATTTTAACCTCGAAAAAGCTGTGATTTTAGACATGTTGCTATAACTACAGTTTAATTTAGAGTGAGACCACGGAATGAACTACACCGCTCGTCGCACTATTTTTGCGTCACTGTCTAAGCTTTGACAGACGACGATGGCGGTGACTTTGGCAAGTTTCACGTACTTCTTCCAGGATGAAGGAAAGAGTATTAAACGTGGTGAAAACACACAGGCATTTTGGCAATGATAACGAGTTGACAGGAGTTGTCAGCTAGCTAGAAGTAGAAATACTGACGTGACGTCATTTACGCGACTTCTTGAGGTTTAAAGTGTTTTCTGAATATGCCATTTGAAATGTTTCTTCTCCCTTTTTGTCTTTCCTTTAGATAAAACTGAAATATGCATGTACTTCATTAAAGGATTCTGCAAACATGGTGATGGTAGGTAGTCAGTGATAGATTGTAACCAATTCAGGCCTAATGAAATGGACTTTTGAACTGTGTTTTTAGGGGATGACAATCTTATTCAATCACCAATTTGTTCTCAGAGCGTTGTTATAAAGCTCATGACAAGATGCCATACAGATGGGAGGTCAACCAGGAGGACAAATGGACCGCCATGCCGAATAATGAGGCGATTGAGGAGGACTACTGTGACCCTAAAAACACATACAGGTACAGAAGGGTAATCAGGTAATAAATCAGGGGATTGAAATTTAAAATTAGAAAAAAGTATAAACACGGTCTCGGGTTCTTTTCCTGGCCAGTGCACCCAATTATATTAGAAAAATATGACTGACAAGAGGCAGACACCAGAGTTCAGGATATGTAATGAAAGTACATTTAACTCTTGCAAGAATGGAGGACAAACAATGCATCAAGCAGATACACAGAAGTGGTCCTTGATTGTGGGGCTTCAGAGTCTTTTATCTCGGCTTCTCGGATCTTCGTCATTAAAACCCAAATATACTCAGCAGACAATTTAAACACGTAACACTTGCCCTTGTTTTGGGCCCTGCTGTTTGTCTTAAGTCTAAACATAACAGTGACCTTAGCCTTCACATTATTGGATAGCATTTTTCCATCAGGTACTCTTACTTTCTCAACATTCAGAGGGATTGTGCATCATTTTTAGAGTGTGGAATTATTATTTCCGTTTTATTCACTTCAGTCAAAAGTCCCAGTACTCTTATTAATTCTGTAGGAGAAGGATATACCGATGAAATGTTTACATGTTGAAAAGATGAAATTAAATGAACCAAATTTCTTTTTTTCCTGTCTCCTGTAGTAGCAGCACTCCATACGTGCACTTTGACACCATGACCCAAGGTCAGAACAAAGTGCGGCGACTCTCCACCGTGAACTCTTTGCTTCAGCCCGATTTCATACACACCACCGAGTGGCTCTGGTACTGGGAGGATGAATTCGGGAAGTGGAACATGTACGCTTCAGCTGTGAGTAGCTACAGCTGGAGACATTTATGCACAAGTTAATCTAAAATCCACTAAATGTTGTCAGCGCAAAGTTAAAAAAATACAGCATTTCACATGGAAGTTAAAAGCTGCTCTTGTGGATATTTATATTAGAACAAGTTATGCTGAAAATAGGATTTTTATTCATTGAGTGTCTCAAGATTAATGTGATAGAAACAGGAATATTAAGTGGTTTGTCGCAGTCAGAGTAATAGTGGCCTATGGGGACAAAAAGCTGCCATGACGTATAATAAATATGATCCTATATATGAAGAAACAGCTTTTTTTTTTGCTCATTTTCTGTTCTGCATGATAAATTCACAAAATGATACATATGCCAGTGAAAAGTCAGAAGGATGAGATTTTCTGTCAGAAGACATTACTTGTGTCCACAGGGGGCGCCAAAATTGGCACGAATCAAAGTTCCTCACAGGAGCTTTAATATTTATTCACAAGGAAGAATAGTTTGAAGAGCTTAAGAGCTTTGAAGGTCACCAAATTTGATCCAAAATACTGTCAGGGAAACTTATTTAGATCTCACTTACATGATGCTAAATACTCTTAGACTGCACCCAGATCTGTGATGCTGTTGTTACAGTCAGGTTTTTTTAAAGATAGGTTGAATTTGATCAAAGTTCGGGCTCATTGTTCTCCGATAAGAGCATCAAATCTTCAGTGTTTTGTGTTTGTTATCTGATTCTATTTAGAGTAAAGTGGGAGTTTGCAAACACCAAAAAAAGATCACGGCAGCAGAAAACAGTTTTCACTGAAGATATGCACTGTGACAAGCTGCCTCAGCAAGCTAAGCTAGTAGAGCTGATTTGGGCCAAAAATGGTCACTTTACCTTTACTTCAGTGACATTAAGTTCGTGTGAAAAAGTCTGAACGCTGCTGGAGTGCAATATTTACTACAACACAGTTCTGTAAACTCATCCTAAAAATATCAGGACATGATGTTAAAGAAATAAGATACGAGCTCTGCCATTGTGTGGAATTTGCAGCGTGATGTTAGCTGTACTTTGTTATGTAAGTCACACTGGGTGGAGTCTACTCGGACTCTGATAGCTGCCAGGGGAGTGTCAGCTCCAACCTTTTAAAGGGGAAGAAATAAAAAAATCACACCAGGATTGAACTTTTCCCTTCCTCCTCCACGTCTGACCTTTTTAAACCTGCACCAACCTGACCACAAACTCTGTTTATATAACTCTGCACTTCACGTATTCAGCTCTATGATTGTAGCTGACAAGTCCTCACCCTGCTATCCTGTTGTCCTCCGGCTGATACTCACGGACATCATTTTAAGCTTTAATCTTATTCTCTATGACCCCCACACTCCAAACAGAAAAAGCAGAGCTGTGTACAGAGGCAGCGTTTTTGAGGAAGGAGATGAGACGCGGAGGAGATTGTTGCTAGATTGCATAAATTTGAATTTGTTATCCTCATGTTGCACTTGTGATTCAAGAAATTAAGTCTTTAAGACGTCTTTTGAGTCCACCCCCCAGCGTAAAACTCCAATAGCAGAATCCAGAATTTCAAATAAGCATGTAAACGTTTTTTTATTGTTTTCAATGAGAAAGTAAAAAATCTACCAGAAGTGTTACAACACTTGATGTTTCAGTGGCTGTTTGAGGCTGTGACATATTTAGCAAGTGAAAAATAATCTCCTTCTGTCCTTTGTTGCAGTCTGGTGGACACAAACCATCAGACATGGACAGCTCCAAACTGGAACAGAAGTTTCTAGAAAACGACCAAGCTGTGGTGGAGTTCACTGCCGGTGCTCAGTCATATTCTCTCAGTTTCCAAGGTAAACAAAGACGTCTGAAATAATTGATATTTTTGTTAAACTGTGATGATAAATACGTCTCTGTTTCCACACAGATATGATACAAACAAACAAGCGGTACAGCACCAAGAGGCTGGTGAGGAGACGGCCCCGCTTTGTGTGTGCAGCTGATGTCCTAGCAAAGAAAGTGAGGTGAGACCCCTACACACACACACAGGCGCGCACACACACACTGTTTGATGAGAAGTCAGGTTTGAGCTTCAATATTAATTAACATTTTATAAAACAAACAAAAATATAACTCAATCTGCTTCCCGACCACAGAAGGCCTCTGGGCCAGTCCAGTTTCACCGCACTACCGGACCACTGGGACAAGACCAAGGTCCCACAAACTGGATTCACGGTACGGTGAACGCTGCAATGTGACCCAATAATGTTTCTTTTGTTGTTTCATAGGAGTACTTTTTCAGGATTTTACAGCTTCTTTAAAGCTATGACCAAAGGTAACATTTCTTTCATACTGAACTTGCTATCAAAAAATGAAGCTTTTGGACCTTTTTTTGGAATCTTACAACTTGGAGCGACTTGAGCCGAAGAAAAAAAGGTTTCATTTCGGTGCTGTTTTTATGTATGAAAACTGTCTCGCCCAAGTTCTTCCAGATCTGTGTTTGTTCCATTCACTGCTAAAACCTCTGAGCTGCCAACTCCAGGCCTGGCTCCCCTCGCCGTTACCCCACAGTGGGAGTAGGCGCATTGACCAAAATGAAAACATACCTGCTCTGCTGCTGTAGTGACGCAAACACAGATCTGGAATTTAGGGGTCTGGATTTGGGCATCTTTTTAAACTTCAACCTAAAGCTCCTGTGAGGAACTTTTGATTTGCATCAATGTTGGCGCACCTGTGGAAAAAGTAGTCTCTACTTATCTTATCCTGTAATGCTTACACAATATCTCCTGACAGAGAAACTCATCCAGCTGACTTTTGATGGTCACATATTTTACATTTTACAGTAACAGCTTTTTTTAAAGCTGCTTTCCAAAAAAAGTCCCTCTTACACTGGTTTCATGCATCATATATAATGCAAACATTGTCAATTATATGGCTGATGGTATTGTGTGCTTTTGGATATCACAGGTAAGCACCAATATCAATTTAAAATATTTCACTAATGCCAAAAAAGTCCTCATAGGAGCTTTAAGACCTTCCTTACTCATGTGTCTGTTAATATGGCGTCATTTCCTCCAAACTTGGACTGAATTATTATTTCTATGATCATTTTTTTGTAGCCTTGTTTCATTTAAATTCACTTTTTTCTGGGATCAAACTGTTTTCTGAATGTTCATTGATTTTTATTCCTGTTACATACTTGATTGATTTCACTGTATTGATTATCTCTAAAGCATTTATAACACCATCATCTTTCTTTTAGTCTTTTATTATTGTTTTATTCTCCTATGATTGTTTCAGGCTTTTGTCTGTCTTTTCTTTTCTGAAGCACTGTGAGTTTATATGTATGAACGGTGGAAAGGTGCTGAATAAATAAAGAAAAGACTTGTTAACATTTGACACAAGTTTTCACATTTTTAAAACACTCATTTATGTCCTTCAGTCAGTTGACTTCTTCTCACACTGGGTGCTGGTGTATGCTGTGAGCTTGGGTGTTTAAGACCTTTAGTGCTTAACTTTCACTTTGCACACCTTTACATGGAATACGTCATGTCAAAGGCCTTTAAAACAATGACATTGTAGTATTCAAAGTGCACCCAAACTCTAGTTTTGGATAAAAGCAGCACTGTCTTTCTTTGTTTGTTGTTTTCTTGCTGCTGTGAGGAGTGTGACTGGTTGGCTGGAACTGATACACCCCTGCTGCAGCTGTTCCCTAGAGAAGCTGTTTGGCGAGAAACGATACCAGCAGCTGGTCTGTCGTGTGAAAACCAGCTGCTGGTGAAACAAAAGAATTCAAATGATTTTTTTTTTTTTTTAGTTTTCAAATTGATTCAGACTAAAATGAACAATACACAACAGCAGCACGAAATGTTTGTTCCCTTAAATGATTTTTTGCAAAAGTCAAATATAAAGTGGATTCATTTCAGCTGTTAAAAAAACCCTTTTCTCTCCACTTTATATATTTTTCAGAAAGTCTCCCTACTGCGCACCTCGGCTGAATTTAAGGAGATTGAAGCTCTTTTCTGTCAGACTATGAGAGGCTATGATGTCGTCAAAATTGAGAGAATTCAGAACAAAGCTCTGTGGGAAGTCTTTCAGTGGTATGTATGTAAATAACCACAGACTGTGTAAAACATGGATGAAGCGTCTTTGATAGTGACACCAGTTTTTTAGTCAGACTCAGCCAAGATTTGGTTGACCCACCATGAGGCAAAATGGCGGAGTTGAGCCAATGTTTTCTGCTAGTTTCACTTCTTTGCAAAGTTTTGAAGTCCAATTTGACCCCCCTCTTTAAAAATATTTCTCTATTTATTTTTAAATGAAGGCAGAAAAACCAGATGACGAACAACAACAAGGGGCGAAATGTGTCAGAAAAAAAGCTCTTTCATGGCACAGACTCCAAATTTGTCGACGTCATCAGCCACACCAACTTTGACTGGAGAATCTGTGGGACCCATGGAACTGCGTATGGCAAAGGTAAGTTGGAGAAAATCCAAGGACGAGGTCACACAGCATTGAAGTCTTTACATTTTTTCAAACATTCATATATTAATACAGCTTGATGTTAATTGATATTTTCTCTTTTTTTGTTTTACTTTTGGTGCTTTAAAATTTCTTGTGATTCTTTTTAAAAAAAAAAAGCTCAACACCAGAAAGTGCAGCAAAGTCAGTAAAAGTAGTGACTGCACCAAAAAAAGATAATTGCACCAAAGTTGCTGACTAGTTCCTGCTATTGTACCATTCAGTTATTGCTCCAAAACTAGTTATTGAGGCAAAACTACCAAGTGCGTAAAAACAGAAACTGCACCAAAAAAAGAGTGAGCAATGAAAGCAGAAAATGCCCCAAAACAAAATTATCACACCAAGCCCAGTTATCGAAACCAGATACTGAGCCAAGACTGCCTGGTGCATCTGCACCAAAATTAGTCACTGTAACAAAAACAAATAATTGCACTATTGCGCTAACTCAGTCATTGCACCAAAACTTGATTATGCAGCAAAAGTAGCATCCACACTAAAACCCTCTTATCCACTACACTCCATAATCGCACCAAAACCAGTTACTTTGCCAAAACTTCACCAAATTCGGATCATTGCACCAAAGTCAGTTTTTCTGACAAGTTAAGTCTCCACATTGAATCAGTTCTCTGGTGCTTGAACGCCAATCATTTCTTTCTTTAGGTGACTGCTAACTATTTGATGATATATTCGTGTTGGAAACAGTGAGTTTATTTTGTGCTCAAACACAGGTAGCTACTTTGCACGGGATGCCAAATACTCCCACAACTACACAGGTGACTCTGACGTGAGGTCCATGTTTGTGGCTCGGGTGCTGGTAGGAGATTACACCAGAGGATCTTCTGACTACCGCAGACCACCTTCCAAAGATGGCGGAGATATAAACTTCTATGACAGCTGCGTTGACGACATCCTAACCCCCTCCATCTTTGTCGTGTTTGAGAAGCACCAGATCTACCCAGAGTACCTGCTGCAGTACAAGACCACACACCCGCTCGTCTCAGTGTATGGTGCCTCGTCAAGTCAAGCAGCAAATCCAGTTGTCGCACCAAGACCTGTAATCGCGCCGCAACCAGTTGTCGCACCAAGACCTGTAATCGCGCCGCAACCAGTCGTCGCACCAAAACCAGTTGCTGCACCTAGAGTGACTCCAAGTTTTTCAGCTTACCAGCACAGCAGTTCATCAGCTCAGGCCTACACATCATCCTACCAACCCAGCACACCTACTTACGGATATCAGACCAGGATGACTTCAGCTTCTTCCTCACCAACCCCAGCGAGCAAGAAACAATCTGACTCCTGTGTCATCGCATAGATGCAGTCAGCCACTCTAAATATGCAGGGGGGAATGATCAGATATTGTTTTTCCTTGCCGTTTCATCCAGGGCCTTCGCGTTTTCATCTGCCAAGATGCCTGATGGGAAGAATACCCAATTAACAAGAATCATATCGATTATCGTGTGAAAAAGTGAAACCGCCACATATTTGAGGCGTACGTTTTTTCAATGGTGATTGGCACATTAGATGGTGCAGTGAAGTGCCTGACTCTTTGTTTTCGAACAAACTCCACACAATACATGGAGAATACAATACTGTCAATTTTAAAAGAATGAGAGGGAAACGTAAAACTTCAACTTCTGTACAGAGAAGACTGTCTCTATGACTACCGAACTAGTTTGAGGAGGGTTAATGTTAAATTTTGGAGCGTGCAAGCATGACGTTGATCAGCGTTAAAGTCTTCCTCATGTTGATCAGGCTGGAGTCACAGTGACTTTACTCCACCCTGAAAAGACATGAAGGACTGTGCTGCTAGTGCTGGCTTTATAGATGGAAATAAACATTAAAACGATAAAAATAGATGATTTGTTTTTTGTCACATGAGATGAAACAGGGAAACGATTACGTGGCTGTGTAAACCCACATTTCTGGATGGAAAATGATTACGTTGTGTATCATCCTGTTACAGTGAGTGCTTTACTTGCACAGTGAAGTGGAGCCGTAGGGTGGCTTGCTAAGAGGATTTAAGTGGACTTCTGTTCTTGTCTTGGTCTACAAGCACCAGACGAAAACCAGTTTATTCAAAGACAGCATGTCCACCTCTGTTGGCATAGATGATGACTTAAGCACCCTTTCGGTCAGGTATTACTCTCCGGGTTGACTTCTTTTTGTCACTTACCAAACGATTGACAAAAGCATTAGCAAAAGGCTAATGATAAAAATGTCAACAACTTCACAGCTCTGTACTTTTCGTAACTTCGAAATGACAACTCGAAGTTTAGTTACGACTTTGCTTCCAACAATGCATTTACGTTTTACGGGCCAGTCTAAGCCTGATTACATGCTAAATTTGTTGGATCATAGCGTTCGTTGTTTTTTGTGTTTTATTGCTGGCGTATGGAGGTAGTAGGCATCCGGCATGTGGCTGTCGAAACTCTAAAGCCTCTCAAAAGTCCTCCTCACTACTGCAAACAGTAGAAGAACTAATGCGAAGATGCTTTAACAGGATATTAAATGGAACTCGTAAAGTCGTGAAATCGTGTTGTGAAGTTGTGTAAATTAAAGACTTGGTGCTCAAGTGGTAATTAAATGGGAGCACAAAAGATCAGTCACGGTTCTGCTAGTTTTCTGGGTGAAAGTCCAAAAACGACGACAAATAAGTGAACAACTGGCATTAACCAACTGGCCGTAGCTGCTTTTAGTTGAACGTGTCGAATATAAATTAAATGATCTACAAGCTGCCTATAAACTCCAAAACGTATGGGCATAAGTGTTCATGTGAAACTTGACACACTATGGGCTCCATCATTTCTGAAAACTTCCTCTGACACGTTACAACTCTAACAGGAAGCTTTTAGAAATTTTGGAGATCCAACTAAATTTTGAAGGTGTTTGCTGACACTGGTTTTTTTTGTGTGTGTGTGTGTGTGTGTGTGTGTGTGTGTGTGTGTGTGTGTGTGTGTGTGTGTGTGTGTGTGTGTGTGTGTGTGTGTCTTGAGTGGACGTCTTAGTCAAGTCCATCTTGAACAGACACACAGATGAAGTCACCGTGTTTGTTTTCATGTAGCTTTTTTTACATTTTTCTCATATATCAGAAAAGTTAAAAACCTTTGATCCATTCGATGTCTTTTCGTAAATTTCATAATAGATGATGATTAAATGTCTCTTATTAAAAAAACAATAATACACAACTTTGAAATCTGCTCAGGAATCTTTAAAAAAAATCACTGAGCCTTTAAAATTCTCTCATTTAGTGCTTCTAAAAAGAGTAGATGGTAAGAAATGGTATCATAGTTCGACAGTTTGTTAAAGGTACACATTTCTGAGAGTTATTAGCACTTCTTTTAAAAACAGTTAAACCAAAAATAATTCCTGTTGAAATATTGTATTTTTGCAAACTCTAATAACTTTGTGTTGTAAGATAAATAAAAAATTCATGTCGATGTAAACAGGAGTCTGGCTTTCTTATTTCGTTGTGTTTAGGTTTCTGTTTTTCTCTGTCTGTCTCATAAGTGAATTAAATCACGCCACCAGCAGTCGGGTTGGGCCTCTTAGTGAAATGAGGCAGAGCATGAAAAATGATCATTATGGCTGCCGGTGCTTCCTTTGACTTTAGACATTAAGTCTGTAAATCACCCGCTGCTCTCCTCAAAACACAGACTGACTCACATACACAACCAACTGCCTCACTGTATCAAAATATACCACATGAAACTACAGATATTTCTTATTCAAATGTAGAAATGCAGCATTTAAAGCTCCTGCGACAACTTTTTTGATGTTCCTGAAATGGATTGAAATTCATGTTGATGCCTTTTTAAGATACACAAAGCAAACAAGACCGTTGGCAACCAGATTTATGATTCTTGAGTTATATTTTTCAATGCTTAAAGCAGTTTAAGGGGGTAGGTGTCAGACGAACAGCTGAAGAAACAGACCTGTTTTTGCTATTTCCACATAAAAATATTCACAACTGCTTATATATTTGATTGTCAGAAGTTGGTGGGATGAGATTTTAGGTCAGAGGGCACATAAAGGTAAAGATGAGTAAAGGCTGTCTTGTCCATAAGGGGGCGACACAGACAGAAAAGTTCCTCATAGGAGCTTTAAACTGCACTTAATTTGCCATGTTCAGTACTAAGTATTTTTTAATCTCCAATTAAAACCCTTTAATGCCTGAAACCACAAATTATGGCCAGAAAATTATTTTTTTTTTGGTGCTGAAATGTTTATTTCACTTAATACTGAAAATAATAAAAAAAATCAAAATGTCCTTAAAATTGAACAAATATATTTATTTATCTTGTTTGATACATCAGATGTTTTTGGAAACTGATAAACCACAAGAAGGCATTTTTATCATTTATCGAACTGTATTAAAGTGTTTTTTGTTAGTCATATTGATTGATAGAAAGAACATAAAAGTATGTATCAAAAACAGTCAAGGGCTACAGATCCAGTTTAACATATGAATTAGCATTAGAATTATTGAATCAATACAAAAACCTCTGGATATGCTGTACAGTCTGATTTGCCAGTTATGCATCGGGTGTTGGGATATGCTCTGAGTAGATACAAAATCTGCAATGAAAAGGAACAGCACAGTCCAGCTGGTTCAGTGTTTATAAATGTAATTATGTCATCCTTTGAACTTTCAGTTAAGGCTAATGTATAGTGAGCGGGCGATCATACAAAACAGAATCCTCATAGATGCGACGCAGGTGGTACAGAACATCACTGTGACTGCAGACGCCCCCGTTTCTCCACCATCTGAGCTTCATTATGTGTTTGCCGCCCATTAAAACAGAGCAGTCCTATAGGAAATGCAGCTGCGCACTGCAGGATGCGACAGCCCACCCAGCGACTGTAAATATCCGCTGACATTAACCAGCCTGAGCAGCTACTTCCTGTCTGATGCATGCCCCTGGCGGCCGCTGCGTTGTGCTCCGGCTGTTATTTCCTCATGGATGCAGCAGATCCACCAGAGCAGCCTGCAAGGTGCTTCCAGTCCCCCCAGCATATTGGAAAATGTGATTCTCCTGCATTGCATGAGCTTATGAATTAAATATGGCTCTGTTTTGCTTTGTTTGCATGCATCCAGACTAGTGATGAGGTGTTTCTGGGGTTTTTTGCTGAGTCATGGTGGTTGTGTTCCAGCTGATGGAAGAATGCTTTGGTGGCAAAAAACCCCAGGGTGACTGGAAGTGAGTCAGATCTTTATTTGGCTGATAGTGGGAGAAGTTTTTGTTGAGTTTCTGAAATGTTTGTGGTGATATTAGAAACAGCTGGGGTCAGCAGATCAACGCGTCAGCTGTTGATTTGCTGATTATTGAAGGTGTTTGGTAAGGGATTTACATGTTTTGGCATGCATGTCACTTTAATGTTGTTTGCAATACACAGAAATCCTTAGAGACAATTTATTGTGCGTGTCAAACCATGGTTTGGCATCCGAAATCAAAGTCTCCAACCAGTCTTCTCTGGGAGTCCCTAAATTCCCTCTTCTTGTCAGTTTTTCTAAATCGCTGCAATCTCATCCTATCCTAAAGAGCTATATAAATATAGATTGATTGACTGATTGATTGATTGCTGTGGGGACAGCAACAAAGGCCATTTCTTCAGCTACCCTCTCTCACAGCAGTTGCAGGCATTAAAATGAGAACGTGGAAGTTGTCAGTGTTGTCATCAGTGGTCTCAGTTGCTTTGAATTCCATAGAGAAGAATCGCTGTTCATTTCAGTCTGTTTTATGGTCTTTGGATATTTCGGCGTAAAATTAAGTTAGGGTCAAACACACCATAAAACCAAGTTAGACACCCTGTCGAGAGATGAATGTTGTCGACCGCTTGCTTCTCCAGTTATACCAACTTTTGTAACGACCGCATGATAGCAATACACAGCGGTTCCAGGAGCCACGCGCACACCTCAACCGTTTGCATTTCTTTCCACATGGAAATGCAATCAGACTGAGACGCTAAGGCAGAAGAACTACTGTGTCTGCAGTGCAGTGGTGATTATTACTTCAAGGAAATGATAAAGTAATGATCATAAATGTTCTTTCTTGAGCTGTGTCACCCCGCTGCGGTAATGGACTCGCCTAACGTCTCCATACAAACAAGCGGCTGCTGGAGGAGAGTGGGTGAGTTGTGTTTGGTTTCTTTGCTAAAGAAACAAGGCAAAGTTAAAAAGATGTTTGGTGGCTAGTACTATGGCTGGGATCCTACATGTCCTGTTGATGAAGTTAGGTGCTGTTCTGAGCATTATTTGTGGCTATAGAGTGGTGTTTTGGTTGAACGTATGACTCCTGAGACTGTCGTGTATTG